CACCTAATGAAAGAGTTTATTATACATGTAAATACAAATTACTTTGAATTAATGCGAGCGCTGTTATACTGACTGTTGGCGAAGCTTTCAGAGATACACAGACGACGAAAGACTTCTTACTAAGCAAGTAACACAGTCATTTGTAACAGGTGGTGGGTGAAAGTCTGAAATAGTGGCTTTTCCGAAACCGCTTGTCAAGCTGGTGCGAGAGCTGTTTAGTTCTCACCGAAGCTTGGACTTTTGACTGTGGGTAGCTATAGCGAACCTGCTTTTATTACACTGGACATTTTTAATCACTAAGCACACATTTAAGAAAGATACACAGAATCCACTGTAGACTTACTTTGGAAATCTTCCGATTGGTCAACTGAATAGATACTGAACACGTGAGCACAATCGATCGATGACACTATGAGTAATTTGAAAACGTAACAGTACTAAGAAGATAACATTTTCCGTAACACCAGGTTATGTTGTCCTGATACATTACGGTTTCCACTCAAATCATCACTTCCTTTCATGTTATCCTCGTTTCTTCACTGGCATATCGACATTTCGTGTCCATCGCTAATGTATAAGACAAAGTACACATACACGGGGGTCGTATCGTAATTCTCGGCTAGTAAGAGTTCCGTGCCGGAGACTGTTTCCTTGCTAGTTTCCGTTAACATACTGTAGTCTGAATGAATCATTTGTACAGTTAGATAACGGACAAAATCCGTCGGGTGGCTGACGATATGTTCGGGAATTATACCGTAACGGACGAGGAGAAGGACTACGCTCTGACGTTATGGGAGTACATGGGCTTAAAACACGAAGGCAAAAAGGCAGGTTTGGAAAAAGAAATTGTAGTTGAAACGACATTCTACTGCTTTTTTATAGAATGAATCCAATCACTCTGGAACTGGTCTAAAGATACAGCTGGACATTGTTATTCTGAAACGACTGTCTATTTACTAGAGAACCAGGTAACTCTGGACATGTGTGTCTATATACTACAGAACCTTGTAACTCTGGACACATGTGTCTATATACTACAGAACCTTGTAACTCTGGACATGTGTGTCTATATACTACAGAACCTTGTAACTCTGGACACATGTGTCTATATACTACAGAACCTTGTAACTCTGGACACATGTGTCTATATACTACAGAACCTTGTAACTCTGGACACATGTGTCTATATACTACAGAACCTTGTAACTCTGGACATGTGTGTCTATATACTACAGAACCTTGTAACTCTGGACACATGTGTCTATATACTACAGAACCTTGTAACTCTGGACACATGTGTCTATATACTACAGAACCTTGTAACTCTGGACACATGTGTCTATATACTACAGAACCTTGTAACTCTGGACACATGTGTCTATATACTACAGAACCTTGTAACTCTGGACACATGTGTCTATATACTACAGAACCTTGTAACTCTGGACACATGTGTCTATATACTACAGAACCTTGTAACTCTGGACACATGTGTCTATATACTACAGAACCTTGTAACTCTGGACACATGTGTCTATATACTACAGAACCTTGTAACTCTGGACACATGTGTCTATATACTACAGAACCTTGTAACTCTGGACATGTGTGTCTAGATACTACAGAACCTTGTAACTCTGGACACATGTGTCTATATACTACAGAACCTTGTAACTCTGGACACATGTGTCTAGATACTACAGAACCTTGTAACTCTGGACATGTGTGTCTATATACTACAGAACCTTGTAACTCTGGACACATGTGTCTATATACTACAGAACCTTGTAACTCTGGACACATGTGTCTATATACTACAGAACCTTGTAACTCTGGACACATGTGTCTATATACTACAGAACCTTGTAACTCTGGACACATGTGTCTATATACTACAGAACCTTGTAACTCTGGACACATGTGTCTATATACTACAGAACCTTGTAACTCTGGACACATGTGTCTATATACTACAGAACCTTGTAACTCTGGACACATGTGTCTATATACTACAGAACCTTGTAACTCTGGACACATGTGTCTATATACTACAGAACCTTGTAACTCTGGACACATGTGTCTATATACTACAGAACCTTGTAACTCTGGACACATGTGTCTATATACTACAGAACCTTGTAACTCTGGACACATGTGTCTATATACTACAGAACCTTGTAACTCTGGACACATGTGTCTATATACTACAGAACCTTGTAACTCTGGACACATGTGTCTATATACTACAGAACCTTGTAACTCTGGACACATGTGTCTATATACTACAGAACCTTGTAACTCTGGACAAATGTGTGTCTATATATACAGAAACTTGTAACTCTGACACATGTGATCTATATACTACCTTTCAGACTGACACATGTGTCTTACTCCTTGTTCTTCCATGACACCAGGTGTGTCATAATATGCTGCTAAATTATTCTGGACACATGTGTCTATATACTCATTGTTCTCTGGTGACAAAGGGGTGCTCACAACAGGTAAAGAATTTAACTCTGGACAAACTGTTTATTGCTTTGTGAACTCAAGGTCCTTTTCCACCAAACTACATTCACCATGTAAAATAAAGTGTGTGTCCAAGGAAGCAATCATGTAACCAAACATGTGTCTATATAAACAGAACCTATATGCTAACTCTTTCACATGTGTTGCTATATAACAGAATCTTGTGTTTTTAATGTGTGTATGATATGCTCAGAAACTGCCTCTTCAAGACACATGTAAGAACTATATATGTGAACTCTACTTAGACACTTTTGAAAGAATAAAACCTTGTATATTGTAAAATTGTGTTATATAATAAAACAGGGTACCTCTGAACAGTGTCTATATAACAGAACCTTGTAATAGCAGTGTGTCAAAAGGTCAGAGATACATCTATAGAAAGGTCACAAGAAAAATTAGATGACACATTTGTTTTTTACCAGAAGTTTGTAACTCAGGACAAGTCTATTACTACAGAATCTTGTAACTCAGGACACTTGTGTCTATATACTACAGAACCTTGTAACTCTGGACACATGTGTCTATATACTACAGAACCTTGTTACTGTTATATACCCAGTACCTACAAAGGACCATGTGTCTATATACTACAGAACCTTGTAACTCTGGACACATGTGTCTATATACTACAGAATCTTTCTGTTTCTGTATAAATTGAAGTGTTTATAAGAAACGTTTTGACTGTTGATCTGTTTTACCTTTCAGAGTGACATTATCCTTGTTCTTGGTAACCATGACACCAGGACTGCAGAATATGCTGCTAAATTATTCCTGGAAGGATTTGCCGACTTACTCATGTTCTCTGGTGACAAAGGGGTGCTCACAACAGGTAAAGAATTTACACTGAACAAACTAGGTTTATTGCTTTGTGAACAATCAAGGTCCTTTTCCACCAAACAACATTCACCATGTGAAATAAAGTCTCTTGTCCAAGGAAGCAATCATGTGGCCAAACTGTGCTTGGATAAACGTAAAATATATGCTAACATATTTCATTTTTGCTAAAAGCATCAGGGTGTTTTTAATGTTTTATGATATGCTCCTGCCTCTTCAAGAGTTTCACATGAATAAGAACTGGAAATAATATGTGAACTCTACTTAGAACTTTTGAAAGAATAAAACTGATATTGTAAAATTGGTTATAAAATAAATTACAGGGTACTAACTGAAAGTAGAAATAACGCTAAAAATAGCAGCAAAAGGTCAGAGATACATCTATAGAAAGGTCACAAGGACAAAATTAGATGACACATTTATTTTTTACCAGAAGTTTGAGGAAAGATTTACAGAAAGTAGTTAAGACTCAAACTCAGACAGGAATCACAGAAAATTATAAGGACAATATTGGTCAATACACTAGAAATGCACCAATGTGAAGACTCAATGTTTAAGTAGATCGTCAGTAACAGTTACTGTTATAACCCAGTAGGTACAAAGGGACCTTGTTATACCCAGTAGGTACAAAGATCCGTTGTTATACCCAGTAGGTACAAAGGGACCTTGTTATACCCAGTAGGTACAAAGGGACCTTGTCATAACACAGTAGGTACAAAGGGACCTTGTCATTACCCAGTAGGTACAAAGGGACCTTGTCATAACACAGTAGGTACAAAGGGACCTTGTCATTACCCAGTAGGTACAAAGGGACCTTGTCATAACACAGTAGTACAAAGGGACCTTGTCATACCCAGTAGGTACAAAGGGACCTTGTCATAACCCAGTAGGTACAAAGGGACCTTGTCATAACCCTGTACGTACAAAGGTCCTTTGTCATAACCCAGTAGGTACAAAGGGACCTTGTCATAACCCAGTAGGTACAAAGGGACCTTGTCATAACCCTGTACATACAAAGGGACCTTATTATAACCCAGTAGCTACAAAGGGACCTTGTCATAACCCTGTAGGTACAAAGGGACCTTGTTATACCCAGTAGGTACAAAGGGACCTTGTTATACCCAGTAGGTACAAAGGGACTTTGTTATAACCCTGTAGGTACAAAGGGACCTTATTATAACCCAGTAGGTACAAAGGGACCTTGTCATAACCCTGCAGGTACAAAGGGACCTTGTCATAACCCTGTGCGTACAAAGGGACCTTGTCAAACCCTGAACGTACAAAGGTCCTTTGTCATAACCCAGTAGGTACAAAGGGACCTTATTATAACCCAGGTAGGTCCTCTGTCACAAAGGGACCTTGTCATAACCCAGTACATAGGTACAAAGGGACCTTGTTATACCCCATAGGTACAAAGGGACTTTGTCATAACCCAGTAGGTACAAAGGGACCTTGTCATAACCCTGTAGGTACAAAGGGACCTTGTCATAACCCTGTAGGTACAAAGGGACCTTGTCATAACCCAGTAGGTACAAAGGGACCTTGTTATACCCAGTAGGTACAAAGGGACCTTGTTATACCCAGTAGGTACAAAGGGACCTTGTTATACCCAGTAGGTACAAAGGGACTTTGTCATAACCCAGTAGGTACAAAGGGACCTTGTCATAACCCTGTAGGTACAAAGGGACCTTGTCATACCCAGTAGGTACAAAGGGACCTTGTTATACCCAGTAGGTACAAAGGGACCTTGTTATACCCAGTAGGTACAAAGGGACCTTGTTATACCCAGTAGGTACAAAGGGACTTTGTTATAACCCTGTAGGTACCAAGGGACTTTGTTATAACCCTGTAGGTACAAAGGGACCTTGTTATAACCCTGTAGGTACAAAGGGACCTTGTTATACCCAGTAGGTACAAAGGGACCTTGTTATACCCAGTAGGTACCAAGGGACTTTGTTATAACCCTGTAGGTACAAAGGGACCTTGTTATACCCAGTAGGTACCAAGGGACTTTGTTATAACCCTGTAGGTACAAAGGGACCTTGATTTACTCAGTAGGTACAAAGGGACCTTGTCATAACCCTGTAGGTACAAAGGGACCTTGTTATACCCAGTAGGTACAAAGGGACCTTGTCATAACCCTGTAGGTACAAAGGGACCTTGTCATAACCCAGTAGGTACAAAGGGACCTTGTTATACCCAGTAGGTACAAAGGGACATTGTAATAACCCTGTATGTACAAAAGGACCTTGTCCTAACCCTGTACGTACAAAGGTCCTTTGTCATAACCCAGTAGGTACAAAGGGACCTTGTATGAAGGGACCTTGTTATACCCTGTAGGTACAAAGGGACCTTGTCATAACCCTGTACGTACAAAGGTCCTTTGTCATAACCCAGTAGGTACAAAGGGACCTTATTATAACCCAGTAGGTACAAAGGGACCTTGTCATAACCCTGTAGGTACAAAGGTCCTCTGTCATACCCAATAGGTACAAAGGGACCTTGTTATACCCAGTAGGTACAAAGGGACCTTGTTATACCCAGTAGGTACAAAGGGACCTTGTCATAACCCTGTAGGTACAAAGGGACCTTGTTATACCCAGTAGGTACAAAGGGACCTTGTTATACCCAGTAGGTACAAAGGGACTTTGTTATACCCTATACCCAGTAGGTACAAAGGGACCTTGTTATACCCAGTAGGTACAAAGGGACTTTGTTATACCCAGTAGGTACAAAGGGACTTTGTTATACCCAGTAGGTACAAAGGGACCTTGTTATACCCAGTAGGTACAAAGGGACTTTGTTATACCCAGTAGGTACAAAGGAACTTTGTTATAACCCTGTACGTATGAAGGGACCTTGTTATACCCAGTAGGTACAAAGGGACCTTGTTATACCCAGTAGGTACAAAGGGACTTTGTTATACCCAGTAGGTACAAAGGGACCTTGTTATACCCAGTAGGTACAAAGGGACTTTGTAGGTAATATTCATGGATACAATGAGTTTATTTTTTACTAAAATTTTATAAAATCATTTTATCATTGAAGGTAAATGGGAGAAGTCAGAAGCTGAAGTGTTTAGTGATGTTGCTATAGGAATGGGCGTCCCTGAAAATAAGATCATTCTTGAAACTGAAGCAACAAACACTGGACAAAACGTTGCATTTTCCTACAAAGTTCTCCAACAAAAAGGGATCCTAGAGGCTTTACATAGCTATATACTTGTACAGATGCCCCACATGGAAAGACGAGTTTATGCCACTTTCATGAAACAGTGGCCAGGGGATGCGGTCAGTCTGGACATCATTGTGTTATCACCTCCTATCCCCATGTTGAAGTACCCTAATGACCATGTAGGCACCCTTCACGATGTCATCACAGTGCTGGTTGGTTCATTCTTCAGGGTAAAAATCTACCCAGATACTGGCTTCCAGATACAGCAGCACATCCCAAAAAATGTGTGGTTGTGTTTCAACAAGTTGATCAAGACTGGAAAATATGGTGGTCATATGATTTAGAAACATCAATATCCATGACCATGAACAGAATATATAAGTTTACCTATCAACATACTGACTGTTTACCTGTAATCATTCAATACTCAGAATTCTTTGTTCACTTGGATGAAAACTTCAATGGACGAAAAACCTATTTGAAGTTACTATAATTAATTTTCAAGTTGATTATATCTCATATCAATATATATATATATATATGTAATAAAACTTATCTATTAACAAATTCAGCTGATTTATACCAAATAAACTGAACAAGAGGCCTACTGGCCTTGACAATTACCTGAGGTAAGCAATATTGAAAAGAAAGGTTAAAGGGTAGTAACTATAAAATGTCCCAAAAACAATTGACATTGATGATAGTAAGACTAAAGTAACATGTTTTAAACCCTTGGAGGTCAGCCAGTATCAATATATCCATACCATCAAAACTGTTATTCCTTACTAATAATTCTTACAAAATTATTACAATTAAAAATAAACAACTCTCAAAAAACTGATTTCCTTATAAAAACTATAAAAACAAACTTGACCCCCCTCCCCAGGAGGAAAGGTGAGACCCAGGGGTAATGAAATTCACAATGTTTGTAAAGCACCTGCATATCTTTCCATCCATGAAGAGTATTTGATTCTACCATATTTTGGTGTTGATAAAATATTGTCTTAACTTTGAGTCACTTTGACCCAGCCCATCAGCCTCTGGGAGTTGGTCAGAATCAATATGTGCAAACAATCAAACCATCATCCTATGCTAATGATTCTAATCAAAGAAATATTTGCAATGAAAATAAAAAACTTATGCTCAAAAATCAAATTTCCCTAAATCAACTGTAGCAAACTTTAACCCCTCTCCAGGAGGAAATGTGAGACCACAAGGTTATGAAAAAGAAATGGCATTTATAGTCCCATGCCTGCCAATGGTTTTCAGATCATTTGTTACAGCATTATCCCCAAGTATACACTGTTTGATAGTTCAGTACACAACACACAAAATGAGTGGATCAAGAATGTTCTTTTGAATACAGTGTTTGATGTTTTCCACATGATTTGATCTTCCTTTATTGATATGATCAGTTCCTTATTGCTGAGTTTATCACCTGTCAGAAGCTGCTATGGTCAGATTAAGGCAGGGTCTTCATGCAGGAATTGATATGATACTACATACCGGAAAGCACTTAAATTTCACTAAGACATCATTTAGCGAACTCACCTCTGCAGACATTATACGAGTACATGATTTCCCAAATGCTGACTAGAAATGACTTTAAATTCGTAGATGACGAGCTTTTAGAAACAAAAACTCTGGAAAGTTACTATATCTGCAAATGATAGCTTTAGCTTGGCCACCAGTTTGCTTACGAGAGTCAGCTGACTACTTAATTGTGTTTACCTATATACAGGATAGTATGTAGACAATAGAAAAGAACACGAACCCACGTTTCTTGTTTGGAGAGTGAAGTGAGTTGTTTTCAAGGTAGGATGACTTTGACAGGTGAAACATATTGAGCAGTGATTAATGTCACCATTTTATCATGTGTCTTCCATACTTATACAGTAGTTGTTCCAACAGTAATGTCATAGACACTTTTTCTACTGTTAATTATGTAATTTGATAATATAAATATTTCTGAAGAAAAACTGTTATCGTAAATATTTTAGCACTTTTCCAAAATAGTATCAGATTTTACAATCATAGCTATTGTGGAACATTTGCACGACCTCCAATCTCTAGTTGTATATATGTCTAAAGCTCTACTGACCGAGCGACCACAGTCCCAATATGAGTTTAACCTTTTTCATGGTATACCCTATCCTTGTGTTGTTATGAACATTGAACCATGCAGATTATTCTTATGGAAAACATCCAATAACTGTAAAATATTATATTTTTTTATTTATCACTTATAATCCAGCTGTTTTCCAGTGAATTTTACATGTCATATTTCTCACATATATGTCACTAGTGTACTATACACAAGAGCATTTTTATTTTTATTGGTTGCACCAGTCAGACATCAATTGTAATATCATAATATGATGTAATGTCATAATTGAAAATTGCACAACAGAATGTCTTCCTCCATTTGGTTTTGTCTCACACAGTTTTACTGTCAAACCTGACTTTTCTGATTGATGTGATAAAAGTATCTTAAATTTGTTTTCAAAAATCAAAAACTTCTAACTTGTTTCATAAAATTTCATGTGAAATGAAACTTGTTTAAGATCGCATGTACATTTTATTGAATATGAATGCCACTTTTTTCCTCTGTGTAACCTACAAGTAACACAACACTTTAATAACACAATTTGAATTAAGATTATTTTAGGTGACAACTTATTGAATGTTTAATGAGTATATAATACATATCTGTATATCAATCCTTATGGATGGTGAATTGTCACCAATGATTATCTACAAGCTATGCAGTGTGTTAATATTGTTGTCAGGATGACTTACATTCACAATTTACCAAATATATTTATTACGTATGATAAACCTTGGAGTAGGCTTGATATCACTTGCAGTTCACATCTATTTGATACTCTGCATGAAAACAAATGAACGGATAGGAAGGAAATATTGTTCCTTTCTCTATGGCATGGTCTACCATATTTCTAAAGGAAATGAAAAACAGAAATTATACATGACTACCACATATCTCATGAAGGTGTATTAACATTCACTACACATACTACACTTTTGGTAATCACAAAGAGTTTCTCATCTGTTGCTTGTATTCCTAAGATATTGTCCACGCTTTCCAATGATATTACTTGCTGCTTAGCAACAGAGTTCACTTGTCGCCCAGTCTTTCTATTCCTGACCGGTGAAGTGATAGGAGCAGGCTGCCGATAAATATATACATGCCTTATACAGTCACAAACTGCAACGTATGAACTTCCAGGGGGACAAATGGAATATTTTCGCTGTTGTTTGGAGGCTTGAACGTAACCAAAAGCATTAAATGTTGATACATGTTTCCATGGTGTTATTTGTTCTTTGACAACATTCTCTGGTTGCCATAGTAAACCATCGACATCATGTCTGAGACATAAAACTGGTGGCTGGTCACGACTAAGTCTGGCATTGAACAGCCATTGATGACTTCCAAGGTTGGTCTGAAAGGTAAGAATTATTCATGCTAGAAATAACATTATCCTTCAATATCCTTCATTTAAAAATTGAAAATGACAAGTACAGAAAAATCAGTCACAAATTTTTACAGTGAAAAGGCAAACTTTTACGCAGTGAGAAACATACTGTATGATTTGTTATGTGTATATGTTATACTATAGTCATATATCTAATCTTATTATGCATAGCAGAAAAGGATGTAACTCAATTCCAGGAGTTTGTTCACAAGTCTGAATAAATTGATTGGCACTTGTGTTTAAAACTGAAGCAATAGAATGGTGATATCGGCAATCTGAGTTAGTTCTCACATCACATATCAAATAATACTACATGGAGAAGAAGACAGATTTAAGTAATAAATAGAGACAGTGAAAGCTTTCCCTTCATGATGAAAATCACTGCACTGTATTTCTGGATCTATGAGGTGGCAATTTGTTTGGTGCTTCTTACTGAGTACACTGCAAGCTGATGAGGTTTACCTGTGATACTGTGGTATGAGTTGATGCTTTACCTTTGACACTGTAGTGTATGTTGATGTTTTACCTTTGACACTGTGGTGTGTGTTGATGTTCTACCTGTGATACTGTGGTATGTGTTGATGCTTTACCTTTGACACTGTAGTGTATGTTGATGTTTTACCTTTGACACTGTGGTGTGTGTTGACGTTCTACCTGTGATACTGTGGTATGTGTTGATGCTTTACCTTTGACACTGTAGTGTATGTTGATGTTTTACCTTTGACACTGTGGTGTGTGTTGATGTTCTACCTGTGATACTGTGGTATGTGTTGATGCTTTACCTTTGACACTGTAGTGTATGTTGATGTTTTACCTTTGACACTGTGGTGTGTGTTGATGTTCTACCTGTGATACTGTGGTATGTGTTGATGCTTTACCTTTGACACTGTAGTGTATGTTGATGTTTTACCTTTGACACTGTGCGGTGTGTGTTGATGTTTTACCTATGATACTGTGCGGTGTGTGTTGATGTTTTACCTATGATACTGTGCGGTGTGTGTTGATGTTTTACCTGTGATACTGTAGTTAGTGTTGATGCTTTACCTTTGACATTGTTTGGTGTGTGTTGATGTTTTACCTGTGACACTGTGTGGTATGTGTTGATGCTTTACCTGTGACATTGTTTGGTGTGTGTTGATGCTTTACCTGTGACACTGTAGTAAGTGTTGATGTTTTACCTTTGACACTTTGTGGTGAGTTGATGTTTTACCTGTGACACTGTGTGGTATGTGTTGATGCTTTACCTGTTACACTGTGTGGTGTATGTTGATGTTTTACCTTTGACACTGTGCGGTGTGTGTTGATGTTTTACCTTTGACACTGTGCGGTGTGTGTTGATGTTTTACCTGTGACACTGTAGTGTGTGTTTATGTTTTACCTTTGACACTGTGCGGTGTGTGTTTCCATTAATCCGGTGGAGCAGAGAGCTATCTTCAGGGAAAGCATCACAATCTTCCAGCTGTTGTGCATTGTAAGGTTGTCCTTCAGTCATTTCCGCAGCAGGGTTCTATAACGAGTTAAAAATTCATGTAACCCTGTACAGGATCACTTCCTTAAGACATTGAAATTGTCATGTGGAGTCATCTAGGTCGATATTAAATATATTAAGGCTTTTTTATCCTATATCAATTGTTAGTTTATCCTGTTTTCTTTTTTTGATAAACAATTTGAATCCAAGAACAAGTAGGTTGTTACAATTTAAGTTCCTATCACATCACACTATACTTAACATTTTTATGACAAAGTGAGTTCAAGCAAATGTAGCTGACACCAGGAAGTAAACAGTAAGTTAACCTATACCTGTTGGTTTTTTTATTGTATCACCACTATATTGATGATCCTCATAACAACTTATGTAAAAGGTAATTACCAGCTGATCAGAGGTGAGATGTGAAAGTCTTTCATGTATTTGTGATATGAGTCCCTCATCTACAGTCATCTCTCCTCTCTCATCTCCCTGAACGATGACAGGCCATGCCTCTAAATCAGTCTTACAGAGTGTCAGCTCTATCCTGAAACATAATACTAGGTCTTAAAACAAACTGTCTGCCTAAGTCTGAGCACCAAATGTGTTGTGGTGTATGTGGTCTTTCTGCTGTTGGTATTCCACTGCCCTCACAGAATGGTTTTTTTATTATAACAGGGATGAATTTTTTGGCAATCTCTATTTATTATAACAGGGATAAATTGTTTGGCAGCCTCTATTTATTATAACAGGGACAAATTGTTTGGCAGTCTCTATTTATTATAACAGGGATAAATTGTTTGGCAGTCTCTATTTATTATAACAGGGACAAATTGTTTGGCAATCTCTATTTATTATAACAGGGACAAATTGTTTGGCAGTCTCTATTTATTATAACAGGGATAAATTGTTTGGCAGCCTCTATTTATTATAACAGGGACAAATTGTTTGGCAATCTCTATTTATTATAACAGGGACAAATTGTTTGGCAATCTCTATTTATTATAACAGGGACAAATTGTTTGGCAGTCTCTATTTATTATAACAGGGACAAATTGATTGGCAGTCTCTATTTATTATAACAGGGACAAATTGTTTGGCAGCCTCTATTTATTATAACAAGGATAAATTGTTTGGCATTCTCTATTTATTATAACAGGGATAAATTGTTTGGCAATCTCTATTTATTATAACAGGGATAAATTGTTTGGCATTCTCTTTTTATTATAACAGTGACAAATTGTTTGGCAATCTCTATTTATTATAACAGTGACAAATTGTTTGGCAGTCTCTATTTATTATAACAGGGATAAATTGTTTGGCAATCTCTATTTATTATAACAGGGATAAATTGTTTGGCAATCTCTATTTATTATAACAGGGATAAATTGTTTGGCAGTCTCTATTTATTATAACAGGGATAAATTGTTTGGCAATCTCTATTTATTATAACAGGGATAAATTGTTTGGCAATCTCTATTTATTATAACAGGGATAAATTGCTTGGCAGCCTCTGTGAAGATGAATACCCAGCACACTCCTAAACATAGAAGGGCATTATACAGTACATGTAATATGTGAATTAGACACAGTTGTTTGATATCATGTTGGTCTCTTTTCAGTATAAAATACCAACATAGCAGTAGGTCTGCCAGTTAAGATCTTCTCTCACATTGGGTCTATTTCAGGAACAGCTTCCCCTCTTCTCCCCTTACTTTTGCCCCCTTTCAGTACCCTAGTCCTCTGGGGCTTATACCCAGGAAAATATGGTAAGGTACTAGATTTTCATATCAACCTTTGTCCACTGATGGTCCAGGTACTGGCATCAACATCCACACGACGATGAAGCTGACCTTTCAGGAGGGCCTTTCCATTCTTGATACCAATGTCAATGTACTCTGATTTAAGGGTCATGTAGATGTCACCTTTCTTGACTCCCTCGGGGACCGTGAACATAGCACAGATCTCCTCAGAGCCCTGGTGCCAAGTGTACTCTGGGGCATCTTCACATGGTAAAACAAAAGACAATTGGGTGAGTCATTATTTGAAATTATGTGGTTTGCAAAGGAAGAATTTAAGAAATTAATTCATAATCTTGACTAGGCAGTACCTTTCATGGGTCTCTGTGTCTCTATTCTATATCATTCAGAATTAAAAGATGGAGGAAGAATGCAAATGTTTGAGACGCAGCTTGCAGAATTTGTTCAACACATTTGAAGTTGTAGAAAAGATTTTGGTGTCACTAGTAATTTAATTAGTATACTGAGTATTAGTAAAGTATTGTATGTCCCCTACCAGCCCCAACTTTTACACTGTAATGATATATGAAGATGGTGCTGTTTGGTGTTAATTTGGAAAAGGAGAATATACAATTCAAAGTATACGATTAGTTTTTAAATGAGTTTAATGTAAAAATGAAATAGATAACTATCAATACTTGTATATGTCCCTCTCACTGAATTCATTCATCTGATTCAAAACAGGAAAAACATTTAATGAGATGAAAGTGCTATCCATCACTTATCAAAGCAAGAATAAGTCATGTGTTGGTATTCAAAGGGAAGGTACATTTAAAATGACACCCAAATATTTTATTTATCACCCTATGGTATGCCAAAAGTTAATCAAGTAGAACTGTAAGGAAAAAATCATAGCAGTTACTTTTCATAAATCCTCCTAATGAAGACTATCTGAAATTTATTAGCCTATGGTCCTTCTGTAAAATCTACTACTTATGTTGATTCATACAATAGCAAGTATCTACCATTTTGCCTGTTTAAAAGCACTTGTTCTGTATCCTCTTGGACAGGTTTTGAGGAATCTGACACAAACTTGTACTCAGCAGCAGCTGATATGATGATGGATGACCCTGTGTGATCTAGTGCAGCGTAGTCATATGGCTTCGAACCTATCAGCTGGCGTGTTCTTTCTACGCTCCATGACTTTCTATCAACTGCACATAAATCAGATGTATTTTATAATATCAACATATACCTGTTTAGTGATGAAGCCAAAATATCCATTCAATTGATGTCTTATTAAGAAACTTGATGTATGTCTGATATATGTGTTTAGTGTGACATCAGATAATAAATTTTATTGATAAAACAAGCAGAGACTTTATTTCTGAAAAATGCTAGTCAATTGATACAACTTACATTAAAAAGCCAGGTCCCGAGAAAATTATTGTGTGACGGTAAAACTGACCCAAATAATAAATGACTTTGCTATGTCATAAAAAGTCATAACAAACCAGATGTCTCCCTCCAAAACAAAACCGTTAACATACATGTTTTACCACTATGATTGTACTTAATGCTAAGGACTTGGTAGGATAAAGGCCTTTTTTGGTCCAACCTTTTATTTTTATAATTCTTAGTCTGGGTACTTTTGGTTATCTAAAAGCTGGATGTCCAAAATATTTAGTATCTATGTTAAGTACTTTCTGAGATACAGTCATTCAAAACAGGTATACAACGACATTAAGTTTACAAAATTTCAGTGTAAAATTACAAATAGATGATGACTTGTCACCTGGAATTATGTGTACAACGTAAGCATCTTAATATCTCCAGAAGACATTTTATTGTGGAGCTTAGTCTACATAACAATTCATATACATGTATATTTTGGTATTGACTGGTTGGAACTACAGCTGAACATATCCAGCATTCAAGGTAAGCACTATGGATGAGCCATTTTTCAGTTTGATATTTGGATAATTGGCTGAGTTATGACAATTTTTATTTCTATGCGATCACATTGTTTTACAGTGAAAAGAAGGTGCCTGATTCTGATTAAAAAAGTCTATTTCACAATAACCTCAATAAAGTCATAACACCAGAAGATATATTGTTCAAATAATTTTCATACAACAATGTACGAATATTCAAATTTGAAATTTGGCAAAATGACCAGGTGAGTTACAACAATCTTAATACATTTAATATATGGTTGACAGCTTGTCATACCGTATGGAATAAGATACATTAGTTGGTCGCAATCAAAGTTCATTCAACAAAATATCTTCGGTACCTACAGGCAATAGAATCAACATAAAAATGAAAAGTTTACTTTTAAATCATCATTACACTCATTGAGCATTGGCTTTTTAGCAATGGAATGAACTTAATTACTTAATCTTACCCCATTTACAATGTGGTAATATTGATAAATGTCGCACAGCGAGTCATGTTAAATTTCATTAAGGTCCATCCGTCTGTCGCCATGATTCCTATATCGTTGATCAATGAAGTGCTCTGTATAAAAAGCAGTATACCTGAGTTGAGTGTAATCCATTCCAACATAGTTAGGTTTGGAGTTCTGTACTTGTCCTTCAGTTCCTCAGTGGCTTCCTCAACATGGACACAAAGGCACTCCACACAGTGAGTCTCATCCTCTGTGTGTACCACTGTATCTACCAGCAAAAATGGCTCCCCATTGTTCAGAAGATCTTTTGAAAAGATTATCTGGAAGTATTAAAATGTTTGCAAAAACATATGATCTTACCACCTTTTATAACAGCTTTTACTATTTTACAAATGAGAAATATCATTTATTTTTGTCTCACCTAGTAAAAAGATTGCATTCTGGTTATCAAAAATTTGCACAAAAATATCATTTCAACTAAACATCTGCCAGGCACTGCTATTCAGCACAGATATCTAAAAATACCTGCTTGATAATCAGTTGAAATGCTGCAGTGTTGTTTGAACATATTTCAACAAAAGGCAAGCACTATCATTCAGTTTTATTAATAGAACCACATTTAAAAGTTCAAGATTGTGCCAAGTTTATCACATTTACATGTTGACAGTGTAAAAGCTCTAATAACCTACTTAAAGTAGGTTTTCAATCTAAAATTACACATTATATACAGTCACGTCAATCAAATATGTAATTATCAATAGTTCTTTGTGTGTATATATTTTCACTGTTTGAACATATCAGCAAATTGTGATAGCAAGGTAAGAAATTCGACCATGAAGATGTAATATTTCTGGTGCTATGATATGATAAGCTACTTGAATTTATAATAAACACTTTTAACTGGAAACAGAACTTACATTCAAGATAAATTATCGTTACCCAAAGTCATGACATACTTTTACAAGCTTCTGGTGTATCTTACAGTACAGTGAATCACTCTAACACATCTGGTGTATCTTACAGTACAGTGAATCACTCTAACAGTACAGTGAATCACTCTAACACATCTGGTGTATCTTACAGTACAGTGAATCACTCTAACACATCTGGTGTATCTTACAGTACAGTGAATCACTCTAACACATCTGGTGTATCTTACAGTACAGTGAATCACTCTAACACATCTGGTGTATCTTACAGTACAGTGAACCACTCTAACACATCTGGTGTATCTTACAGTACAGTGAATCACTCTAACACATCTGGTGTATCTTACAGTACAGTGAATCACTCTAACACATCTGGTGTATCTTACAGTACAGTGAATCACTCTAACACATCTGGTGTATCTTACAGTACAGTGAACCACTCTAACACATCTGGTGTATCTTACAGTACAGTGAATCACTCTAACACATCTGGTGTATCTTACAGTACAGTGAATCACTCTAACACATCTGGTGTATCTTACAGTACAGTGAACCACTCTAACACATTACCTTCCAATTGTTTGAGTCATCTTCTCTGTTTCCTGTATCAATCAAGTGGAATTTACCAGCTCCATCAGATATGACAGCCATTTGTTGGGAGATAAACTGAAGGACAAGGTTTAGTCGTTTGGGTGTCAGCTTCTGGTTGGCAGCATCAGGGATCTGTAAGACTTTCCTTCCGGTGTCCAGAGCCATTCCCTGGAAAACAAGGAAACAAAATTTGTCTGTAAAGCAATTATACATGTAGAATCAGCAACAGTGATTCATTTTAAGGACATAATAAAAAGAATATATGGTCAAAAGAAATTAACAAAAGTGGTATTGATGTTGATCACTCTTACCATTGATGTTGATCTAATAACAGCCCAGTTTGTGTTGATGAAGTAGACACTTTGTTCTGACCACAAATCCAGGAAAAGGTGGTTGTGGACCCCGTATATCTTTGCATGATGATAAGAATACTGGTCATCACTGAGATCTACCACTTCAATTGCTAATAAAGAGAAAATGTAAAAATGTTGAGGTCTACAGAGATTAATTGTTCTGTGACAGGTTATTTATATGCACTGGAGGAAAAATAAGGTTTTTCCAGCAAAGAACCTAATTTCAATTGAGACATCAGGGGACATAAATGGCTACATCTCTGTAATCTATCATGCCATTTCCCCTATACTCTTTAATTTTAACTCGGAATCGGCTGAAAGGAAATTTCAGTGTTTGTAAAGAGATAAAAGAACGGATTTAAAAGATATATGGTACATGTACTGTATTAAGAGTGTTACAATATCTGACAGGAAATTAATACAGTTTGGAATATTTCAAGGGAAAAAGTTTTACAAAGCAGTAGCTGGAAATAGAGGTAATGAGAGTATGTAGTCTGTTGTAATGATGGTGTCTGAGATCTTTATTTATGCTATAAGTAATTTTGAACATTATGACCAGACAAGTGTCCTTCCGTCTGTCAAAAAGGTGTAGTAGTTGAGATTACAAGTTGGTTGTTGGGTTGAACCTAGGTTGTTGTTGTCTTTGGAGTCAAAGACTTTGTGAAGGAATGAAAAGTATAGAAGTTGAGAGTACAGGTCGCCTTGTCAGCCTCGGCTAATGGGAATTTTCCTTCAGTCAAGTGTCCGGCTAGAGACCCCAGTGATGGCAAGGTGTTTTTCATTTTCATTACTCCTTCCTATTACAAAGGGATGGCCATGTGAGATCAAGCATCATAACACTAATACTAGAGTTATTACGAAAGTTGTTGGAGAAAAACCTGGCCGCCCATTTCTAACTTATAAATGTCGCCTGTTTGGTATAGGGGTCCCACACAGAAGTAGCATATTCTAATTTCAGTTACACCGGTGTCGTTTGACAATATAGCTGAAACTGTTCATGCCATGTCTCTTCTAAGTTTAAATAACAAAAATTGAAATCTTTGGTAAGCAATCAGATTAAAACATCAATATAATTCGTTTTGTGTTAGAGCACTTGTCCGGCGAGTCTAGTTTTTCGATACTCAGTGGGTTGGGATTACATGTACATTGATTCTGTAAACAACAGAGCTATAGTGTACTGTATATATGCACCACTGAAGCTGATTTCTGAGAAAACAATAAGACTGATTTAAAACCATCAACAATCGCATCACTTTTGAACACGTGGAAGTTTCCACGTTGGTCCTGTCTTTCAGTCGGTATCGTATATTGATTAGTAAGTTTTCTGCTCTTTCAGACATTGTAATGATAAAACGAGTAAAAAAATTCATGCAACAATGTTACCGTTGTCCAAAGGTGACTTGTAAAGTGGGAGTTTATCCAATGAAAGCTTATAACCGTCGAATTTCGGATCCAATAGCTCCCTGCAGATTTTCAACTCCATCGTGTCAGCCATGATTGTTTGGGTGACTACAAATGCAAAATTTACTTTCAACAAACGAAATGAAATATATACCGCATAAATCAGTATAATTCACAAATCGATTTTGTCATATCACTTTTTTAAAGTGTTTGGTAGAAAAAAATGAACATAGATTTGTTTTGGTTTAATTTTGAAATCTAATCCAAATAATGTGTTGCGTTCCGACAGAAAAGTTAGAAGGAATATATAGTGACGATTCTTCCGGGTTCAGAAGAGTCTCTCCGGTGGAAAAACCACTGGGTTAAAAAAAACATATATGGGAAGATTGTCTGGTATCAGCGTCACCTTGTATGACAGACAAAATTTACAGATCAGGTAAAAACAAGACAACTGTTCTTTAAGATATATATGATGTATAAGTTATGGTATCGATACACTTTGCCCGTATACAACACCCAACATTCCATTACTACGCGATAACTCGTGAATGAACCAAAATTCTTGGACCTTGTAATTACAAATGAGGAGGAAATGATCTGTGAAATTGAATATGGTAGTCTGGTCGGCAACAGCGACCATCTCGCATTAAATTTAAAATTTCAATGTGAAAAATCTCATTCTGCTAATTCGGAACCACATTTAATGTACAATTAAGGCAGGGACGTAATGAAGGTAACTATGACGGCATGAGAGAAGATTTACCAAAAGAGTGGAATGGACTTCTAAAAGGTAGTATTGAAGATGCGTACAAAACGTTAACAGATGTTATTGATAACACTGACAAAATTCATTCCCGAGAATCAACCAAAAGTTCTCAAGTATCAGGTAAAAATAACTATGCAATACCGCTAAATAAGAGAAAGAACAGAGCATGGCATGGAAACTAGGTGTAAGCTTAACCACAAAGAATATGCTAGAGCATGAAACCAATTAAATTAGGCATTAAGGAAAGCCAGAAATGAAACCGAGAAAGCTTTTGCTGAAGATGTCCAAGTTAACCCAAAATGTTTTTGGAAATACGTCAATTCAAAAAGAAAAGCAAGAACTGTGATCGCTGACTTACAAGGATTACATGGAGAGGAACAAAAGATAGCTGTGAAGGACAAAGATTAAGCTGAAGTGCAAGCAAAATTCTTGAGTAGCGTTTTCACAGAGGAACCACCAAATGAATTGGAGAACGACATATAGTTTACCCTTTTGAAGACATAGTTAGTAATTCCCAAGTTGTTGAAAAGTTGTTAACAAATCTTAATGAAAATAAATCTCAATAAGATGCATCCTAAAGTTTTAGAAGAACTACAAAGTAACATTAGTGCACCTCTAGCATATATTTATAACAAATCGTTAACAGGAGGAAAACTACCACAGGGATGGAAAGAGGCTAACATAACAAAAAAAAGGTTCAAAATCAGACCCAGGAAACTACCGACCAGTGAATTTAACTAGTATAATTGTGAAAACACTGGACAAAATTGTTAGGGATAGTATTGTAAAACATATGAATAAGAATGATCTTTTAAGTCCACAACAATTCGGTTTCGTCTCTGGAAGGTCTTCGCAACTTCAGCTGATAACAGTGCTTGAAGAATGGACAGAAATATTAGATAATGGTGGAGAAATTGATATAATCTACTTAGATTCTATAAAAGCATTCGATAAAGTGGCCCACCAGCAATTAATCAGGAAATTATTAGGATATGGAATAAGTACACAAGTAGTTAATTGGATCAGAGACTTTCTCAAAAATCGATGTCAACGAGTAATTGTCAATGGACAAACTTCAGCGACGTATCCGGTAATCAGTGGTATCCCCCAGGGAAGCGTGCTAGGGCCTATTCTATTTGTATTATATATAAACGATCTACCTGAAGTAACACAGTCACCTAAGAAATCTTGCTTTTGTTCATATTTTTTCCAAGTTTGATTGAATTAGAGTTTGGATTAAGAACCAGCATTTTCTTATTGTTTTTTTGCAAAAGGAAATCTTATTAGATAACTTACAGTAAGTAAACTGATTATGAAATTATTTTCTAGTCTAGATGATTTTCTGTTTTGATGAGATTTGAGACAAAAGTTTACCCTACATACAGGGCATCAATCACAATCAATGAATTACAGCCCAAACTTTGTTATGTCACCATCAGTTGTGTGGGGACATTGTAGTGTTCCCCATGACCCTTGATGTTGTATAATCACATCTGGCAGGAATCAGCGACATATCTGTACACTATTGTTTTATAGACATGGTTTTTTTTCAAATGTTAATATCAATCACTGTTATTAATTTGTGAAACTGTTTGGAGCATTAGCTTACAAGGCGTAAGTATTTATTTTACAAGTGCACAGGCTCAGTCAAAACATCAATGTATCAAATTCAACTATCAACCATGAATCAGAAATTTTGTGGAGTACATTTTGCATATGCTGCGACTGACGACTGTCTTGTTATGATAGATTGAAATCACGACAAACTTAAGCAACATTTTTGTTTACCTGATACTTGATATTAAAAAAATTGAATTGTAACGAGATAATGATAATATGATGATTTACTGTGTTGCAGTGGTGAAGTTGTATACCAGGTGTGTGTAGGTATAAATAGATAGACCAGGCTACGTACCACTTAGTTGTACCTCACAGCTATGGCGACACAAGAAGTACAGGTGAACGTCCCAGTGCTGGAGAAGACACATTTCGAGTTTGATGAGGTACCCATTGGGAGAGGAGGATTTGGTACTGTGTACAGAGCCAAGCATAAAGACTATGGAATAGTGGCAGTGAAAACTCTCATTGACAATGGAATGCTGCCCCAGAAGTTGGTATCACATAGGTTTTTTTATCTATCCTGCTCCAAACACACGTCCTCTGGTTAACATGTACTGACCACTATCTATATTTGAATTTTCTTTGTGAATGCCTATTGTAAAGTACATGTATATACATAGCATATGAAGAGGAAAAAATTGCAATAGCTGTTTCCTTTCCCTAACATCTATCATATATGTCCTGTCGAGTCTCCAAATTTAATATGGACTTCAGCCTCCAGTTAACTCAACAGTTTTGCCAATCTTCAGTGTAAAATTTCACTCCCAAAGTATTTTGAAATTAAAATCTTTTGAATCACTTAGGTAATGTGCTTTTTAGGTCATCTTGACCCTTTGGGTCAGATGACCTATAGCCACCGTGCTTTGTCCGTCGAGCGTAAACTTTTCATTCAAACAACTTCTTCTCTAATACTAGAAGGTTTAGGGGCTAATACTTGGCACAGAGGATACTGGCATGGAGCTCTACCAAGTTTGTTCAAATGAATGACCTTGACCCACTTTAAAGGTCACAGGGGTCAAATATGTTAAAATAGGTTTGGCTTGCTTTTTGTCAGATGACCGTTAAGGCCCATGGGCCTCTTGTTGTTAAATGAGGTTGTAACCTGGTAAAATGCTGAAACACAAGCATGTTTAAAATGAAATAATAAAGCCAACCTCCAGAGATTGCCAGTTTTCCTGTGATGACCTCTTGACACCTCCGTTACATGTGTGCATTATAGAAAAGTGATTCCTTGGGGTATATACGAAAAAGGTTAAACATACATGTACCTAAAGAGTTCACAGATATCAGTTTACAGCTACAGTAAGATTTTTTTTTTTTTTTACAGCTCATGTGTTAAATGCTTCTGGTAATTTACAAAATAGACAAATTTCTGAATTTTATATTTGGTTTATTTTAAAAGCACTTCACATTTATAATGCAACCCATTTGGACAACTTCATATCATTTTTCCCGTCATCAAAATTTGTCAACCCAGTGAATATGACGTTAAGGATTTTATGGAAATTTCTGTTCATCTAATTCCTCTATCATTTTATATGTTCCCTTTCCTCTTACAATGCATGATGACTTTTTGACATTGTCCATGGATTTTTTATTGTGATGATGTATAATATGGTCTTTCCTCATGCTCTTTCCTACAGGCATATCCGAGTACTGACCAAGGAAGCAAGGAAACTTGCACAAGTCTGTGGCCACCCGTCCATACTGAAACTCTTAGGAACTATTATGGAAAAAGACAATTATTCTCTAATTCTTGAGTATATGGCACTTGGGAGCATAGTAGAATTCCGTAAGGAGTTCAAAGTTCAGTGGCCTGTACTCTCTAGAATATTGACAGACATTGCTTCAGGAATGGAGTACCTACATTCCCATGATCCACAAATTCTTCACCTGGATCTGAAGGGAGATAATATTTTACTTAATGGACAGATCCGTGCTAAGGTATAACTAAAGAAACACACTTTAGGTGTAGATATGAATGGACACTAGGATTATGAAATATATGTTGTATGATATATCACTGATATAGGACATGCTTCCATTTGATGATTTGTCTCATTACACATTTCTTGTACAATTTCATACAGGTGTACCTTTGGAAAAAACACTTCGATTTACAAATCAAATTTCCTTGAATGGTTGCATATGCAAATTAGGAAGACATACAGCAGACAAAAGGGGATATGAATATGATTACTGCATGTATCTGTATAAGTAAATATATTTCCTCATAAGTATGTGATTTTAATGTTTTCGAAACTGAGTTATTGATATGAGCATTATTCTCTTTTTTTTTACAGATAGCAGATTTTGGCTTGTCAGAATGGAGGACCATCACCATGACCGTGACAAGAGGGACAGAGGCAAGCAGTGGCAGGAGATGTACAGTTAGCCATGTACCTCCTGAGGTCTGGTCCAATGTGAACCTACCATCCAGTACTCACTTTGATATCTATGGATTTGGCATAGTGCTTTGGGAAATGCTCAGTGATGGACTTCTTTACAGAGGTGGGAAATGGGCATTAAACTAACTTTATTGTAGGGTTTAGATAATACACAGATGGGAAATAGGCACAAAGATCTACCTTCATTATAGGGTTTAGAGATTACACAGATGGGAAATAGGCACAAAGATCTACCTTCATTATAGGGTTTTAGAGATTACAAAGATGGGAAATAGGCACAAAGATCTACCTTCATTATAGGGTTTTAGAGTTACAAAGATGGGAAATAGGCACAAAGATCTACCTTCATTATAGGGTTTAGAGATTACACAGATGGGAAATAGGCACAAAGATCTACCTTCATTATAGGGTTTTAGAGATTACAAAGATAGGAAATAGGCACAAAGATCTACCTTCATTATAGGGTTTTAGAGATTACAAAGATAGGAAATAGGCACAAAGATCTACCTTCATTATAGGGTTTTAGAGATTACAAAGATAGGAAATAGGCACAAATATCTACCATCATTATAGGGTTTTAGAGATTACAAAGATAGGAAATAGGCACAAAGATCTACCTTCATTATAGGGTTTTAGAGATTACACAGATGAGAAATAGGCACAAAGATCTATCTTCATTATAGGGTTTTAGAGATTACACAGATGAGAAATAGGCACAAAGATCTACCTTCATTATAGGGTTTTAGAGATTACACAGATGAGAAATAGGCACAAAGATCTACCTTCATTATAGAGTTTTAGAGATTACAAAGGTGACAAATTGACATGAAATCATTTCGATATAGAGCGTCAGAGATTACAATGGTGACAAATTGACACAAAATCGTTTCGATATTGATCGTCAGAGATTACAAAGAGGAAAAATAGATGCAAAAGCACACATAATCACAAAGTTTGAGAGATTAAACTTCTTTATCTGCATTGCTGTGCAAATGCAGCATATGGATAGAAAGTAAATGAATTTTGCCTTTGCTTAGCCCAACATCATCTGATAGCGGGCTATTCAAACCCCCCTGCATCTGTGTCATCTGTGTGCTCATTGTATTTTTTTCAAATTTTGTTTTAAAATTTTCAAATCAGAAAAACTAAGTAGCTGACTGGCAGTCATATTGGATTTCAACCATGAAAATTTGTTAATGCTATTTCATGATAAATATACTATTGATCTCTTTCAAATTACATTTGAAGGTTCCTCTTGGTCCCTAGTTATGCTCCTTTGATTTCTTGACAAGTGCTCAGGAAAGGATTGTATTTTTTTCAAATTTTGTTTCCATTCAGTCATCAATAACCATATAGCACAGAGTGTTGATATTGGGCCTGTAGCATGCTAGGATGAAGGACTACCAAGTTTTTGTTACAATGAATGACCTTGACCCTTTTTAAAGGTCACAGGGGTTAAATGTGTAAAATCTGTATACAAATTCTTCTCAATAACTAAAAGGTTAAGGCTGTTGATATTAGTTCTTTAACACAATTTGATGAAGGGCTACCTGATTTATGTAAATAATTGACCTTGACCTATATTCAAGGTATATGTGTTGAGATCTTAATTTCTTCTCTCAAAAAGCAATAGGTCCAGAGTTGTGGTAATTGTGTAGTAACATGTCTAAGAAACAGAATTTCAAGTTTGTAGTAAAAGTTTTCCATGACAATGTCTTCTTTGTAAGCTGTAGAGTACATGTAGTGGAGCAAACTTAGGTCATTGTACTCTGATGACTGCTCAGAGTATTTTGTTTGTTGTCACTAGTTTTTTTAGGTCATCTGACCCGAAGGGTCCGATGACCTATAGTCATCATGCTTCGTCCGTCGTCGTCCGCCGTGCGCCGTCCGTAAACTTTTCATTCAAACGACTTCTTCTCAAATACTAGAAGGTCTTGGCACAGAGGATACTGGCATGGAGCTCTACCAAGTTTGTTCAAATGAATGACCTTGACCCACTTTAAAGGTCACAGGGGTCAAATATGTTAAAATCTTTAAACAACTTCTTCTCATTAACCAAAAGGCTCAGAGTGTAGATATTGGGCCTGTGACATGCTGGGATAAAGTGCTACTAAGTTTGTTCAAGTGAATGACCTTGACCTACGTTCAAGGTCACAGGGGCCAAATATGTTGAAATCTTTAAACGACTTCTCCTCAATAACCAAAAGGCTCAGATTGCTGATATTGTGCCTGTGGCATGCTGGGATGAAGGGCTATCAAGTTTGTTCAAATGAATGACCTTGAACAACTTTCAATGTCACAGGGGTCAAATATGTTAAAATCTTTAAATAACTTCTTCTCAAATACTAGAAGGCCTAGGGGGCTAATACTTGGCCCATAGCATGCTGGCATGGAGCCCTACAAAGTTTGTTCAAATGAATGACCTTGGCCCACTTTCAAGGTCACAGGGGTCAAATATGTTAAAATATACAAAGGACTTCATCTCAATAAGCAAAAGTCTATGAGTGCCGATATTGGGTCTGTAGCATGCTGGGAGGAAAGGCTACCAAGTTTATTCAAATGAATGACCTCGACCCACTTTCAAGGTCACAGGGGTCAAATATGTTAAAATATACAAACGACTTCTTCTCAACAAGCAAAAGTCCATGAGTGCTGATATTGGGCCCGTAAGATGCTTGGAGGAGAGGCTACCAAGTTTGTTCAAATGAATGACCTCAACCCACTTTCTAGGTTTGGCTTGCTTTTTGTCAGATGACCGTTAAGGCCCATGGGCCTCTTGTTTTATCTTATCTGTAGATCCCTCTTGGTCTCTGGATGTGCCATTTTGAATTTTGATACTGATCAGAAATTACATGTAACAGAAAGTCTGCAGTCTTGGATTTTGCTGTTTAAAATTTGTTATCACTGTTTTATGAGAAGTACTGTATAGATCTTTCTCAGACTCGATGTGTTGGTTATTCTTGGTCTCTTGTGGTGCCCTTTTAAGTTTTTAGATTGCTCAGAAAAATAAAATGGCTGAAAGGGAGCAGTCTTGGGTTTTGTCAGTGAACATTTTTTTATCACAATTACCTTTTGAAGTACACAAAAGAACATTCCCAAATTTTATATGTTCATTTCTAATATGTCCCTTGTGTGCATTTGATTGTAGGACTGCTCTGAAAAAGAAAATGACTGGCAGTCTGCCAAGTTGGATTTTGACTATTAAAGTTTATTGAAGTCCTTATGAGTAACATTTCATTGCTAAGGGCACCTGTTGAACTAAAAAAGATTAAAAAGATTAAAATTCCAAAATATGTTCTTCTCTAGACCCAGATGGTGTAGAATCTCTTGATATTGGAAGTACTAAGGAGCCTTGATCAAAATATCACACCCCAGGGTTTCACATTTCTCCTTTGGGAAAAATAAATGACACAAACTGCAGACAAGAACTATAATTTGATGTGATATAGGTATTGGTATGTGTTAAAGTATCTGTTATATATTGTTTCCTGGAAAAAACATGTTTTCAGTCTTTTTAGATTATTTTAAAGCTACCGCTGCCGATCCTTACCAACATTGTTGACTGTTTCAAGTGAATGTTTGATGTAAATGTTATTGTAATGCTGAACAGGTGCATCAGATGACTTGATACGGTCAGCTGTCTTGAGTGGACAACGTCCAGACACTTCACAAATCCCAAAAGACTGTTGCCCAAAGTTTATGCAGCTGATGACCAGGTGCTGGCATCAGAAGCCAGCTCAGCGTCCAGCATTCACAGGTCAGAAACTATCTGAAGAGATTTCTTTAGTTGGTTTGTCCAAAACAGAAATTTCTATGATTCCAATGTATTGTTTAATGATACAGTATGTGTGCTATAAGTAGGACCTCTAATTATTTGTTTTAAGACTAACTAAACCTTACATGTCCAAAGGTCCAGTTTAATACATGCATGGATATAAAAATTGGAAGTGATCATTTCTATCAACTCTGTCAGTGATCGTTTCTATCAACTCTGTCACTGATCATTTCTATCAACTCTGTCAGTGATCGTTTCTATCAACTCTGTCATTGATCATTTCTGTCAACTCTGTCACTGATCATTTCTATCAACTCTGTCATCATTTCTGTCTCTGTCAATCATTTCTGTCTCTGTCACTGATCATTTCTAACTCAATCATTTCTGTCAACTCTGTCACTGATCATTTCTATTAACTCTGTCACTGATCATTTCTGTCAACTCTGTCACTGATCATTTCTATCAACTCTGTCAGTGATCATTTCTATCAACTCTGTCACTGATCATTTCTATCAACTCTGTCACTGATCATTTCTGTCAACTCTGTCTGTGATCATTTCTGTCAACTCTGTCACTGATCATTTCTGTCAACTCTGTCACTGATCATTTCTATCAACTCTGTCACTGATCATTTCTGTCAACTCTGTCACTGATCATTTCTGTCAACTCTGTCAGTGATCATTTCTATCAACTCTGTCACTGATCATTTCTGTCAACTCTGTCACTGATCATTTCTATCAACTCTGTCAGTGATCATTTCTATCAACTCTGTCAGTGATCATTTCTATCAACTCTGTCAGTGATCGTTTCTATCAACTCTGTCAGTGATCGTTTCTATCAACTCTGTCATTGATCATTTCTGTCAACTCCTGTCACTGATCATTTCTATCAACTCTGTCATTGATCATTTCTATCAACTCTGTCACTGATCATTTCTGTCAACTCTGCTTATTTCTATATATCTTGGCTGCACTATTTTTTCTTTGGATATTTGTATCACAATCCTTTCTTCTGTTCCCTCTAGCTATTATACATGTACTGACCCTGATACTCTTATATACCTGAATGTTGTTTAACCTCATATTCCTTCAACAATATATGTTGTTCATAAATCAGATCATTCAATTACCCAAGCTTTAACTTGTTTTCCCAAAATAGCATAAATGTTGTCCTATACTTTCTGTTTTAGTGAAATTTAAAAGGATTTATTGCATAAATGTTTTCTAAAATATTTAAAACTAAAATGGAATAAAGATAACAATATGGGCATGATTCAAATTTGTACATTGTTTAAAGAATTTTCATAAGCAAATCATGAAATTTCTATTTTATGTACTTACTGTTTGCATTTCTCAGTTTTGTAAAACGAAACATTGTATTTACCAGCAGTGCAGATATGCAGCTGTCAATATAACACTTTGTCAATAATTGTTCTTTTAGCTGCAGAAATATTTAAGATATGGATATTTTTTTTCAGTGATAAAAAGAGATGTTGATGCCATTTACAGTGACCTGTATGAAAAAGATATTGTGAAAGCATTGAAGAATATAAGGTCTGAGATAGTAGCTGATTATGTGAGTTTTATTTATTTATTTGTACCTTTGTTTATAGAGCAGTTAGCATATTTCCATTTCATATAAAATTTATGAATCAAAATATTTTCTGAAGTTTGTGGAATCTCCATGTTGGAAGGATTGGTCAGGGTGTGGGAAACATATACTTTCTAGGCCTATGAGCATTTATTGTTTTTATTACAAGATTAGTGCCAGTGTTGAAAAAGCAATTTTTTTTGCTGAAATCTATTTTGGTTCTGTTTTTCATTAGACATGGAAATGGCTGTATGCTGGAAGATTGTAATATCATTTAGTTGTGACATCCATTATGTTTGGGTCTAAAGTTAATTGAAACTCTGTGAACAAGTTGGATCTAAAGTTAATTAGAACTCTGTGAACAAGTTGGATCTAAAGTTAATTAGAACTCTTGTGAACAAGTTGGATCTAAAGTTAATTAGAACTCTTGTGAACAAGTTGGGTCTAAAGTTAATTAGAACTCTTGTGAACAAGTTGGGTCTAAAGTTAATTAGAACTCTTGTGAACAAGTTGGGTCTAAAAGTTAATTAGAACTCTGTGAACAAGTTGGGTCTAAAGCTAATTAGAACTCTTGTGAACAAGTTGGATCTAAAGTTAATTAGAACTCTTGTGAACAAGTTGGGTCTAAAGTTAATTAGAACTCTTGTGAACAAGTTGGGTCTAAAGTTAATTAGAACTCTTGTGAACAAGTTGGGTCTAAAGCTAATTAGAACTCTTGTGAACAAGTTGGGTCTAAAGTTAATTAGAACTCTTGTGAACAAGTTGGGTCTAAAGTTAATTAGAACTCTTGTGAACAAGTTGGGTCTAAAGTTAATTAGAACTCTTGTGAACAAGTTGGGTCTAAAGTTAATTAGAACTCTTGTGAACAAGTTGGGTCTAAAGTTAATTAGAACTCTTCTGAATAAATTTTATTAAATGTGTTTACAATGCGATAGAATGAGTGTCTTACTGCTTATAATAACATTTCTGAACATGATTTAATATCAGATACAATATATACTAGCTTTAGACTTATCTGTAATTTTGTCACAGGTACTTAGTTTTTTACAATTTTTATTCAGGAAATCAAAATCACAAAGACTCAAATTTTGTGATCCTTATAAAGTGTATATCATAGGTAACATTTATAATCCATAACCTGGAACTTCACACCATATGCTCCAGTATGCTTAAGAAAATATATTTCCTCTTTGAGAGCAACCAAAATGATTTAGAACAATGCTCTATATGGATATATTCATTCTGTTTCCTGCAGAAACATGATGATCCAGTGTACACTCAGACTGCTGACATCGACAACATGCAAATTCCAACATTTGTTCTCCCAAAGTTACCAGTGGCATCAAAACAGGAAATACCCGTCTGTAAGAACACTTCCATACCATCGACCTCGAGTCATTCATCACCTGCCGTGGCTTCGAGTAGCAAGTCGGATGTTAATATTGACACAACTGCAGCAGAGGAGGATGACACCCCAGTCAATGTGAAGTTGTTTAAAGTTGATGGAGACTTAGACACAAAAGAGAGGATGATGAGGAAGATCATTCACAATCCTGTTGCAATGAGACTTGTGCATTCACCATATGCTAAAGAAATATTCCGTGTAACTGACGATGTAATAAGTGATTTAAAAAACCCAAAGAAAGTCGAACGTATGATTCAGAGTGATTTGGCTTTGCAGTGGGAATTGCAGTTTTCAAAATTTGATATCAGGCGAGAGTTGTCTGGTTTTAATTCTGAAAAGCTTAATCTGAATAACATACTATACAACCAGGTTTATAAAGACGTCCTTCACCATGATCGTAGTAGCTCATTTCGTTCCAGTACAAGGTACTCCACCACAGGACAGCAGAAGCGTGAGAGACGGAGAGATCGTGTGTCTGAAACAATGAATAAAAACCCACATGTAGGTGGCTACAACTCCTCAGGTGAGTTTGTGTCTCAGTGTCTTTATCCAAGGCACCTTTTTGTCTTTTTGTTGATTTTCAAACTAAATTTTTCAAACTATTTCTAAAGAGGATTCGTTTGTTTGATAGCTTTTGTTACCAACACAATAATTAAATACTTTGTTCATTTTGTTGCAAAAAAAGTTGAAAAAAACCACTTAAGAGTCATTTCAGATGTTGGACCTCATGTGTAGTGACCTTGAAATATCATGTAGAGGTTAAGTAATGAGGATAATTATACAACAATATTATTTATTACCTGTGACACTGTTTACACCAAAGATCCCTGTAGAAAGGATAAAGAAACAAATTTTCAAAAGTTTGTGTATCATGTTTTTGCTAAGTTATTGAATCTTTACACTGCTAGGAAACTACTATCGCCTGAAGAAAGCATTGGAGAACCCAGCCCAGCTAAGACAAGCTATGAAGGACAGGGAAAAAGGCACAACTGGTTCCTCTTTAATCACCATAGACAATGAAATCTTTGATCTGATGAAGGATCCCTATCTCCTGGTTGGTGTGCTGTACCAGGAGACAGACCTGCTGTACAAGTTATCAAAGTCAGTATATTTCAGCTCAATTGAAAAAAATATATACACAAGATGTCATCACTATCCATAAATTGGAAAACCACTTTTTGACAAAATCTTTCTTTAAAATTTCTGTAAATGTCTTTATAGCCAAGGATATTTTATAGTTAACTGTTTTTTTTTCAGCAGTCTTTTTTTTTGGCAGTTTCATCAAATTCTTGAAGCAAGAAGAATTAAACTTTGGCAGAAGTCCTGATATGGGCTTTTGTCTTCTCCATCAACTCATTTTTAGCCTACATATTGTACTTCTGAATCAGAAGATGATTAACATGTTTGATGCAAGGGATTTTGTTCTAACCACAAAAATTGCTGCTGAAGAATGATCTGAATTGGAATACTTTGTTCACTATGCAGTTGTGAATGATAAGATGAACTGTTTCATTTCTCCAGTAACCAGTGATATCTTTAACGTTGACCGAGGCAATCTGTTTTGTCTGTCTTTCACCCTTCAGTGTAGGTCTTATTTATCAATTGCTTTTAGAAAAAGGGATTAATATTTCTAGCATGAAAATTCCTTTTTCATGAACTTTGATGTTTTTATATGCAGGTTAAATTGTGATTTTTATATGTCAGATTTCTGAAATCTTTCTAATGTTTTATACGCACTTTTTTTTGGCTGTATTTCCACCTATGCAGTGGATCCAGAAGATACAATCATGTTCCATCTTTCGTGTCTGGCGAATAATTTTACCCATAGTTAAGCAGGGATAATGAGACCATTTATCAGTCATAGTAAGATGATGTGCAGTATACCAAAAATAGGGCCTTAAATTCCTTTATTACAGAATTCTTGCTCTTTTTTAAAATTTTGAGTCCAATAAGGTTGCATTCGGAGAGTATTCATCAGTTTTAGACTCGTTTTACACTTGTTTGATAAAACACATAGCAAATGGAAACAAGAATAGGTTCCTATATATATCCTGGGAGTTAATGGTTTATATAACATCCTATATATATCCTGAGAGTTAATGGTTTATATAACATCCTATATATATCCTGAGAGTTAATGGTTTATATAACATCCTATATATATCCTGAGAGTTAATGGTTTATATAACATCCTATATATATATCCTGAGAGTTAGTGGTTTATATAACATCCTATATATATCCTGAGAGTTAATGGTTTACATAACATCCTATATATATCCTGAGAGTTAATGGTTTATATAACATCCTATATATATCCTGAGAGTTAATGGTTTATATAACATCCTATATATATATCCTGAGAGTTAGTGGTTTATATAACATCCTATATATATCCTGAGAGTTAATGGTTTATCTAACATCCTATATATATCCTGAGAGTTAATGGTTTATATAACATCCTATATATATCCTGAGAGTTAATGGTTTATATAACATCCTATATATATATCCTGAGAGTTAGTGGTTTATATAACATCCTATATATATCCTGAGAGTTAATGGTTTATATAACATCCTATATATATCCTGAGAGTTAATGGTTTATATAACATCCTATATATATTCTGAGAGTTAGTGGTTTATATAACATCCTATATATATCCTGAGAGTTAATGGTTTATATAACATCCTATATATATCCTGAGAGTTAATGGTTTATATAACATCCTATATATATTCTGAGAGTTAGTGGTTTATATAACATCCTATATATATCCTGGGAGTTAATGGTTTATATAACATCCTATATATATCCTGAGAGTTAGTGGTTTATATAACATCCTATATATGGTAGGAGTTTAAACTATATCAGATATTATTTTGTTGTTTCAGTAACTACCCAGACTTGTTTCTGAAGATGTTACAGGATCTTCATGGCTACTCCATGTACACAACATGTAGCAATTCAAACCAATACAAGGACCGCATGTAAGTAACCATATGTGGTGGTCCTAAACTATAACAATCATCAATGGTTGATTTAATTTCCAACATATTCATAGGCTTTTAATTATATGATACTTGTTTGCAAAAATTATCTTTGTCATTTTCCTTAAAATGAGATGCCTGACATTTTTATTTGCTTAAGGTGGATTCTAGTTAATATATATCTCAGTCAATGTAAATTTATTTTCATATTCACAAAATTACTTATTCATGTCACTTACAGACAAAATTTGCCACAAAACTGTTCTAACAATAATGGTCTGACAAATTGCTATTACATGGCAGAAAATGTGATGGCAAACTTGGTAGTCATTGTCACTGTCGATGACATGATTCCTCTTGAAACATCTATCTTTTTTTCTGTTATTATCAAATTTCTCTATTCCTTGTGACTTACAAGACTTGTGACTTGTGTATTACTCCAGAGCTTATAGAGTGTTACATAAATTTGTTCATGGACAATACCAAGCTGTATTCAAATATCAACAGTCAAACACACAGGATCTACATCAAGCTATAAAATCCACAATCCACAAGACAATATCAATCTTCATAATTTATCTATCTGTCATATCAATATATGTTCTTTAAGAAACAAGACCCACATTCTTGATGCTGAATTTTCTGAATACGATATCCTATGTGTAACTGAAACTCATCTTAATAATTCCATTTCTGCAAGCAACATATCTCTTGAAAACTTTGGCAATATTTTCAGAAAGGATAGGACTGATAATAATGGTGGCGGAATACTTATATATACCAAAAATAACGTTAGCATAAAGCGTAGAAATGATTTAGAATCAGATGATCTTGAACTAATATGGACTGAAGTAACAACTAACAATAAACCTATTCTTCTTGGTTGTATATACAGACCCCCTAATTCTCTCGTAGGTTTTTGGGATAGACTAGACAATAATCTTGACAGTATTGTGGATCTACAGAAAGAAGTTGTCCTGGTAGGTGATATTAATGTTAACATGTTAAATCTTAATCCAAACTCTCATTTTCACCGCCTTTTATCAAAATATGGTCTTAAAAATACTATTTTTGAACCTACCAGGATAACTTCTCAGTCTTCAACATCACTTGATATCATACTAACTAATAACGTAAATTTTGTAACTAATAGCAAAGTTCATCCTCCTTCTTGTAGTGACCACTGTCCTGTCAGTGCTGACCTCAACTTCAAGACTCTAAAGAAACGTGCCTATAAGAAGACATTGCTTTATTTTAATAATACTGACTATGACGGGGCTAATGCCTATCTTAATTCGGTCGACTGGGACTCTGAACTACATGGAAATATTGAAGATATGAATTTTGTTCTTTCTGATAAAATCTTGACTGCTTTAGATAAATTTGTTCCTCACAAAATTGTAACTATTAGGCCTAACGATAAAATTTGGATGACTAATGACATAAGACTAAAAATAAGACAAAGAAATCGTCAGCATTCTAAAGCCAAAACTGCAAATACCCCAGCCTCGTGGACAAAGTTTAGAAGTATTCGGAATGAAGTAATTGCATTAATACGCGAGGCAAAAGAAAACTATCTTTCAAAATTACAATCATCTTTAATAGACAAATCCATACCCCCGGGAAAATGGTGGCGTGTTGCAAAATCTGTAATGAACTTTAAAAACAAATGTGAAACTGACTCCCCTTTGGTTATCAATGGTATACTAAAAATGCACCCCACCGATAAAGCAGAATCTTTTAATAATTATTTTGTATCAATATCAGAAACTGAAAAGACTGCTGACGATTTACCTACCGACTTTAACCGACCTGAGCATAGCATCTCGACCTTTGACATAACAGAACAAGACATAATTGACCAACTTCACACATTCAATACTAACAAACCTCAAGGTCCTGACTCCATTCCTCCCACATTTATTAAAGGTGTATCTCAAGCTTTAATTAGACCTTTATTTCTTATCTTTAACAAGTCCATCTCCACTGGTACCCTTCCTTCTGTATGGAAAAATGCTCATGTAACACCCGTGTACAAGTGCAAGGGCTCAAAAAGTAATCCATCCAATTATAGACCAATCTCTGTTACTCCTATTTTTAGTAAACTTCTTGAAAAAATTGTTTTTAAATATATGTTTAATTATCTTTCAAAATATAAAATTATTTCTAAGAATCAATCAGGATTTCTCCCTAAAGATTCAACTGTCTATCAATTATTAACAATATACGATGCTATTGTAAAGCATTTGGATAAAGGTAAAGAAGCCAGAATGATATTTTGCGATATAAGCAAAGCTTTTGACAGGGTTTGGCATGATGGCTTATTATTCAAATTAAAACAATATGGGTTTTGTGGTAATATATTGAACTGGTTCTCTTCGTACTTAATGGATAGGAGACAGAGAGTGGTCTTAAATGGATTCAAATCTAACTGGAAATCGTTAAAGGCGGGGGTACCTCAGGGGTCAGTTTTAGGGCCATATTTGTTTTTGTTGTATATAAATGATATAGGAGATAATTTATCATCTAATGTTAAGCTTTTTGCTGATGACACATCCTTATATACACTGATAGAGGGTAACAGACAGGAGGCTGCTGACATACTCAATGAAGATCTACGCAAAATTTCCACTTGGGCTAAAAAATGGGGTATATTATTCAATCCGGATAAAACAGTTTCTCTTCTTTTTTCAAGAAGGGCTGACTCTGAGACGTTGCATCCTGATCTTATTTTTAACAATGAAGTAATCAATAATGTCACTAATCATAAACATCTTGGTCTTGTATTCAATGGCAATGCCAACTGGTCATCTCATATAGACTTTATCTATGAAAAGGCTTGTTCAAGACTTAATATTCTTAGAATGTTAAAATTTAAGATTGATAGAAAATCCCTTGAGAAAATTTACATCTCATTTATTCGTCCAATCCTCGAATATGCCGATATCGTATGGGCCAACTGTTCCCAGAGAGAGTGTGACGTCATAGAGTCAGTCCAACTTGAAGCATTGCGAATTATATCTGGACTAAGGCGAGGCACTAGCCATGACACTCTATATAAAGAGACTGGCTTTGTTAAACTTAGGATGAGAAGACACTTACATCAAAATATTGTATTTTTTAAAATTTTTAACAGCATATGTCCATCTCATGTATCTGACTTGCTACTTCCCTTTTTTAACAATGTTGTCAATTACAACTTTAGACATAACAGGTTATTTGATTGTCCTTTACCAAGAACGAATCTATATAGTTCTAGCTTTTTTCCAAGACTTATGTCAGAATGGAATGAGCCAGCCTGTCTGTTACCCACAATGACATCACTTGCAGCATTAAAAAGGGAATGTTTAAACTCATCAGATACGGATGCCTATCCATTATGTTCTAATGTTTTTAAATATCAAGGTGATAGGAAATTTAACATAATATTATGTCAGTTAAGAAATTTTGCAAGTAATCTGAACTCTGATTTATTCAATTCATACCTTAGTGATAGCCCTGCTTGTACATGTGGTGCTCCATTAGAAGATCGTGAACATTTTTTCTTGCACTGTCCTCTATTTTCTAATCAAAGACTAACTTTACTCAACTCTTTGTCAGCAATAAACGATTCCATTTCACTCAATATTCAAACGTTAATTTATGGTTTTCAGCCTCAAGTTAAAAACATGAATATTTATATTATGGAGGCGGTTCAGAAATACATCAGAGACACCAAAAGATTTTTCTGAACTCTAAATTAGCTTAGTATTACATTAATTCTGATCATTAGAATGTTTCTTGTCCATTGAAGTTCACTCAATAGTACAAATAATCTTCTATCTAAGTTATGTAATAATACAAGAAAATTATTTTCAAGCTATATTCATATGTAATGTGCATGTAATTACTGTTATATTTTTTAAGGAGAGGGCTAATATAGGCTTTGCCTGTTGCCCAATTCCTTTTGTACATACGATCAGTACAATAAAATATTCTGAAATGAAAAAAAAAAAGCTATAAAATCTTACAATAAGGTTGATATATTAGAAAATAGAATGTTGAAGTTGAAAGATGCAAGGAAATTTAATTGATCATTGACAAAAGAAGAGTTACATATTGCTCTAGCGCTTTCACTGTATTAGATCTTTAGGTGATAGTAGCAGTACATCATTGAGTGACATCACAAATTGTTACATATTGCCAATATACATATCATATTTGGGTTTTTACACCAACAGCTGGGTGCGGGGAACAATGCTGCACTCTGCAGCTCCTCGTTGTATTGGGCTTTATGTTTTGTCAGTTTTATATGATCCTTGTTCTCTCTTTCCGTTGATGTAAGTCTGCAAAAGCGTTTTATTTTACTAGGTAATATTTATTTTCATTGGCAGAAATGCAATCAATCAGGAAGTTTAATGTAAAGGTTGTCAGTTTTAAGGGGCTCATTTCTCCTGTTGTTGAAGACTGAAATAATTCACTCAAATCATATAAATTGTAAATAAAGATTTAGAGAAAAACCGCTATACAGTTCATGATTTCTGTGAAAAATAACACACACAGCAAGAATTTGGACGATACAATAAACAATCTTTACAGTGAACTTGAAGATGTGTTATTGTAACGACATTTATGAATATTCTTGACATTATTATGGCTAGGCACATGATGGAAATGATGCGTTACATGGACAAGGACATGATACATGGGCCTGAGGACCTAATGATGATGATGGAGATGGCTGGACCAAGAATGCGGAAGGCCATGCAACGACATCCGAGGTACAACATGGACAGTGACGAGGAGGATATACCTATGATGATGAGAGAAATGATGATGATGGGACAGATGAATCCACGTCGTGAGTAGGACTTAATCATACACAGATATAAAAGAAACAAAATACCTATATATATGTACAGACAGAAACAAAAGTGAAAGCAGAAAGCACTTCAGAACAAATATTTATACAGTGTAAGGTTAATTAATTCCTAGAAGTGATTTTTGTTTTATTCATCAGACATATATTCTATTAACACACAGAAAACAATATTCATTTAAAAATTGCTTGATAAGGAATTAGTTGATCCAATACATGTCATGTTTTCTGCATATCACTTGACATTGATCCAAAACATGTCATGCTTTTTCATAAACATTGACATTCATTCAAAGCAAGTGATGTTTCGGTGTGTCTCCTGACTTTGATCCAGAACGTGCCTTGTCTCAATATTGTTCCTGCTATTGACTGGACACATGTGTCAGATATTCTTAGTTTTCCTATATTCTGTTTATTTTGAATGCTCATCTCTTGATCACAGAAATGGACGAAATGAGAAGGATGATGGGTCCAATGCACAGGATGGATCGGGAACGAATGAGAAGACGAGAAGAAATGAGAAAGATGTCAAGAACAGAGACCAAACCTAAATCTTCACCTGAAGCTTCATCATCAAGCTCTTCTATGCAAAAAGTTAAAAAAGTAAGTCATCTTCAATCACACATTTACCAGTTTTATGAATTTTAGGAACATCAGGTATTTAATTGATACATACAAATATCTTATATTCAATTAGTTTAACTTTAAAATTTCAATTCAACCATCCATTTCATTAGGAATGGTGATTATGGTATCTGTTTGTTCCAATCTGAATTTGATTTGATTAATGTTTACCCCATAGTATTAAATCACCAAGGCCTACATCTCATCTTTAAGATCTATTTATCAGGGGCACTAGAAACCATATTTAGCTCAGCGGGCTTGAAGGGTGACTGTGATGCGTTGTCCATCATCCGTCAGTCACTCTGTCCTTTAAGCAATTTCTTCTCAATATCCAATGGACCAAATGTTTTGATATTTGACTGGTATGTTCCTGGGATGAAGCCCGACAAAGTTTGCAAAAAGAGATTAACTTGACTTATATTCAAGGCCACAATGGTCAGATTTGTTGAAAAATTTAAATGTCTTCTTCCCATAAACAAAAAAGCCCAGTGGCATATTTGGCTTGTTTGTTTTAAAGATAAAGCCTGACAAAGTTTGTGAAAAGATATGACCTTGACCTTGACCTATATTCAAAGTCACAGGAGTCAGATATCTAAAAAAACTTTTAATTGACATCTTCTCATGAACTCAAAGGCCCAGTGGCATGATATTTGGCTTGTTTGTTCCTAAGATAAAGGCTGACAAATTTTGTGAAAACAGATGACCTTGACCTATATATTTCAAAGTCACAGGGGTCAGATGTCTAAAAAACTTTAATTTACTTCTTCTCATGAACTCAAAGGCCCAGTGGCATGATATTTGGCTTGTTTGTTCCTAAGATAAAGCCTGACAAAGTTTGTGAAAACAGATGACCTTGACCTATATTCAAAGTCACAGGGGTCAGATATCTAAAAAACTTTAATTTACTTCTTCTCATGAACTAAAAGGCCCAGAGGCATGATATTTGGCTGCTATGTTTCTTCATGAAGCTCAACAAAGTTTCTAAAAAGAAATGATCATGTTCTCTTTTCAATGTCACAGGGGTTTGATTTCTTAAAAACTTTAAATGACTTCTCATGAACTTAAAGGCCCTAGCGTCATGATATTTGGCTGGTGTGTTCCAAAGATGAATCCCAACAAAATTGGGGAAAACCAAAAAACCTTTTCAGTGTCAAAGGGGTTAGATTTCTTAAAACATCTAAATGACCTTTTCAATGTCACAGGGGTTAGTTTTCTTAAAACATCTGAATGACTTTTCTCAAGAACTAAGAGGCCTAGGAGCATGATGTTTGGCTGGTATGTTCCTAGAATGAAGCCAGATAAAGTTTGCATAAAGAAATGTCCTTGAACTATATTCAAGAACACAGGGGAGCATTGCAGGCTCACTGGGCCTCTTGTGCTGTAATTATTAGAAAACTCTGATATTCAAAAACATTTTCCATCTTGAGAAGTGCATAGATACTCAACAAAGAAGAAAGGTTTGCACATATTTCTCATGGATTTTAATCAACATATTTTGCAAGAGTTATTGCTCTTTGTTCTCTCTCTAATGCCACTGTCTTTCAAACTTTAGAGGCTTAAGTATAATGGAGTTGTGCTTTCTCAGTGATATTTTGATTAGAAAATTTACTTTTCATTTTCATATTTGCATTATTTTCTAAGCATTTAATTATTTTCTATACGCATATATTCGTTTTTGCGAAGACATGTTTTTTCTTCATAACATATACATAGGTATTTTGAGTAATTTTACATTGTTTATATGTAAAAGAGTATTGCTATGTCATGTAACAGAAACTAAAGAAATAAGGTGATCCCTGGCATTTCTCTCTCTTGTTTCTTAGTTCATAGCACATCATTCATCAAACACTTTGTATTGTTGGCGTATCAATTTATGTATGAAGAAGACCAGTTCAGATTGTTCATTATTACAGGGGGAGTTGTATATGTGGGTTGAAACTTATGGCCTTCTGCAGTTTTGATGTTATTAGATTTGTGTTACTAAGGTAAAAAGATTATGTCCATGTTTTCTATGTAGACAAGCCTTGATAGTGATATGCTGGATGCAGATGGTCCGAAGTCTGACTCCCTAGAGACAGATGCAGCCCCACCTCCTGGTAAGTGTACATGTATTGTGTTTCCTGCCCTCTAGAAACAAGATTACTATTATTGAGGACTGGAGATATTGTTAGTTCAACACCTTTCTCACAGTCAAGCAAGTTTTCAAAGATTATGTTCAAGTGAGCTCCAAATACCACATTTCAAGAGAACTCTCAGGCCTAAGCTTAAGTCAACTCCCCAGGCCTGAATTGAAGTGAGCTCCCCAGACCTGAGATGAAGTGAATATCTATAAGTCTATGTTTGAGTGAGCTCTCCAGACCTGAGAGTAAGTGAACTTAACTAGGCCTATGTTTATATGAGTTTTGTAGACCAGAGATAATGTGATCTTCCCTATGTTTAAGTAAGCTTCCCAGCCTATGTTCAAGTAAGCTCTCGGGTCTTAGAGGAAGTGTGAGGAAGTGAGCTTTCCTAGATCTATGTTTAAGTGAACTCCCCAGGCCTGAGATGAAGTGGGCTTCCCTAGGCCTTTGTTTAAGTGAGCTCCTTACACCTATGTTCAAGAGAGCTCCCTGGCCCGGAAGGAATAAGCTTCCTTAGGACTTTGTTTAAGTAAGCTCCCCATGCCTTTGTTTAACAGAGCTCCCCAGACCTGAGAGGACGTTAGCTTCCCTAGGCATTGATTTAAGTGAACTCCCCATGCCTTTGTTCAAGAGAGTTCCCCAGACCTGAGAGGAAGTGAGCATCCCTATTTTTCAGTGAGCTCCCAAAACTTATATTCAAGAGATTTCGCTAGAACTGAAGTGAACTTCCCAGCTCCCCAGGCCTGAGATGAAGTAATCTTCTCCAGGCCTAGGTTCATGTGAGCTCCCAAGCTTCAGATCAAGTGAGCTAGTATTGTACTCTGTTGAACATTGGTCAGTTTTCACCCAATCAAACTTGATGGCTCTTTATTCTTAAGTATATGTCAGCATCTGTGTCCACTTAGACATCATACACACTCCATATGTATATAACATTATATATCTGTGGTTTGTTGAGGGATTATCTAAGTTTTTGCACTTGCTGTGTTAGAATTTCGGAAAGTTACCTGCATCAGTGCATCTGTCCCAGTCATCTGTTAATAATTTTTGTCATTGCTGTTTTTTTTTTTTTGGTTCAGATTTTATCTGAACTTTTAAAGGCATCGTGTAAGCTATATTAAAGGGAAACATGCTAAAAACTTGGGAATTATATGTCAGTGAGTGCTGTGAAATATATAATTCCTATTTAATTACTTCATGCTCATTAAATTACTCAATGTTAAATCTCTATGTTACTGAAGTTTGTTTTCAATTGTTACATATGATTATTTTGTGCATTTTTCCTTTTCTCAGTGTTTGTGTAATGTTAGCAATTTTTCAATGGCAGTGTTTTAAAATGAACCAAGACGTTTAGTGTTTTTGTCTTCATATAATGTTTATACATAAACTCACCTGATTTTGTCAGGTTAACGTGATATTGACCATATAATGACCTGTGTAAATCGAGAAAAATATTTTAAAAAATGCTATCATCACCCAATATATATCTTTTCTTTAGTATTCAAAAGTTTCAAAATTAGTTTTTGCATGTAATATAGTATAACATAAAACCCCTTCTAAATGCATACAGATGTGATAACTATACAACGGAATATCAGTTCTTCTTGTTTGTGACCCCTCAAAACACTCTGTCACCCTCGATTTTGAAGGACTAGTCAACAAAAAAAACATGACTGACAGGCAGCCATCTTGGATTTTGACAGCTAGAGTTAGTTATCCATTTCTTGAGAAGTTCTGTTTAGATCATTCCCGAAGTTTTATAAGAGTTATGAGAAGTTCTGTTTAGATCATTCCCGAAGTTTTATAAGAGTTATGAGAAGTTCTGTTTAGATCATTCCCGAAGTTTTATAAGAGTTATGAGAAGTTCTGTTTAGATCATTCCCGAAGTTTTATAAGAATTACATGGTTACTTCTCGGCTCCTAGTTAGTTTTAAGAATGATGGTCGGTTCCCCTTTTGTATCTAAGTTGTGTATATTTATGGACTGGTTGGATAGAAGAGGAAGGAAGTGAAAGGTCACTCTGATAATAATAAATACAGATCGCATTATGTAGGGCGGATTGGAAGATTCCTCTGACATCTAGTGTCTATCGTTGAAATCTTTCAGCTGATGCACCTATGCATGAAACTACATTTTCATATTATGGATAATTTTGTAATTATTTCAGAAGAAATTGTAAGTGTAGGTAAAGCCCATTTACAAGTTATTTGTAGTTTGAAAACAGTTTGTGTTGAACTTTGGGCCTTTAAAGTGAATTTTGATTTGAAATGTGATTCATAGCTACCGAAAAGTTCAAACACTTTCGAAAACCCGAGGACTGTAACATTACAGTACATGCTACAGGGGCCTTAGTCACTTCTAGAGTTTGTAGAGTGATATGTTTGGTGTTATGTCTGACTTGTGTATTATTAATAATTTGGTTTAATCCATGGCATGGTTCCAGTAGTAATAACAAAACAATGTACTGTAATCTTATGATTCCTGGTGGTAAGGTATTATTGAAATGTTCCTTATTGATAAGACAGGGAACTGTATCAAGTGTAGGTAAGTATATCTAACAGTGTATCGATAAGACAGGGAGCTGTATCAAGTGTAGGTAAGTATATCTAACAGTCTATTGATAAGACAGGGAGCTATAACAAGTGTAGGTAAGTATATCTAACAGTGTATCGATAAGACAGGGAGCTGTATCAAGTGTAGGTAAGTATATCTAACAGTGTATCGGTAAGACAGGGAGCTGTATCAAGTGTAGGTAAATATATCTAACAGTGTATCGATAAGACAGGGAGCTGTATCAAGTGTAGGTAAGTATATCTAACAGTCTATTGATAAGACAGGGAGCTATAACAAGTGTAGGTAAGTATATCTAACAGTCTATTGATAAGACAGGGAGCTGTATCAAGTGTAGGTAAGTATATCTAACAGTCTATCGATAAGACAGGGAGCTGTATCAAGTGTAGGTAAGTATATCTAACAGTGTATCGGTAAGACAGGGAGCTGTATCAAGTGTAGGTCAGTATATCTAACAGTGTATCGACAAGACAGGGAGCTGTATCAAGTGTAGATAAGTATATCTAACAGTGTATGGATAAGACAGGGAGCTGTATCAAGTGTAGGTAAGTATATCTAACAGTCTATCGATAAGACAGGGAGCTGTATCAAGTGTAGGTAAGTATATCTAACAGTGTATCGGTAAGACAGGGAGCTGTATCAAGTGTAGGTCAGTATATCTAACAGTGTATCGACAAGACAGGGAGCTGTATCAAGTGTAGATAAGTATATCAAACAGTGTATCGATAAGACAGGGAGCTATAACAAGTGTAGGTAAGTATATCTAACAGTGTATCGATAAGACAGGGAGCTATAACAAGTGTAGGTAAGTATATCTAACAGTGTATCGATAAGACAGGGAGCTATAACAAGTGTAGGTAAGTATATCTAACAGTGTATCGATAAGACAGGGAGCTGTATCAAGTGTAGGTCAGTATATCTAACAGTGTATCGATAAGACAGGGAGCTGTATCAAGTGTAGGTCAGTATATCTAACAGTGTATCGATAAGACAGGGAGCTGTATCAAGTGTAGGTCAGTATATCTAACAGTGTATCGATAAGACAGGGAGCTGTATCAAGTGTAGGTCAGTATATCTAACAGTGTATCGATAAGACAGGGAGCTGTATCAAGTGTAGGTAAGTATATCTAACAGTGTATCGGTAAGACAGGGAGCTGTATCAAGTGTAGGTAAGTATATCTAACAGTGTATCGACAAGACAGGGAGCTGTATCAAGTGTAGATAAGTATATCAAACAGTGTATCGACAAGACAGGGAGCTGTATCAAGTGTAGGTAAGTATATCTAACAGTGTATCGACAAGACAGGGAGCTATAACAAGTGTAGGTAAGTATATCTAACAGTGTATCGACAAGACAGGGAGCTGTATCAAGTGTAGATAAGTATATCAAACAGTGTATCGACAAGACAGGGAGCTATAACAAGTGTAGGTAAGTATATCTAACAGTGTATCGACAAGACAGGGAGCTATAACAAGTGTAGGTAAGTATATCTAACAGTGTATCGATAAGACAGGGAGCTGTATCAAGTGTAGGTCAGTATATCTAACAGTGTATCGATAAGACAGGGAGCTGTATCAAGTGTAGGTCAGTATATCTAACAGTGTATCGATAAGACAGGGAGCTGTATCAAGTGTAGGTCAGTATATCTAACAGTGTATCGATAAGACAGGGAGCTGTATCAAGTGTAGGTCAGTATATCTAACAGTGTATCGATAAGACAGGGAGCTATAACAAGTGTAGGTAAGTATATCTAACAGTGTATCGATAAGACAGGGAGCTGTATCAAGTGTAGGTAAGTATATCTAACAGTGTATCGGTAAGACAGGGAGCTGTATCAAGTGTAGGTAAGTATATCTAACAGTGTATCGGTAAGACAGGGAGCTGTATCAAGTGTAGGTAAGTATATCTAACAGTGTATCGATAAGACAGGGAGCTATAACAAGTGTAGGTAAGTATATCTAACAGTGTATCGATAAGACAGGGAACTATATCAAGTGTAGGTAAGTTTATCTAACAGTGTATCGATAAGACAGGGAGCTAACAGTGTATATAAGACAGGGAGCTGTAGTGTAGGTAGTATATCTAACAGTGTATCGGTAAGACAGGGAGCTGTATCAAGTGTAGGTAAGTATATCTAACAGTGTATCGATAAGACAGGGAGCTATAGCAAGTGTAGGTAAGTATATCTAACAGTGTATCGATAAGACAGGGAGCTATAACAAGTGTAGGTAAGTATATCTAACAGTGTATCGGTAAAGAGACAGGAGTGAAAATGTAACATGTAGGATAATAAATAGTGTAAAGTGATCAGTGTTAAGGTATAGTACCAGTGATGAGACAGTGTTAAGGTATAGTACCAGTGATGAGACAGTGTTAAGGTATAGTACCAGTGATGAGACAGTGTTAAGGTATAGTACCAGTGATGAGACAGTGTTAAGGTATAGTACCAGTGATGAGACAGTGTTAAGGTATAGTACCAGTGATGAGACAGTGTTAAGGTATAGTACCAGTGATGAGACAGTGTTAAGGTATAGTACCAGTGATGAGACAGTGTTAAGGTATAGTACCAGTGATTAGACAGTGTTTAGGTATAGTACCAGTGATGAGACAGTGTTAAGGTATAGTACCAGTGATTAGACAGTGTTAAGGTATAGTACCAGTGATGAGACAGTGTTAAGGTATAGTACCAGTGATTAGACAGTGTTAAGGTATAGTACCAGTGATGAGACAGTGTTAAGGTATAGTACCAGTGATGAGACAGTGTTAAGGTATAGTACCAGTGATGAGACAGTGTTAAGGTATAGTACCAGTGATGAGACAGTGTTAAGGTATAGTACCAGTGATGAGACAGTGTTAAGGTATAGTACCAGTGATGAGACAGTGTTAAGGTATAGTACCAGTGATGAGACAGTGTTAAGGTATAGTACCAGTGATGAGACAGTGTTAAGGTATAGTACCAGTGATGAGACAGTGTTAAGGTATAGTACCAGTGATGAGACAGTGTTAAGGTATAGTACCAGTGATGAGACAGTGTTAAGGTATAGTACCAGTGATGAGACAGTGTTAAGGTATAGTACCAGTGATGAGACAGTGTTAAGGTATAGTACCAGTGATGAGACAGTGTTAAGGTATAGTACCAGTGATGAGACAGTGTTAAGGTATAGTACCAGTGATGAGACAGTGTTAAGGTATAGTACCAGTGATGAGACAGTGTTAAGGTATAGTACCAGTGATGAGACAGTGTTAAGGTATAGTACCAGTGATGAGACAGTGTTAAGGTATAGTATAAGTGATGAGACAGTGTTAAGGTATAGTACCAGTGATGAGACAGTGTTAAGGTATAGTACCAGTGATGAGACAGTGTTAAGGTATAGTACCAGTGATGAGACAGTGTTAAGGTATAGTACCAGTGATGAGACAGTGTTAAGGTATAGTACCAGTGATGAGACAGTGTTAAGGTATAGTACCAGTGATGAGACAGTGTTAAGGTATAGTACCAGTGATGAGACAGTGTTAAGGTATAGTACCAGTGATGAGACAGTGTTAAGGTATAGTACCAGTGATGAGACAGTGTTAAGGTATAGTACCAGTGATGAGACAGTGTTAAGGTATAGTACCAGTGATGAGACAGTGTTAAGGTATAGTACCAGTGATTAGACAGTGTTAAGGTATAGTACCAGTGATTAGACAGTGTTTAGGTATGGTACCAGTGATTAGACAGTGTTAAGGTATAGTACCAGTGATGAGACAGTGTTAAGGTATAGTATAAGTGATGAGACAGTGTTAAGGTATAGTACCAGTGATGAGACAGTGTTAAGGTATAGTACCAGTGATGAGACAGTGTTAAGGTATAGTACCAGTGATGAGACAGTGTTAAGGTATAGTACCAGTGATTAGACAGTGTTAAGGTATAGTACCAGTGATTAGACAGTGTTAAGGTATGGTACCAGTGATTAGACAGTGTTTAGGTATGGTACCAGTGATTAGACAGTGTTAAAGTATAGTACCAGTGATTAGACAGTGTTAAGGTATAGTACCAGTGATTAGACAGTATTAAGGTATAGTACCAGTGATGAGACAGTGTTAAGGTATAGTACCAGTGATGAGACAGTGTTAAGGTATAGTACCAGTGATGAGACAGTGTTAAGGTATAGTACCAGTGATGAGACAGTGTTAAGGTATAGTACCAGTGATGAGACAGTGTTAAGGTATAGTACCAGTGATTAGACAGTGTTAAGGTATAGTATAAGTGATGAGACAGTGTTAAGGTATAGTACCAGTGATGAGACAGTGTTAAGGTATAGTACCAGTGATGAGACAGTGTTAAGGTATAGTACCAGTGATGAGACAGTGTTAAGGTATAGTACCAGTGATGAGACAGTGTTAAGGTATAGTATAAGTGATGAGACAGTGTTAAGGTATAGTACCAGTGATTAGACAGTGTTAAGGTATAGTACCAGTGATGAGACAGTGTTAAGGTATAGTACCAGTGATGAGACAGTGTTAAGGTATAGTACCAGTGATGAGACAGTGTTAAGGTATAGTACCAGTGATGAGACAGTGTATACCAGGTATGTTAAGGTACCAGTGATGAGACAGTGTTAAGGTATAGTACCAGTGACGAGACAGTGTTAAGGTATAGTACCAGTGATGAGACAGTGTTAAGGTATAGTACCAGTGATGAGACAGTGTTAAGGTATAGTATAAGTGATTAGACAGTATTAAGGTATAGTATAAGTGATGAGACAGTGTTAAGGTATGGTACCAGTGATGAGACAGTGTTAAGGTATAGTACCAGTGATGAGACAGTGTTAAGGTATAGTACCAGTGATGAGACAGTGTTAAGGTATAGTACCAGTGATGAGACAGTGTTAAGGTATAGTACCAGTGATGAGACAGTGTTAAGGTATAGTACCAGTGATTAGACAGTGTTAAGGTATAGTATAAGTGATGAGACAGTGTTAAGGTATAGTATAAGTGATGAGACAGTGTTAAGGTATGGTACCAGTGATGAGACAGTGTTAAGGTATAGTATAAGTGATGAGACAGTGTTAAGGTATAGTACCAGTGATGAGACAGTGTTAAGGTATAGTATAAGTGATGAGACAGTGTTAAGGTATAGTACCAGTGATTAGACAGTGTTAAGGTATAGTACCAGTGATGAGACAGTGTTAAGGTATAGTACCAGTGATTAGACAGTGTTAAGGTATAGTATAAGTGATGAGACAGTGTTAAGGTATGGTACCAGTGATTAGACAGTGTTAAGGTATAGTACCAGTGATGAGACAGTGTTAAGGTATGGTACCAGTGATTAGACAGTGTTAAAGTATAGTATAAGTGATGAGACAGTGTTAAGATATGGTACCAGTGATTAGACAGTGTTAAGGTATAGTACCAGTGATTAGACAGTGTTAAGGTATAGGACCAGTGATGAGACAGTGTTAAGGTATAGTACCAGTGATGAGACAGTGTTAAGGTATAGTACCAGTGATGAGACAGTGTTAAAGTATAGTACCAGTGATTAGACAGTGTTAAAGTATAGTACCAGTGATTAGACAGTGTTAAAGTATAGTACCAGTGATTAGACAGTGTTAAAGTATAGTACCAGTGATGAGACAGTGTTAAGATGTACTTGTAGGGTTATTAACTGTTGATGGTTGATTAAACATTGTTCACAAAACTGTGTCTTTGTATTTTAGAGAGAGTTCAGGGTACTGCTGATATTGTTCCTGCTGCAACAGCAAAGCCAGCAGTTCAAGGATCAGCAACACCAGGCCATGCTAAAGCACAAGGATTCAGCAGTGTCACCAAGCCAAGTAATAATGTGATTAGCAGTAGTACACATGCAACCCCAGCTGTTGTAACAGAAGGCAACAATGTCTCAGGCCTTGGATCTGCATCAACATCATCAGTGTCAGCATCAGTAGAGCCAATGGACATAGATCCCTTCCCATCTCTGATAACTCTACAGGATAGTATTCCAGGACAGAGCTACTCATCTAATACAAGCCTGAAGAAAATTCATTCTCCCACCAGTCCTAGTGCAGCTTCAGGACCAAGCACAATCACCTCTGACTCCACTGCACTTGAAAGCGTAAAATCATCTGCCTCTGAGGCCCCTGGGAGCCGCAATACCACAGAGACGCAAGTACGTCCACGACCCAATGTTTTCAACACTACCCCACCACCAACTGGGCCAAAAAAGAAAAAAATTACTTATAATGAAGTAAGCATTCATTGTGATATTCAAGTGCAATTTCACTTGCCTGATGGCCTGAATTTTAAAAGCCCAATATATGTTTAATGTAAAAGAATGTAGGCAAAGATAAAGAAAACCTAGTAAGTTTTGCAGTAAAGGCAGGGGCCAAATAGGGAAAATCTAGCAACTTGTTTAAAATCTATCTTCTACTACAGGAATTACAGGATATTGTCCAGATTTGGACATAAATGACTTAAATAACCAGGTGAGCGATGCAGACCATCTCTTTTTTTGTTTTTTTAGGACATCTGACTTATATGCATTGTGTTTTGTCCCTTGTCGTGGGCTGTCTGCCATCCATAAGCTTTACTTCTTCTCAATAACCTCTATTGATATTGGGCCTGTAGCATGATGGTATGTAGGGCTAACAAGTTTATCAATATGAATGACCTCTATGTACTTTCAAGGTCACAGGGGTCAAATATGTTAAAATATTTAAACAACTTCTTCTCAATAACTAAATGTTGTGTTAGTAATCACTCTGTATCCATTACAATGCATCAGCAGAGTTAGTCTGTGTAGTTACAGAACAACATTTCACTATCTAGTTCTACACCTGATAAGGTTTTGTTGGTCTCAATCTGAAAGGTCAAAGCTCACACTTCTTGAAAGCATGTGTTTTCTGCTTTCACAAATAAATGAAAAGATTACAGATAAATGAAAAGATTGTGGAGTGGTGGTGGTGGTGGTGGTGGTGTTGGGAGGGGGATAAAGGTCTATTTATGTTATTTCTTGCTGACCTTTTTTAGTTTCCTGACATAGCCGGAAGGTCCAAGTGAGTTGTAGGGATAACGCAGTGTCTGGTGTCTGTCCATCTTCTGTCAATTTTACAATATATTGCAACTTTTCATGAACGACTGAGCAGATTTTTATTTGATGCATCCTTGGGGAAAGAAAACCAATTCTGTGTAAATGATGGGTCTGCCCTGGGTGGTCTGAGGGGCTGGCCCAATTTGGAAAATCTATCAATTTCTTTAAGATCTATCTTGTTCTTAAGGATTTACAGGACATTGTCCAAATTTGGTCAGAAGCATGCTTGGGTGAACGAAAATCAGTTTTGTTTTAATGTTGGGACACGGCACCTGGGGGCTAAAGGGGCAGGGGCCCAATAGGGTGAAACTAGCAATTTCTTTAAAATCTATCTTGTTCTTCAGAAATTGAAGGATATTGTCCAGATTTTGTCAGAAGCATGCTTGGGTGAAGGGAAATTATTTTTGTATAAAGTGTAGGTTTCGGTCTACTGGGGCCGATCGGCAGGGCCCAACTGGGAAAATCTAACCCCTAAATAGATTTAGTTCATTTTCATATCATTGCTTTGCACCATCAACAATTCATCTTTGGTTCTTTGAAACAGTTGTGATCCCACTATAGCATTGCTGAGCATCAGGAGATAAACACAATTATAATTGAAAATTTGTCCAGGGGTCTGGTCCAACCTCAGGACTGATTATATCTTTGAAGCCGTTGAGATTACCATCCCACAATTTAATAGCATTGGTGGACATTATGAGATTTACAACTGATCTCTGTTCCCAACCCAAGGAAATTTGAAGCTGTATCTGTGGAGTGAGACTCATGAAAAGGAATATTTCCCTTCTAAAGAAATGTTAAGTTTTGCATTATTGACTTAAATATACAGGTGAGCAATACAGGCTTTTCCAGGCTATAACTTCGAAATCGTTCAACTCAACTTCACAAAACTTCCTATATATATTAAGTCATTGCCCTAGTTGTGCCTTTTGCTAATGGAGACGTTTCACTTTTTATATTTTTTTCTGTTACCATGGAAACACAGTCAGAAAACACCAAAAGGGGGCTTTTCAGGGCTATAACTTCAAAACTGTTCCATTCAACTTCACAAAACTTTCTGTATATATTAAGTCATTGCCCTAGTTGTGCCTTTTGCTGTTGTCGACATTTCACTTTTTATATTTTTTTCTGTTACCATGGAAACATAGTCAGGAAAATGTTACTGAAACACATTTGTTGTGTTGATTCTATATTTTCAATTATATCTCTATATATATATCTATAATGTTGAAGTTGAGGAGATTTGAGTTTATTATTTTCTACTAGTGCTTTCACTGTAATAGACCTTCACGTGTAAAGTACTGATACATAAGTGTGTGAAGTCTCAAATTATTGCAGTGCTATATTTGGGTTCCATACCAACACCTGTGCGCGGGGGGATAATGCCACGCTTTGTGGCATCTCGTTATTTTTAAGAGGGCTTTTTGATGTTGTAAAACCCTGTATATGATAGTTGTGTACCTAAGGTAGGCAGCTGGAGCAGTGATAACACAATTACCTTTCACCTAGATGACCAGGGTTCAATTTAGATAGGAGAAAGTTCACCTACCGTATCCTGTGGAATACTCTGATTTCCTCTTTTGCACCTTGTTTGTTGTAAAATCTATTAAGTACATAGTTGTATATATGTCTACTTGCTAGGGCCCTGATGATATCACTATGGATGCTAACCCCAGTTTGGAGACTGTGCCTGCCTTTACCAGCCATGAGAAGACTTACTCAAGAGACGGAAAAACTGTCACTATTCTTGATGAACGTAAGTTAATAATCATCACTACGAGGATATGAGCCTTTTTGATATTTATGTATAAAGGATAGAAATATTCCACCCACGAATCACAAAAATTTGGAAATTTGTTTTCAAATTATAATTTTAAGATGTAGGTTCTCATATGGATATCATTCCCCTTACTTCAGGTAAAACTCAAGTTAAAACAAGCATCTTTCTGATTCTGACTACAACATACTAGATGCTTGAATGTCATCTCACTTTGTCTGTGCATCAGTCCACTTTTTATGTTACCTGAGACAAAGTCTCAGAATAAAATAACGCAATCCCCTTTTGTCTAGCATTGTGCGTCATAAACTTTTAAACATTTTTCACTTCTTCTGGAAGTTGATATTGGAAAATCACATTTTTGAACATTATTTGTTTATTCTCTGTTGGAATTAGTTAAAACCTGGTAAGAATGATTAGTTTAAGATGACAGTTTTACGAGATGCACATGTTGACCTTGACTGACTTTCAGGGGCTGATGGGTAGGGCCAAAAAATTGACTGAAGTTTCACAGATGTTTACTGCTCCTGGATGAATGATTTTATATAGGAAAATTCAAATCTTTCTTTTAATTCAAACTTGGTTAGAAGCCTTAGCATCGGACAGAAGTTAATGCATACATTTACATTTGCATTATGGGTACAATATAGTAAAGTTACCTTACTAATTTAACAAAATCATTTCTATGACATGTTACAAGAAGGATTGTGACTCAGGTGACTGTTAAGTTCCTTGGGCCTGTTATATTGTTTACATCTGTGACAAAAATACAATTTAAAATAAGAATATTGATACTAGTATTCCTGACAAATCCTGATTGAAGATTGTTTCTTCATGCCATTTCAAACTTTTGTAAATAATTTTGTAGGGCCAGGATGTTCCACAAAGATCACAATGCCCGCAGAGCAAGGAAAAAACCAACCAAATATTCAAATTGGGAACAAGAATTTGATGGTTGTAAATCAAGGGAGAAGTAAATCAAAGGTGCCAGATAAAAAACAAATACCAGCCAAATTAACGGGCAAGTTCAAATAGCAGCCAAATTCACACATAAGCCCAAATGTCTACTATTATCATCTATATCTTTATATCACTGTCAATATCATCATTGTGTCTTTATATCACTTTATTTATTGAAATTTGAGATGCAAAGAATTATCCTATCAAAAGTATCAAACTATGTTTGTAGTTTTATTGATCGAAACCTGTTGAGGACTGCTATAGAAATCCATTATTGAATGGAAGTGTTTATCAAAGGGAGGTAACCCTGCAATGTATTAGAAGCTGTATTAATGTAAAAGATATAGCAATAAAGATTATTGTCATATTTTGTATTGTCTCCATTTGGAGTGTTCACTGTGCTGTAGTTTACATTTAGAATGATTAAAACATAATATTAACTCCAATGTTGATTATTTACAGAATCAACAAGAAAAGTCACAGCGGATGACTTAGATATTGTTGCTGAAAACATTGGTTCTAGTACACGTGAATTGGCGAAACAACTCAAAATAACCCCTGCTGCTATGGATCATATTCAAAATGACTATAAAAGTGAAGGAACCTATGAAGTTTGTTACCAGATGTTAATGAAATGGGCGAGAACAGCTGTTAGTGGGGCAACTGTTGCCAACCTAGCCCAGGCAATAAGCAGGATTGGAAGAAATGACATAGCTAATAAGCTTGAGTAATGTCTGTGATAACTTAATTTTTTATATCAGCAGAGTGTCATCAACTTGTGAGTACATGGGCAATGATTCGGTCGTTGTCCTGCTGGTACACACTGCCACTATACACCTGCTAGATATATATGTATTGTATTAATGCAATGCTTATTAACAGTTGTGTTTCAGCTTGTGTAATTGTATGCCAGAACTGCATTGAATAATCTGACTGTTAGCTCCTGCCTGAAAGGCAACTGAACATATGCTGTGGCGCAGCACCCATCAGTCGTCCATCCATCATCAACATTTCCCTTTAAAAGACTTCTCCTTTATAACCAAAAGTCTTAGAGTACAGATATTGGCATATAGCATGCTGGGATGTAGGGCTACATAGTGGGTTCAAATTAATGACATTGTACCACTTTCAAGGTCACAGGAGTCAAATGTGTTTAAATCTTTAAATAACTCATTGATAACCGAAAGACCAATTGTTCTGATATAAGCCTATAGCATGTATGGATGAAAGGCTACCAAGTTAGGTCAAATGAATGACCTTGTACCACTTTCAAGGTCACAGGAGTCAGACGTGTGTTAAGAATTTTATATTTTTTCTTTCAATTACCAATTGAAAACAGTCATTGTATTGGTGTAGTGGAGAATGTGCCTCCAGGTATCTGACTTTACAAGTCATCTTTGTAAGTAGTGCAGGTGAATGATTCAGGCCCATTCTTGTGATATGAACTTTCCTTATCATTGTCAGAGCTATGTGTACATGACCATGAAACGCCTGGTAGAATAAACTTAATTGGTACTGGTGAAGCAAAAATAATGTGTTAATAATTTGATAAACAGAAATTTTACTAACCATTTGTTTAAAACTTTATGTTGAGCTGTGGTACTGCAGAAGAATGTACTGTTTTGTATTTCACAAGCTATGACTTGTAAATATAATGTCACAAAATACATTATCCTTCTGATGAAGGCAAGATTATGGCTTGTCAATGAAATGATGTCTTTTTAGTTTCTTTATATTAATTAAGGAATTTATTAGTTTCTGTAGATTGATTGGCAGTGATTTATTTTACTACCCAGACAACCATTTGTGGAGGAAATGTTGCTGCAGTAGTACATTTCAATTTACTATGATATTGCAGTGTGAAAAACTAAAAAATAAATAATTCTAGATTTTATGCTGAATATTTTCATTATTTATGGGTAGTAGGATGGAAAGGTCATTTTCTGTTGGTGACAGGATTTTGATTGATGCTTAATGACTTTGATCTGGTAGTTCAAACCTAAGACTCTGATAATATGATGCTAAGACACTGATGACAGGATGCTAAGACACTGATGACAAGATGCTAAGACACTGGTTACAGGATGCTAAGACACTGGTGACAGGATGCTAAGACACTGATGACAAGATGCTAAGACACTGGTTACAGGATGCTAAGACACTGGTGACAGGATGCTAAGACACTGATGACAGGATGCTAAGACACTGATGACAGGATGCTAAGACACTGATGACAGGATGCTAAGACACTGATGACAGGATGCTAAGACACTGATGACAGGATGCTAAGACACTGATGACAGGATGCTAAGACACTGATGACAGGATGCTAAGACACTGATGACAGGATGCTAAGACACTGATGACAGGATGCTAAGACACTGATGACAGGATGCTAAGACACTGATGACAGGATGCTAAGACACTGATGACAGGATGCTAAGACACTGATGACAGGATGCTAAGACACTGATGACAGGATGCTAAGACACTGATGACAGGATGCTAAGACACTGATGACAGGATGCTAAGACACTGATGACAGGATGCTAAGACACTGATGACAGGATGCTAAGACACTGATGACAGGATGCTAAGACACTGATGACAGGATGCTAAGACACTGATGACAGGATGCTAAGACACTGATGACAGGATGCTAAGACACTGATGACAGGATGCTAAGACACTGATGACAGGATGCTAAGACACTGATGACAGGATGCTAAGACACTGATGACAGGATGCTAAGACACTGATGACAGGATGCTAAGACACTGATGCTAAGACACTGGATGCTAAGACACTGATGACAGGATGCTAAGACACTGATGACAGGATGCTAAGACACTGATGACAGGATGCTAAGACACTGATGACAGGATGCTAAGACACTGATGACAGGATGCTAAGACACTGATGACAGGATGCTAAGACACTGATGACAGGATGCTAAGACACTGATGACAGGATGCTAAGACACTGATGACAGGATGCTAAGACACTGATGACAGGATGCTAAGACACTGATGACAGGATGCTAAGACACTGGTTACAGGATGCTAAGACACTGATGACAGGATGCTAAGACACTGATGACAGGATGCTAAGACACTGATGACAGGATGCTAAGACACTGATGACAGGATGCTAAGACACTGATGACAAGATGCTAAGACACTGATGACAGGATGCTAAGACACTGATGACAGGATGCTAAGACACTGATGACAGGATGCTAAGACACTGGTGACAGGATGCTAAGACACTGGTGACAGGATGCTAAGACACTGGACAGGATGCTAAGACACTGGTGACAGGATGCTAAGACACTGATGATGCTAAGACACTGATGACAGGATGCTAAGACACTGACAGGATGCTAAGACAAGACACTGATGACAGGATGCTAAGACACTGATGACAGGATGCTAAGACACTGATGACAGGATGCTAAGACACTGATGACAGGATGCTAAGACACTGGTGACAGGATGCTAAGACACTGGTGACAGGATGCTAAGACACTGGCAACAGGATACTAAGACACTGATGACAGGATGCTAAGACACTGATGACAGGATGCGAAGACACTGGTTACAGGATGCTAAGACACTGATGACAGGATGCTAAGACACTGATGACAGGATGCTAAGACACTGATGACAGGATGCTAAGACACTGATGACAAGATGCTTAGACACTGGTGACAGGATACTAAGACACTGGTAACAGGATGCTAAGACTGGTGGTAACAGGATGCTAAGACACTGGTAACAGGATGCTAAGACACTTATGACAGGATGCTAAGACTGGTGGTAACAGGATACTAAGACACTGGTAACATGGATGACACTGGTTACTAAGACACTGATGACAGGATGCTAAGACACTGGTGACAGGATGCTAAGACACTGGTGACAGGATGCTAAGACACTGGTAACAGGATGCTAAGACTGGTGGTAACAGGATGCTAAGACACTGGTTACAGGATGCTAAGACACTGGTTACAGGATGCTAAGACACTGGTAACAGGATTTTAAGACACTGGTAAAAGAATGCTAAGACACTGGTTACAGGATGCTAAGACACTGGCTACAGGATGCTAAGACATTGATGACAGGATGCTTAGACACTGGTGGTAACAGGATGCTAAGATACTGGTTACAGGATACTAAGACACTAGTAACAGGATGTTAAGACACTGGTTACAGGATACTAAGACACTGGTTACAGGATGCTAAGACACTGATGACAGGATGCTAAGACACTTATGACAGGATGCTAAGACAATGATGACAGTATGCCAAGACACTGGTTACATGATGCTAAGACACTGATAACAGGATGCTAAGACACTGGTTACAGGATGCTAAGAGACTGGTTACAGAATGCTAAGACACTGATGACAGGATGCTAAGACACTGGTGGTGACAGGATACTATGACACTGGTGGTAACAGGATGCTAAGACACTGATAAGAGGATGCTAAGACACTGGTAACAGGATGTGAAGACACTGGTAAAATGATGCTAAGACACTGGTTACAGGATGCTAAGACACTGATGACAGGATGCTAAGACACTGGTAATATATTGCTAAGACACTGGTGGTAATAGGATGTTAAGTCACTGGTTACAGGATACTAAGACACTAGTAACAGGATGCTAAGACACTGGTGGTAACAGGATGCTAAGACACTGGTTACAGGATACTAAGACACTAGTAACAGGATGCTAAGACACTGGTTACAGGATACTAAGACACTAGTGACAGGATGCTAAGACACTGGTAATATGATGCTAAGACACTGGTTACAGGATGCTAAGACACTGGTGATATGGTGCTAAGACACTGGTGGTAATATAATGCTAAGACACTAGTAACAGGATGCTAAGACACTGGTAATATGATGCTAAGACACTGGTTACAGGATGCTAAGACACTAGTAACAGGATGCTAAGACACTGGTTACAGGATACTAAGACACTAGTAACAGGATGCTAAGACACTGGTAATATGATGCTAAGACACTGGTTACAGGATGCTAAGACACTAATGACAGGATGCTAAGACACTGGTGGTGACAGGATACTATGACACTGGTGGTAACAGGATGCTAAGACACTGATAAGAGGATGCTAAGACACTGGTAACAGGATGTGAAGACACTGGTAAAATGATGCTAAGACACTGGTTACAGGATGCTAAGACACTGATGACAGGATGCTAAGACACTGGTAATATATTGCTAAGACACTGGTGGTAATAGGATGTTAAGTCACTGGTTACAGGATACTAAGACACTAGTAACAGGATGCTAAGACACTGGTGGTAACAGGATGCTAAGACACTGGTTACAGGATACTAAGACACTAGTAACAGGATGCTAAGACACTGGTTACAGGATACTAAGACACTAGTAACAGGATGCTAAGACACTGGTAATATGATGCTAAGACACTGGTTACAGGATGCTAAGACACTGGTGATATGGTGCTAAGACACTGGTGGTAATATAATGCTAAGACACTGGTAATATGATGCTAAGACACTGGTTACAGGATGCTAAGACACTGGTGATATGGTGCTAAGACACTGTTGGTAATATAATGCTAAGACACTAGTAACAGGATGCTAAGACACTGGTAATATGATGCTAAGACACTAGTTACAGGATGCTAAGACACTGGTAATATGATGCTAAGACACTGGTTACAGGATGCTAAGACACTGGTGATATGGTGCTAAGACACTGGTGGTAATATAATGCTAAGACACTAGTAACAGGATGCTAAGACACTGGTAATATGATGCTAAGACACTGGTTACAGGATGCTAAGACACTGGTAATATGATGCTAAGACACTGGTTACAGGATGCTAAGACACTGGTGATATGGTGCTAAGACACTGGTAACAGGATGCTAAGATACTAGTAACCTGGAGGATAAGTTCCTTATTAAGAAAAAGATACTTTACATATTGCACAACTCCCCTTTCAAATATTGAGTATAAAACAGACTGGGTAGGGCATCACCTATTCCTTCTTTGTCATTGAAACTTTATTTAATTAAGAACAACTTCCAATGCACACACATCCTCATGTATAATGGAGGTATGTATGATGAGATATACTACACAAACAGTGTAATCATTCTCTGCTGTGTTGGAGAAGTCTCATTTTCTATATTGTAAATGGCTATTAATTCTATTTTTGTTTGCTTGGTTGATCACCTCATCACTGGTCAGATTCGTTCTGAGACAGGCTCTCCTTGTTGTAGCAGGTGTCATATTGTTGGTTATCAGCTGACATTAATCAGATTGTGTGAACTAGAAATAAAAATGTTCTCCCGAAAGTGCTTGCTTTTTCGCAATTGTACATTTTTTTTGTAATAGAATTTCGAAAAAGGAAGTGCATAATAGTGTGTTTAATAATCTTTTAACATAGAATTTGCCTGCTATGCAGTGAATTCACCCAAGTAATGTAGTTGAATATATGTTACTTGTGTGATATAACCAGGAGCATTTTTCATCAGTTGCACCATTCATATTTCAGTTGTGATTTTTATAATTTAGAAATTAACATTATATCACAAGTTGAAAATGGGGTATCAGATTGGCTGCTTCCTAATTTTATCCTTCACATTTAGAATTGAAATCCTGTGAAAATATCACTTTTCCGAGCGAAAATGGAAACTTCAAGACTTGTTTCATAAAATTTCATATGAAATATAAACTCATTTATGATAAAATCCTTTGCTTGTGTATAATCACTTAAGGCTCAACATCACACAGGTTTTATTGTAAAAGTATCTCTTAAAACGTCAGAAATTCACTTTATGTGGATTTTGATAATTCAGAGGCAGCTCCAATGGGCTGTCCAAACTTCACCTTCTGTCCTGCTTTCAGTCTAAATTTGAAGTTTCTAGGCGCCTCAAATACGAGTACAATAGTTGAACCAAAGTTGAATTCCCCGAACATGGCTCCTTTTTGTACTGCCAAACCACTGTTTTCTTGAGTACAGAGATTCTTGTCAATATATCTTTTCCCTTTGTGATGATAAATATTTGTCTGTAACTCCTGTAAATAATAAGAAACGAAATGTAATTTTATCTGTGATAATGTGAGCTGAGGTCCAAACACTAAAACAAACTTTTATGATAAAAATGCCTCCTCACTTCCTTATGGGTACATACCTGTGTGTATTAGGCCTAATTGCTATACGGATCAAGAGATGGAAACATTGAAAACATTTAAGTATCGAGAAGGTGCAGACAAGTGCACAGGTAGGGAAGCAGAGCAGGCAGACAAAGACATGATGTGTAACAGCAGGGATTCCCGTTAATGTACCAAAATAACTACAGGTCAAGTCTGATCGCTCTTGTAATCTGTTCTCAACTTTAAAAGTCATCTCATCGTCAGAACTTTGAAGTTCGTCGGTGAGAAATGAACAAGCCATAGGAAGTGAAAACCTGTAACCAACTAAAGCGGAAGAGTCATCAAAACGATGATTGTAAACATCATTAAAGGTTAGTTGTAAATAAAACTTGGTTCTACAGAAGAATCATCATCTATCAAAATCATAGGGTATGCACCAGGGAATTTGATCAGAAGAAAGGAGAAAAATAAATAAAATATTGGCGTGTCAACAGATTCTTAATTCAAACTGAAATTCGATGAAACTGGGGCATAATATGAGCAAAAGAAAGATTTACATAGATACTCAAGAAACGCACAAGGAGGATAAGACCGTGAGTTCCGGAAGGATAAGTTTTTTCTGCTTCAACACAAACGGTATGTCGGCACTCTCCGTAAACGGAAATGTGCACAGTTTAATATAAACTAATCAATACACTCTAGTTCACAAGAAACAGACTACAGGTAAACTAGAAGGGCACTTATGACCACACAGGTAATGTGAAAATAAGCCTGATATACATTTGTATAATGGGTTATAATGGCTTTCTGGTGTTTCAGCCCAGACACTGTACAACCCGAGGTCTACCTGTGGTTTTACCTTCTCAGTTGTAGAGATACCATTTATTACAGTACTACCTGTATGTTACCATGTCATTATATTGAATAGATATAAAATGAACAGTTATCAAAACACAATATTTAGAAATTTTAAATAGGTATTTTCTGGTTTACGGAAAGTACCGATGTTTCTGCCATTAACTTCATGAGACAGTCTAAGGTGATAATGTCACGCCTCCAAAGGTTTACAACAACGGGCCCAATGGGGATACTAACTTGCCTCAAACACGTCCCAAAAAGAAACAGAATGAGATCACTATAAACAACCAGAAAACTTTCCCATATTTTTCATCATTCTACATCTCTTGAAACCCAGTGTTGTGAGTTTCTCCGTCAGCCATTGACATCTTGTGTGGAAATTTTGTTATTGGAAGCAAGCCATTAAACTTCGAATCAGATTTGACATGTTCATACCATAAGTCGGAAAAGTAGATATATTATTATCTTGAAATGGAAAAACTACAATAGGTAAATCACAGTCATTACACTAGTCATAGATCTCGGCCGAAAGATGTTTTCGTTGTAGGACTACATGATCGCGGTGAGTGTCTGATGTAGAAGAGATCTTCAGTTCTGGTATATACCATGGATAAGGTCAATGAATTTCTTGTTATTAAAAGACGAGACATAAATATATCTTAATTGAAGGACTTGGCAGGGTCTATGTGACCTGTTTGATTGAGCCTTTCGATAGATTCAACATCGTAATAGGGACGCTGTTCCGATAGTCATGACAAAAGTCATCTTTTGAGGACCCATAAACAGGGAACGAAGACATTTCTTCAGTATAGAATAAGGTATGTTTGAGTTGGAAATGTGGCCAGCACTGATACATAAAGAGAACATCATCATGGGATACATTGGTGGAAGACAATGTATGGTACCATATGCGTTTCTTGTGAAAAAATGTTCGTTCTCTTTTCTTAAAGATATATTTCAATTTCTCCCATGGAACATCACTCTTTCTTATGAGATTTGTTTTTAGTGAGCTCCTCTAATCTCACTGTTATGTTTATAGCAAAAGGACATCTGAATTGTGCTGAAGAACAGAGCTTAATTGGGCCCCTCTGCGACTGAAAAATAATTTGTTTACAACAATATACATGAATACATATTTAATTAAGATAGGAAACAAGTTTGAGGCATTACAAGTCTTACAATGTGTTTGTCCACATGCCTTGTTATGTGTAAGGTATGTATTATGTGTTATGTTTAAGTACTTTCACTAAAATGTTTAAATTTTCATTCTAGCGAACTGATTACGATAAATATCAATCATTTGAAAATATTCTGATTTGAAATAAATCTAGAACATGGATGAACAATTCATATCCAACATGGTTTGACAAAATCATGACCGGCAAGAAAAGTCCAGACTTCTTCTGATAGAGAAAAACATCTTTGATTGCATCACAAATCAAACCAAGCGCCATTATTACCGATTCCTTTATACGTACCTTATCACAGTAGATCCTTATTGAACCTACATTAGTAGCCCCTACGGCTGTGTAGCTGAAGAATCCATAGTCCCAAGTCCCCATGTATACTGCCCTCTCATTGTAGTTATACAATCCGGCGACCCTCCTGACCACGTGTGGACTGACACTGAGTAGATCGCCTGTAACATCCAACAAATCTAGATGTACCTGTGGTGCATCACAAACTATACTACAAACACTCCCATATATAATGTCTATTTTGGTGACATTGACACATTTCAATCTAGATAATGAATTCTTTCTAAACCTTAAATATGTCCCTTTCAATGTGAAACTAATAGACATTTGTACCAAACCGTTATGTATTTCGGAAGGGCCATTTGGTTGAGCCGTATCACATAAACTATTGACCTTCGTGACCTGGCCGGATAAGTTTGGGTGTTGAAACATATCCCGCTTCCAGAAAGAGTAAAAATTATGATTTAAACCATTCACAATAAAATATTTTAAATTCTATATTTCATTGGCTAATTTGTGCGAAATACAAATAATTACATATCTTTGTTCAACAAGTTCTTCTCCCCTAAATAGTATGCAATGTTCACAAGTGAAAGACAAATAAAGGTTGAACAGACAACCTGGAAAGTGTCTCCGGTGCTGAACTGTCCAGTCTGCTGCTGAATGAAATCTGTGATAATCGCCTGGAGCCAAATATATTACACAGTGGTACAGAGAGTCAACACTATTATGTTTCAAATTTGTGGAGTATTCTTCGTCAGATAAAATATTTTCGGAACCCATTTTCCAGGACAGAGGTCCAAGGAATTCTTGGAGAGAATATATTACGCCCTTCACTTGTTCCAACTTCCCGTTTTCCACCTCGCCAAAATGCAGTACCCTACCATCGCATGGACAGGTCTGTAAAATACAAATAATATCAAGCACTGACATTTTTCAAGTCGATGGCCACAAATTTCTTTCATGTTGGATTGCGTACATATGTATTCTCGTTCTGGGCATTCCGTCTCATAGGAACTAACAAGTCAACAAAAGAAAAGACTTTTAAAAAATCAAGAAAATACCAACATGGCAACATAATTCAAACTCAAATTTGAAGAAGGTTCTATCCATGTAGAATTAAACTAGTGGACATACAAAGAACTAGACCTTACATTCATCAATTAACATAGTGGACATACAAAGAACTAGGTAGACCTTACAATCATCAATTAACCTAGTGGACATACAAAGAACTAGATAGACCTTACAATCATCAATTAACCTTGTGGACATACAAAGAACTAGATAGACCTTACAATCATCAATTAACCTAGTGGACATACAAAGAACTAGATCTTACATTCATCAATTAAAATAGTGGACATACAAAGAACTAGATAGACCTTACATTAATCAATTAACATAGTGGACATACAAAGAACTAGATAGACCTTACATTCATCAATTAACATAGTGGACATACAAAGAACTAGGTAGACCTTACAATCATCAATTAACCTAGTGGACATACAAAGACCTAGATATTACAATCATCAATTAACCTTGTGGACATACAAAGAACTAGACCTTACAATCATCAATTAACCTAGTGGACATACAAAGAACTAGATAGATCTTACAATCATCAATTAACCTAGTGGACATACAAAGAACTAGATAGACCTTACAATCATCAATTAACCTAGTGGACATACAAAGAACTAGATAGACCTTACAATCATCAATTAACCTAGTGGACATACAAAGAACTAGATAGACCTTACAATCATCAATTAACCTTGTGGACATACAAAGAACTAGATAGACCTTACATTCATCAATTAACCTAGTGGACATACAAAGAACTAGATCTTACATTCATCAATTAAAATAGTGGACATACAAAGAACTAGATAGACCTTACAATCATCAATTAACCTAGTGGACATACAAAGAACTAGATCTTACAATCATCAATTAACCTAGTGGACATACAAAGAACTAGACCTTACAATCATCAATTAACCTAGTGGACATACAAAGAACTAGATAGATCTTACAATCATCAATTAACCTTGTGGACATACAAAGAACTAGATAGACCTTACAATCATCAATTAACCTAGTGGACATACAAAGAACTAGACCTTACAATCATCAGTTAACCAAGTGGACATACAAAGAACTAGATAGACCTTACAATCATCAATTAACCTAGTGGACATACAAAGAACTAGATAGACCTTACAATCATCAATTAACCTAGTGGACATGCAAAGAACTAGAAAGATCTAACCTAGTGGACATACAAAGAACTAGATAGACCTTACATTCATCAATTAACATAGTGGACATACAAAGAACTAGATAGACCTTACAATCATCAATTAACCTAGCGGACATACAAAGAACGAGAACTTACATTCATCAATTAACATAGTGGACATACAAAGAACTAGATAGACCTTACAATCATCAATTAACCTTGTGGACATACAAAGAACTAGATAGACCTTACAATCATCAATTAACCTAGTGGACATACAAAGAACTAGATAGATCTTACAATCATCAATTAACCTTGTGGACATACAAAGAACTAGATAGACCTTACAATCATCAATTAACCTAGTGGACATACAAAGAACTAGATAGACCTTACAATCATCAATTAACCTAGTGGACATACAAAGAACTAGACCTTACATTCATCAATTAACCTAGTGGACATACAAAGAACTAGATAGACCTTACATTCATCAATTAACCTAGTGGACATACAAAGAACTAGACCTTACATTCATCAATTAACCTAGTGGACATACAAAGAACTAGATAGACCTTACAATCATCAATTAACCTTGTGGACATACAAAGAACTAGATAGACCTTACAATCATCAATTAACCTAGCGGACATACAAAGAACTAGACCTTACAATCATCAATTAACCTAGTGGACATACAAAGAACTAGATAGACCTTACAATCATCAATTAACCTTGTGGACATACAAAGAACTAGATAGACCTTACAATCATCAATTAACCTAGCGGACATACAAAGAACTAGACCTTACAATCATCAATTAACCTAGTGGACATACAAAGAACTAGACCTTACATTCATCAATTAACCTAGTGGACATACAAAGAACTAGATAGACCTTACATTCATCAATTAACCTAGTGGACATACAAAGAACTAGACCTTACATTCATCAATTAACCTAGTGGACATACAAAGAACTAGATAGACCTTACAATGATCAATTAACCTAGCGGACATACAAAGAACTAGATAGACCTTACATTCATCAATTAACCTAGTGGACATACAAAGAACTAGATAGACCTTACAATCATCAATTAACCTAGTGGACATACAAAGAACTAGATAGACCTTACAATGATCAATTAACCTAGTGGACATACAAAGAACTAGATCTTACATTCATCAATTAACATAGTGGTCATACAAAGAACTAGACCTTACAATCATCAATTAACCTAGTGGACATACAAAGAACTAGACCTTACATTCATCAATTAACCTAGTGGACATACAAAGAACTAGATAGACCTTACAATGATCAATTAACCTTGTGGACATACAAAGAACTAGATAGACCTTACAATCATCAATTAACCTAGTGGACATACAAAGAACTAGATAGATCTTACATTCATCAATTAACCTAGTGGACATACAAAGAACTAGATAGACCTTACATTCATCAATTAACCTAGTGGACATACAAAGAACTAGACCTTACAATCATCAATTAACCTAGTGGACATACAAAGAACTAGACCTTACATTCATCAATTAACCTAGTGGACATACAAAGAACTAGATAGACCTTACAATCATCAATTAACCTAGTGGACATACAAAGAACTAGATCTTACAGTCATCAATTAACCTAGTGGACATACAAAGAACTAGGTAGGTCTTACAATCTTCACGACAGAGAAGAAACCTGCAAAGTGTAATAGCGAAGCATAGCGCAGATGATGTAATAGATAAGTTATGGTTGGTTATGTGAATACTGGACTTAAGAAAAGCAAATGAGTTGTTGAGAAACGGGAAAAAAACGTTAAAGATGAAAATGTGAGAAATATGATTGATTCGTTGGTGGACAAGAAACGAGAAATAACCAACAAGCCAACATAATCAATAATCATAATCCTAAGTCAAATTCAATACAACTAGGCCAAATTTTGAACAAAAGAAAGATTTACACGGAAACGCATCAAAAAGTACAATGATATTAATCTTTATTTATCTTCTGCTTCATCAACGACACCCGTCATGTAAAATCTTAGTCAATTCAAGTAAGTAATGCAATGTCCCTAAATGAGGAAAGGTATACGACAATGGAATCCATAGACAAACTCCTATCACACAAAGAAATATTTCTTAATGGTATCACTATGACAACCGTAAAATATAATTTTCCTCAACCAGCATCTTTTAAACCATGTGTTACGAGTTTGTGCGTCAGTTGACGACTTTTCGCACGAAAGTCGTAATAGGTTGGTGATGCAGGCATGTTGCTATCCAGAAATAGAAAAAAATCACAATAGGAAATTGAATATATGTACTTTGTCAGTTTATGTATATATAAGTGCCTGTTATACATCCTATTCACTTGTTTGTTTAAAGACTTTCCGTCTGTTGTCAAACCACATTAATATTTACGAACAGCCATTGTAGAGTTTACTTCGTAAATGAGATCGAATACGACTTAAGACACGTTAAAAGCTGCATTTATCAGAGGTGACTTCAATAAGTAAACATAAGGATCACTGTCCTTACCAAATTATGAAGTTCGTCCACGGGTCGCACATCTGCTTTTAACTTCCTGCGGAAGAATTCGCTCAAGTTCCGATAGTTGCCTAGATTTTCATCAGCAGCTTCATCAAGGTCCACACCCCAAAGCCATACATAGAGGCCCAAAAGAGGTCTCCGGAGAATAGGATGAAGGTCAAGTTGACTGACCTTGCCCCAGGCCCTTGACATATAGGTCAATGGTAATTTTCGGTATAATTTTACCTGGAAGAAATAACCTCAGATGAAGGAAAAAAGATATTGTTCATTAAATGAACACATGATGTCAAATCCCCATCTCACAAATATTATGTATATTATAGTATATTAAAGATAAAGATTAAAAATATCAATAAAATTGTCACCATTTTGAATTCACGTTCCCGCGTTTTTGTGTATGATGGACCTTAAGTAAGTATTAATTCCTAGGATTTCCAACTTGAGCTTGTATAAATCAAAACTAAAAAGAACATCGCCATTCTGAGAGGAATCAGCGTATAGATCCTATCAGTGACGTAACAAAGCCCTGGCGCAATCTATTTAAACCTGGGCTCGAATTCTTACACAATTACTGAATAAAGATCGTTACCAAGAAACAATCACTTTTAAAGAACATTCTTGTTTATTTGTTTGTTTTTTTCTCACCTAGTCAAAGGAATTTCCCTTTAAAACGTGACCAGTCCAGAACGCCTGATTTGATTTTAATCATGTTTTGGTCTGGGGCCTTTGATTAAGAGGAACGGTACCCAAGAGGTAGGAAAGGACCTGTTTCACGGTACATGTAATATTGTCCACATCCCAATTCAATCTTGATTGTGCCACTGTAAACTCTGAAGAATGTAGGCTTAAAAATCCCAAATACATATATGGCCTGAACTATGACCCTTTTTATGATCCTTGTCATGGGTGTGAGTCAGGATGCACATCTTATCCAAACATTTGTTTAAAAAACCTATAACAAATAATTCAATTGGGTCAACTCCTCTTCGTAAAAGTCTGCATGTTTTGAACACAAATATAAAAAGTTATGGAAGTTTTTTTAAGTAGGAAAAAATCATACATTTCTCATAGAAATTTCAACACGTTTTTATGAAAACTGTTTGACAAACTTACAAAATATTTAGATATTTTGGCCAACTAAATGTACTTAAAATATTAAACATTTCATCAAATTCTGGGCCCGGTAAAATTGTTCCAGGGACAGATTTTCTTGTGATGGCAGTATCAGGACACTACACTTATCTCTTACCCAGAGTGTTTATTTTGTGTAAATGTATGTTTATCTTCATTTCATTATTTCTATGTGACTTAAAATAAAAATAATGTTAAATGGCATTTTTCCTCATTTTATTATAAACAGATCCAATTCGAGTGTTAACGGGATACCGAAATGGCGCAGCGAAGGCTTTCGTTCCAACCAAAAGACAACGTTTTGGCAAAGCGAGTTGGTGAAGACCACAACACGCCGAGATATAAGCGTATAACAGATACTTGAAGCATGTGACATCTCGCTCCCTCGTGTGAATCTGGGAAACCGTGAGCCATCGCATGCGGTACGTACCAAATCAAACAGTCACCTGGTTACATTGTGGAATATCAGGCAGATAACGGTGATAATGAGATGTGTCTACCAGCACGATGATGATCCCATTGGAGAACAGATTCATTCTCGTCACAAGTCTCAAACGGAGTACAATGTTTGGATTCAGTTTGACGAGAATGAACCTGATGATCCTGTGAAGGTATACTATTGTTGCAGGAAAGAGAATCTCTGGCATGTGTGTCTACGTTGCATGAATAATATATTGCTTAAGGTATTATATACATTCGGAACATTCAAAACCAATGCAACCACACATTAAAAAACAAGATTATTTTCTATGAACTAACCTGCCAATGAAAGAAACAGACAATAAGTACCAGGAATCTTAATTGACAACAGTAATTAATATTTGTGAATTATTATCATTGTATGTCTGAAGTATGGCAACAATCATGATCAGAGAGTATTTTAGATTATAGATTTATAGTAGAAAAAACATGTATTTAATTATTCTGCCATCACAAGAAAATCTGTCCCTAAAACAATTTTACCGGTCCAAGAATTCGATGAAATCTTTGGTGTTTTAAGTAAACATATGTGGCCAAAAATGTGTGATGCTTTTAGATGAATAGCAACTGTAAGTTTGTCAAACAGTTTTCAAAACCTTGAATTTGATGAATTTTTCATGAAAAAAATTATGATTTCTTCCCAGTTACACTTCCATAACTTTTAATATGTATAATGCTTAGCTTTATATTTCAGTTTAAAACATGCAGCAGACTATAATGAAGAAGAGATGACCCAAGTAAATGGTTTAATTATGATGTGCACCCTGGGTCACTCCTATGACAAGGATCAGAGGTGTAAGTTGGAACTTTCTGGGAAATATATCTGTGACCAAATAGTGGACATTAGCAAAGTTTTCAAAAAAAAAAACCTACTGTAGTAACAGCATAATTTTGTCTCAAGTACCCTTGGGTATAGAGGACTCGTTTAGGGACAAAAATGGGTGTGACCCCCATGTGGCAGAGGGGCGGAGTGAATTAGGGGAAATATGGACAAAACCATACCCTACAATACCAGACATCAAATATAACTACAACACCAGACATCAAATATAACCTACAACACCATACATCAAATATAACCCACAACACCATACATCAAATATAACCCACAATACCGGACATCAAATATAACCCACAATACCAGACATCAAATATAACCCACAATACCAGACATCAAATATAACCTACAATACCGGACATCAAATATAACCTACAATATCAGACATCAAATATAACCCACAACACCAGACATCAAATATAACCCACAATACCATACATCAAATATAACCCACAACACCAGACATCAAATATAACCCACAATACCGGACATCAAATATAACCCACAACACCATACATCAAATATAACCCACAATACCGGACATCAAATATAATCCACAACACCATACATCAAATATAACCCACAATACCGGACATCAAATATAACCCACAATACCGGACATCAAATATAACCCACAATACCAGACATCAAATATAACCCACAATACCATACATCAAATATAACCCACAATACCGGACATCAAATATAACCCACAATACCGGACATCAAATATAACCCACAATACCGGACATCAAATATAACCCACAATACCAGACATCAAATATAACCCACAACACCATACATCAAATATAACCCACAATACCATACATCAAATATAACCCACAACACCAGACATCAAATATAACCCACAATACCATACATCAAATATAACCCACAATACCATACATCAAATATAACACACAATACCGGACATCAAATATAACCCACAATACCAGACATCAAATATAACCCACAATACCGGACATCAAATATAACCCACAATACCGGACATCAAATATAACCCACAACACCAGACATCAAATATAACCTACAATACCAGACATCAAATATAACCCACAATACCAGACATCAAATATAACCCACAATACCAGACATCAAATATAACCCACAATACCGGACATCAAATATAACCCACAATACCGGACATCAAATATAACCCACAACACCAGACATCAAATATAACCTACAATACCAGACATCAAATATAACCCACAACACCATACATCAAATATAACCCACAATACCATACATCAAATATAACCCACAACACCATACATCAAATATAACCCACAACACCAGACATCAAATATAACCTACAATACCATACATCAAATATAACCCACAATACCAGACATCAAATATAACCCACAACACCAGACATCAAATATAACCCACAATACCATACATCAAATATAACCCACAACACCAGACATCAAATATAACCCACAACACCATACATCAAATATAACCCACAACACCAGACATCAAATATAACCTACAATACCATACATCAAATATAACCCACAATACCATACATCAAATATAACCCACAACACCAGACATCAAATATAACCCACAATACCATACATCAAATATAACCCACAACACCAGACATCAAATATAACCTACAATACCATACATCAAATATAACTCACAACACCAGACATCAAATATAACCCACAATACCATACATCAAATATAACCCACAATACCGGACATCAAATATAACCCACAATACCATACATCAAATATAACCCACAATACCGGACATCAAATATAACCCACAATACCATACATCAAATATAACCCACAATACCAGACATCAAATATAACCCACAACACCAGACATCAAATATAACCCACAATACCATACATCAAATATAACCCACAACACCAGACATCAAATATAACCTACAATACCATACATCAAATATAACCCACAACACCAGACATCAAATATAACCCACAATACCATACATCAAATATAACCCACAATACCGGACATCAAATATAACCCACAATACCATACATCAAATATAACCCACAATACCAGACCTCAAATATAACCCACAACACCAGACATCAAATATAACCCACAATACCATACATCAAATATAACCCACAACACCAGACATCAAATATAACCTACAATACCATACATCAAATATAACCCACAACACCAGACATCAAATATAACCCACAATACCATACATCAAATATAACCCACAATACCGGACATCAAATATAACCCACAATACCAGACATCAAATATAACCCACAATACCGGACATCAAATATAACCTACAATACCAGACATCAAATATAACCCACAATACCAGACATCAAATATAACCCACAATACCAGACATCAAATATAACCCACAATACCATACATCAAATATAACCTTCAATACCAGACATCAAATATAATTATAAATATATATTCAACAACACCTGACAAACACCAAATATATTCAACAACACCAGACAAGCACCAAATATATTCAACAACACCAGACAAACACCAAGTATATTCAGTAATACCTGACACACACCAAATATATTCAGCATTACCTGACAAACACCAAATATATTCAGCATTACCTGACAAACACCAAATATATTCAGTAATACCTGACAAACACCAAATATATTCAACAACACCTGACAAGCACCAAATATATTCAACAACACCTGACAAACACCAAGTATATTCAGCAACACCAGACAAACACCAAATATATTCAGTAACACATGAAACACACCAAATATATTCAGTAACACATGAAACACACCAAATATATTCAGCATTACCTGACAAACACCAAATATATTCAGTAATACCTGACACACACCAAATATATTCAGCAACACATGACACACACTAAATATATTCAGTAATACCTGACAAACACCAAATATATTCAGCATTACCTGACACACACCAAATATATTCAGCATTACCTGACAAACACCAAATATATTCAGTAATACCTGACACACACCAAATATATTCAGCAACACATGACACACACCAAATATATTCAGTAATACCTGACACACACCAAGTATATTCAGCATTACCTGACAAACACCAAATATATTCAGCATTACCTGACAAACACCAAATATATTCAGTAATACCTGACAAACGTGCGAGAAAACTTCAATCGTTGTCTGGTTAACAACCAATATCAGTCGAACACACAATAAAGAGACAACATCAATGGTTTCCGATATAAAGATAACTTTGTTGATAGGAATAAACTTTAAAAATATAATATAAAGACAATATGCGCCAGAACATGCAGTCACGTCCTTAAATAATGAGGATATGTAATACTACCAATTGGACATGGGGAATTTCTGCTAGATGTATTTCGCTGAAACGACGTTCAACCCAACCAATGTTGGTGTAAAATTTCACCCAAAAAAGACGACAAGAAGACTGAATTGTCTGATGTATATAATGTAAACCAACAGAACAACATCCTGTAGATATAGAACTATATACAGTATGAGGAGGGGTTCAGGAAACTTACCGTTCTGTGATATCTTTTTCTGTAACTCGTGCGCCTCTTTCGTCCAGTTCCGTGTGTCCCGGGCTTCTTACCGGTTACATGGTTGCTATAGTGACGTGGGTACGTGTTACCCATCAGATGTCTCCACAGTTGACGTTTGGACATATAGACGACTCGGTGTGTAAGATTGTGGACGGTATTATCCCCGTGCTGTCCTTGGTATATAAATGCCACAACCAATGAACCGTAGTACAATGCCTTGTTGACCTTGATGGTGGGTTGAACAAACGAGTGCACGACTAGGAAGATGTCCCACACTAAAACTATCATCGTGTCACAATGGTCTGTTGATGTTGTAAAGAGCGTATGTTAAGATATCTGCTAGTTGTCTGACCTTGCTAGTAGTATAATCTAGAAATAAGTTAAATGGTGAAGTGAGCTGATATGGTAGAAGCCCACGGTTTGGTATATATAAACACACTGTGGTATAAATCCAGACCCCTTTGATTATGTATTTAATATACCACTAAATAGGCATTTAACAACAATTCATGTATTGTACAATTCTGATAAAAAATAAAATCTATGCAAACACGTGGATTAAAGGGAAATTGAATATCAATCGATATTTTCCTAAAACGTAATACCTCCTCTCGGATCAACTTTCCTTCTACGACACGTCACAGGGATCTATAACATTTTAACACCCAATCATTGTCGCTTTCGATATTACAAGGCTTACTCAAGAGTTAAATATTTGAACATTTAAAAACGAGGGAAAATATCACGAAAAAGTTCATATCTGCTGCTGTACTGTATTGTAAGTAAAGATATATTAAATTAGTTGGATAATTATACAAATATCTGTTTATCACGTTACAGACGCCTGTGTTACTTGTGTCAATATGGTACGATATCAGGGTTGTTACTCTGTTGTACTTTAACCCTCCACGTACCACTACGTCAGTCATCATGTGAAATGTTAATACACAGAAACAAACAGGAAGTTCACTTGAGAAATATTACGATTGTTTAGATTTGTGTAGAGTGTAGATCTTCTCCTTTAAGTAGAAAAGTACTGAGTTAAAACATGGCGACGTTCGAAAGTAATTGGCAACGAAACCTCATTAGTCCGGACACTTCGTATCACTACAAGCACTAACCCCCTCCCCCCTCCCCGCCCTCCTAGTCCCCGCAAGTTATCACGATTTTATTATAAAGATAGTTATGTTTGGTGAAATTCCGGCTCTTTCAACAAGTTTGAATGTTTTAATTACAGTTTTAATTTAATTTTATTCCCTTCACCGGTAGGGGGCTAAAATTTTCCTATCCGGAAAGTTCAGAGTATATCTTGAGAGGCATAAAATTTCGTATAGAGTTCTAATAAAGGAAATATTTCAAGACAACAAAGCGCAATTTTCATCCTCGTGTTCGTTACATCAAATATATCTTCAATGGCTTTTCACTGACCTTCATTTATTTCAATGAAAACCAGTTTTCGTTATTTTAAGATGTTCCTACATGTATATAATATTTCATCACTAGAAGTTAATGATAAAAACGAGCTCCGTAACATCCACGTTAACATCTGATTTACAGAAACATGTACTCGTTTTCCGAACTATTCACACCATGCACATGAGGCCACGTTTACTTAAAATGGTTCGAGTTCACGTGTCCCTTACAATGAACTTTGGGACATGTCGGATGTTGCACGATGGAAATATAAAGTCACGTGTTCATGACAATGGACAAGAAATAACAAATACAATACAGAAATTGAACTTTACGGTCGGTTAGTCAAATCTCGTGATATAAGGAAGGTAGCGCGCAGTTTGATTAAAAACTGACATATGTATTATAGCGATGTGTTCGTCTCAGAACTTGTGAAAGGAACAACGCGGAATAGATTAACTCTACAAAGCTTGATATATGATTGATCTGTTTCCTTACTACGAAAGTCTCTCATAACACAGACACAACATCCCCGAACCTTTTACACGACCACTCCTCCTCGACCACTTCGGAACCCCATCCAATGTGACCCAACCCATCTTCGCATAATTAAAACGTACAATGTAATTATTTTATCTGAATGATAGATACCAAATGATTTCCAGATCGATGTTCAAGGTTTTCATTCGTGTGATATTCTCAAGAAACTGTTGTTGTTTGAATTGATTTGAGGTTAAAATCATATATGTCTATTTGAAAAATAATGTATGAATGCATGGTTTGGTTAAAAATAGATTAAAAACTACTGTTGTGTAAAGACAAATATGTTTGCCTAGTCACTCGCAATGCTTTAAACTTATTGGTAAACTGGATCGATTTTCCACTGATGGAGAAATTATACTTACAGGGGAGTTTAGTAGCCAGAGAAATAAAGAACAGGTTTAACGAATGTTCTTCCGTCTGTATTCTTTAGCAAACAATTGATTCTAGTCGTTATAAATATCGAGCGGAATAGGAGACACTATGTTATTTATAAATCGACTTGTGAAGCTGAAGACGAGCTTTATTTGGTGTTATCATGTAACAGAAAACTTTTAAAGAATCAGTTGTATATAAACAGAAACATTTGGCAAAAACCGTCAAACTTCTATAACAATTATCTTGCGCACCAACGACATGGAATCAAGCTCTCTCGGAAAATTCATTTTTGAAGCCAGTAGATAATAGTTGTATATTTTATAAATTTTTCTCCGCTTTTGATTTGCTTTTTCATATCACATATTATGTAAATATAATTCCAAATGTTTACTAAGTGTAGTCCCTACGGCCCATAAGTATAGGTAGTCCATACGGCCCATAAGTATAGATAGTCACTACGGCCCATAAGTATAGACAGTCCCTACGGCCCATAAGTATAGATAGTCACTACGGCCCATAAGTATAGACAGTCCCTACGGCCCATAAGTATAGACAGTCCCTACGGCCCATAAGTATAGATAGTCCCTACGGCTCATAAGTATAGACAGTCACTACGGCCCATAAGTATAGATAGTCACTACGGCCCATAAGTATAGATAGTCACTACGGCCCATAAGTATAGATAGTCCCTACGGCTCATAAGTATAGACAGTCACTACGGCCCATAAGTATAGACAGTCACTACGGCCCATAAGTATAGATACTCCCTACGGCTCATAAGTATAGACAGTCACTACGGCCCATAAGTATAGACAGTCACTACGGCCCATAAGTATAGACAGTCCCTACGGCCCATAAGTATAGATAGTCACTACGGCCCATAAGTATAGACAGTCACTACGGCCCATAAGTATAGACAGTCCCTACGGCCCATAAGTATAGATACTCCCTACGGCCCATAAGTATAGATAGTCACTACGGCCCATAAGTATAGATAGTCCCTACGGCCCATAAGTATAGACATTCACTACGGCCCATAAGTATAGATAGTCCCTACGGCTCATAAGTATAGACAGTCACTACGGCCCATAAGTATAGACAGTCACTACGGCCCATAAGTATATATACTCCCTACGGCTCATAAGTATAGACGGTCCCTACGGCTCATAAGTATATATACTCCCTACGGCCCATAAGTATAGATAGTCACTACGGCCCATAAGTATAGATACTCCCTACGGCCCATAAGTATAGTCACTACGGCCCATAAGTATAGACAGTCCCTACGGCTCATAAGTATATATACTCCCTACGGCCCATAAGTATAGATATTCACTACGGCCCATAAGTATAGATACTCCCTACGGCCAATAAGTATAGATAGTCACTACGGCCCATAAGTATAGATACTCCCTACGGCCCATAAGTATAGATAGTCACTACGGCCCATAAGTATATATACTCCATACGGCCCATAAGTATATATACTCTCTACGGCCCATAAGTATAGATAGTCACTACGGCCCATAAGTATAGATAGTCACTACGGCCCATAAGTATAGATAGTCACTACGGCCCCTAAGTATATATACTCCCTACGGCCCATAAGTATAGATAGTCACTACGGCCCCTAAGTATATATACTCCCTACGGCCCCTAAGTATAGATAGTCACTACGGCCCATAAGTATATATACTCCCTACGGCCCATAAGTATAGATACTCCCTACGGCCCATAAGTATAGACAGTCACTACGGCCCATAAGTATAGATAGTCACTACGGCCCATAAGTATAGATAGTCACTACGGCCCATAAGTATATATACTCCCTACGGCCCATAAGTATAGATAGTCACTACGGCCCATAAGTATAGATAGTCACTACGGCCCATAAGTATAGATAGTCACTACGGCCCCTAAGTATATATACTCCCTACGGCCCATAAGTATAGATAGTCACTACGGCCCATAAGTATATATACTCCCTACGGCCCATAAGTATAGATAGTCACTACGGCCCATAAGTATATATACTCCCTACGGCCCATAAGTATATATACTCTCTACGGCCCATAAGTATATATAGTCACTACGGCCCATAAGTATATATACTCCCTACGGCCCATAAGTATATATACTCCCTACGGCCCATAAGTATAGATAGTCACTACGGCCCATAAGTATAGATAGTCACTACGGCCCATAAGTATAGATAGTCACTACGGCCCATAAGTATATATACTCCCTACGGCCCATAAGTATAGATAGTCACTACGGCCCATAAGTATATATACTCCCTACGGCCCATAAGTATAGATAGTCACTACGGCCCATAAGTATAGATACTCCCTACGGCCCATAAGTATAGATAGTCACTACGGCCCATAAGTATATATACTCCCTACGGCCCATAAGTATATATACTCCCTACGGCCCATAAGTATAGATAGTCACTACGGCCCATAAGTATAGATAGTCACTACGGCCCATAAGTATATATACTCCCTACGGCCCATAAGTATATATACTCACTACGGCCCATAAGTATAGATACTCACTACGGCCCATAAGTATAGATAGTCACTACGGCCCATAAGTATAGATAGTCACTACGGCCCCTAAGTATATATACTCCCTACGGCCCATAAGTATAGATAGTCACTACGGCCCCTAAGTACATATACTCCCTACGGACCATAAGTATAGATAGTCACTACGGCCCATAAGTATATATACTCCCTACGGCCCATAAGTATAGATAGTCACTACGGCCCATAAGTATAGATACTCCCTACGGCCCATAAGTATATATACTCCCTACGGCCCATAAGTATATATACTCCCTACGGCCCATAAGTATAGATAGTCACTACGGCCCATAAGTATAGATAGTCGGCCCATAAGTATATATACTCCCTACGGCCCATAAGTATATATAGTCACTACGGCCCATAAGTATATATACTCCCTACGGCCCATAAGTATATATACTCCCTACGGCCCATAAGTATATATACTCCCTACGGCCCATAAGTATAGATAGTCACTACGGCCCATAAGTATAGATAGTCACTACGGCCCATAAGTATATATACTCCCTACGGCCCATAAGTATATATACTCCCTACGGCCCATAAGTATATATACTCCCTACGGCCCATAAGTATAGATAGTCACTACGGCCCATAAGTATAGATAGTCACTACGGCCCATAAGTATAGATACTCCCTACGGCCCATAAGTATATATACTCCCTACGGCCCATAAGTATATATACTCCCTACGGCCCATAAGTATAGATAGTCACTACGGCCCATAAGTATAGATAGTCACTACGGCCCATAAGTATATATACTCCCTACGGCCCATAAGTATATATACTCCCTACGGCCCATAAGTATAGATAGTCACTACGGCCCATAAGTATATATACTCCCTACGGCCCATAAGTATAGAGTGCATACTTACAGTACATAATATTGATATGGTACAGCATATTAAAAATGGACAGCGAGTTAAAGAAATACAACTCTTAATTTCGTTGCTTCAAAAATAAAGTCCAATATGTGTACTTATGAGCTGTAAGGTTTAGACAAGAAGGAAATTGAACTCTACGGTCGGGTAGTTAAATATCGTGATATAAAAAAGTTATAAAAAAAAGATCTCACTTAGGGAGAAAACGTGTGCATTTGAAGAAATTCCACGTGGCTGGGAACAGGGATGCAATCAGTATCACTCTTCACTGATCATAGACAGGATTGGAAATCACCATTCAGTGATCTTAGACAGGATGTGACATCACTCTTCACTGATCACAGACAGGATGTGACATCACTCTTCACTGATCACAGACAGGATTGACCGTAACTATCAATGATCAAAGACAGGATGGGACATCACTATCACTGATCACAGACAGGATGGGACATCACTATCACTGATCAAAGACAGGATGTGACATCACTATCACTGATCACAGACAGGATGGGACATCACTATCACTGATCACAGACAGGATGGGACATCACTATCACTGATCAAAGACAGGATGTGACATCACTCTTCACTGATCACAGACAGGATTGACCGTAACTATCAATGATCAAAGACAGGATGTGACATCACTCTTCACTGATCACAGACAGGATTGACCGTAACTATCACTGATCAAAGACAGGATGTGACATCACTCTTCACTGATCACAGACAGGATTGACCGTAACTATCAATGATCAAAGACAGGATGGGACATCACTATCACTGATCACAGACAGGATGGGACATCACTATCACTGATCAAAGACAGGATGGGACATCACTATCACTGAGCACAGACAGGATGGGACATCACTATCACTGATCACAGACAGGATGGGACATCACTATCACTGATCAAAGACAGGATGTGACATCACTATCACTGATCACAGACAGGATGTGACATCACTCTTCACTGATCACAGACAGGATTGACCGTAACTATCAATGATCAAAGACAGGATGTGACATCACTCTTCACTGATCACAGACAGGATTGACCGTAACTATCACTGATCAAAGACAGGATGTGACATCACTCTTCACTGATCACAGACAGGATTGACCGTAACTATCAATGATCAAAGACAGGATGGGACATCACTATCACTGATCACAGACAGGATGGGACATCACTATCACTGATCAAAGACAGGATGGGACATCACTATCACTGAGCACAGACAGGATGGGACATCACTATCACTGATCACAGACAGGATGGGACATCACTATCACTGATCAAAGACAGGATGTGACATCACTATCACTGATCACAGACAGGATGTGACATCACTCTTCACTGATCACAGACAGGATTGACCGTAACTATCAATGATCAAAGACAGGATGGGACATCACTATCACTGATCAGACAGGATGGGACATCACTATCACTGATCAGACAGGATGGGACATCACTATCACTGATCACAGACAGGATGTGACATCACTATCACTGATCACAGACAGGATGGGACATCAATATCACTGATCAAAGAAGGATTGGACATCACTCCCACTGATCACAGAGAGGATGTGACCATCACTCTTCACTGATCACAGACAGGATGTGACATCGCTCTCACTGATCAAAAACAGGATGTGACCATCACTCTTCACTGATCAAAAACAGAATGGGACATCCTACCCACTGATCACAGATAGGATGTGACATCACTATTCACAGATCACAGACATGATGTGACATCACTATTCACTGATCACAGACAGGATGTGAAAACACTATTCACTGATCACAGACAGGATGTGACATCACTCTTCACTGATCACAGACAGGTAGGTAGAACAACACATGTAAATGGTCCTTGTAGAAGCATCCCCTCCTAAATCACACAGTGACAGTCCTGATACTAGTAGCAACCCCTCCAAAATCACAGAAACAGTTCTGGTACCACTCCCTAAAAATCACAGAGTAACAGTTCCTTTAGCAATCCCCCCAAATTACATGGTAGTATTAGTTCTTATAACATCCCAATTCTCCAGAATAGGTAGGAAAATGTAATTTGTTGTACTTTATTAGACAAAATACATCACAAAATCTCTACACCAGAATAGGTAGGAAAATGTAATTTGTTGTACTTTATTAGACAAAATACATCACAAAGTCTCTACACCAGAATAGGTAGGAAAATGGAATTTGTTGTACTTTATTAGACAAAATACATCACAAAGTCTCTACACCAGAATAGGTAGGAAAATGTAATTTGTTGTACTTTATTAGACAAAATACATCACAAAGTCTCTACACCAGAATAGGTAGGGAAAATGTAATTTGTTGTACTTTATTAGACAAAATACATCACAAAGTCTCTACACCAGAATAGGTAGGGGAAATGTAATTTGTGGTTCTTCATGGGACAAAATATATCACAAAGTCTCTACACCAGAATAGGTAGGGGAAATGTGATTTGTTGTACTTCATGGGACAAAATACATCACAAAGTCTCCACAGCAGAATAGGTAGGGGAAATGTAATTTGTGGTTCTTCATGGGACAAAATATATCACAAAGTCTCTACACCAGAATAGGTAGGGGAAATGTGATTTGTTGTACTTCATGGGACAAAATACATCACAAAGTCTCCACAGCAGAATAGGTAGGGGAAATGTGATTTGTTGTACTTCATGGGACAAAATACATCACAAAGTCTCCACAGCAGAATAGGTAGGGGAAATGTGATTTGTTGTACTTTATTAGACAAAAAATATCACATAGGCTTCACACCAGAATAGGTAGGGAAAATATAATTTGTGGTTCTTCATGGGACAAAATATATCACAAAGTCTCTACACCCGAATAGGTAGGGGAAATGTGATTTGTTGTACTTCATGGGACAAAATACATCACAAAGTCTCTACACCAGAATAGGTATGGGAAATGTTATTTGTTGTACTTCATATGACAAAATACATCACAAAGTCTCTACACCAGAATAGGTAGGGAAAATATAATTTGTTGTACTTCATGGGACAAAATATATCACAAAGTCTCTACACCAGAATAGGTAGGGGAAATGTGATTTGTTGTACTTCATGGGACAAAATATATCACAAAGTCTCTACACCAGAATAGGTAGGGGAAATGTTATTTGTGGTACTTCATGGGACAAAATACATCACAAAGTCTCCACAGCTTCATAAGACAAAACACATCACAAAGTATTCAATAAATATAACAATATAATTCTTTCAGGGATTAAAATCATTTAAAAACTTTAACAATGAATTCATGCACATTGTACAATAATGTAGCAAAATTCAATCTGAAATAGAACAAGTCTGCTTTCTTACAGAGTCAAATACTCAGTGTCAAATACTCAGTGTCAATTATTCAATACAAAGTTGAATTCCAACATAGAGTTTAACAGCTTTCATAGATTCAAATACTTCCAACTTTTCACACTCAGTTACCACTCATAGAGTCCTATAACCTTTGTGGAATAAATAAACCTTAATCGAGTCGGATATTCATAGATTCTATGATTTAATCCTCCAGTACATTGCACAATATTTTTCAAAGAATGAAATTATCTTTGGAGTTCAGAAACTAGTCAGTTGAACAATACCTTATAGTAACAGATACTCACTCTTGTACACTTTCAAATGATTTAATCAGTAATAAATATACAGCTTTATCATCTTTTCTTTTTTCCACCACTTTTGGGTCCTTTTTTCAAGTCCTAAAACAAAATGGAAGATCAAATTAAACATTTCATGAAAAAATATGAAAATACCATGACATAGTTATTTATAGCACATATCAGAATTATTCTCCGAAAATCTGCAATGGCAGAGACATCTAATATTAGTCATCCTGTCCTTTAATTCAGTACTGTAGTAATATTAGCCATCCAGTCCTTACCTTTATTTCAGTACTGTAGTAATATTAGTCATCCTGTCCTTACCTTTAGTTCCGTACTGTAGTAATATTAGTCATCCTGTCCTTTAATTCAGTACTGTAGTAATATTAGTCATCCTGTCCTTACCTTTAGTTCAGTACTGTAGTAATATTAGCCATCCTGTCCTTACCTTTATTTCAGTACTGTAGTAATATTAGTCATCCTGTCCTTTAATTCAGTACTGTAGTAATATTAGCCATCCAGTCCTTACCTTTATTTCAGTACTGTAGTAATAGTCATCCTGTCCTTACCTTTAGTTCAGTAGTGTAGTAATATTAGTCATCCTGTCCTTTAATTCAGTACTGTAGTAATATTAGTCATCCTGTCCTTTAATTCAGTACTGTAGTAATATTAGCCATCCAGTCCTTACCTTTATTTCAGTACTGTAGTAATATTAGTCATCCTGTCCTTACCTTTAGTTCCGTACTGTAGTAATATTAGTCATCCTGTCCTTTAATTCAGTACTGTAGTAATATTAGTCATCCTGTCCTTACCTTTAGTTCAGTACTGTAGTAATATTAGCCATCCTGTCCTTACCTTTATTTCAGTACTGTAGTAATATTAGTCATCCTGTCCTTTAATTCAGTACTGTAGTAACATTAGTCATCCTGTCCTTACCTTTAGTTCAGTACTGTAGTAATATTAGCCATCCTGTCCTTACCTTTATTTCAGTACTGTAGTAATATTAGTCATCCTGTCCTTTAATTCAGTACTGTAGTAATATTAGCCATCCAGTCCTTACCTTTATTTCAGTACTGTAGTAATAGTCATCCTGTCCTTACCTTTAGTTCAGTAGTGTAGTAATATTAGTCATCCTGTCCTTTAATTCAGTACTGTAGTAATATTAGTCATCCTGTCCTTTAGTTCAGTACTGTAGTAATATTAGCCATCCAGTCCTTACCTTTATTTCAGTACTGTAGTAATATTAGTCATCCTGTCCTTACCTTTAGTTCCGTACTGTAGTAATATTAGTCATCCTGTCCTTTAATTCAGTACTGTAGTAATATTAGCCATCCAGTCCTTACCTTTATTTCAGTACTGTAGTAATATTAGTCATCCTGTCCTTACCTTTAGTTCAGTACTGTAGTAATATTAGTCATCCTGTCCTTTAATTCAGTACTGTAGTAATATTAGTCATCCTGTCCTTTAATTCAGTACTGTAGTAATATTAGCCATCCAGTCCTTACCTTTATTTCAGTACTGTAGTAATATTAGTCATCCTGTCCTTACCTTTAGTTCCGTACTGTAGTAATATTAGTCATCCTGTCCTTTAATTCAGTACTGTAGTAATATTAGTCATCCTGTCCTTACCTTTAGTTCAGTACTGTAGTAATATTAGCCATCCTGTCCTTACCTTTATTTCAGTAATGTTGTAATATTAGTCATCCTGTCCTTACCTTTATTTCAGTACTGTATCTTTAGTTCAGTACTGTAGTAATATTAGCCATCCTGTCCTTATCTTTAGTTCAGTACTGTAGTAATATTAGCCATCCTGTCCTTATCTTTAGTTCAGTACTGTAGTAATATTAGTCATCCTGTCCTTTAGTTCAGTACTGTAGTAATATTAGTCATCCTTACCTTTATTTCAGTACTGTAGTAATATTAGCCATCCTGTCCTTACCTTTATTTCAGTACTGTAGTAATATTAGCCATCCAGTCCTTACCTTTATTTCAGTACTGTAGTAATATTAGCCATCATCTTTAGTTCAGTGTCATCCTGTCCCTTTATTTCAGTACTGTAGTAATATTAGCCATCCTGTCCTTACCTTTATTTCAGTACTGTAGTAATATTAGTCATCCTGTCCTTTATTTCAGTACTGTAGTAATATTAGTCATCCTGTCCTTTAGTTCAGTACTGTAGTACTATTAGTCATCCTGTCCTTTAGTTCATTACTGTAGTAATATTAGCCATCCTGTCCTTACCTTTATTTCAGTACTGTAGTAATACTAGCCATCCTGTCCTTACCTTTATTTCAGTACTGTAGTAATATTAGCCATCCTGTCCTTTAGTTCAGTACTGTAGTAATATTAGTCATCCTGTCCTTTAGTTCAGTACTGTAGTAATATTAGTCATCCTGTCCTTTAGTTCAGTACTGTAGTAATATTAGTCATCCTGTCCTTAACTTTATTTCAGTACTGTAGTAATATTAGCCATCCTGTCCTTACCGTTAGTTCAGTACTGTAGTAATATTAGTCATCCTGTCCCTTAGTTCAGTACTGTAGTAATATTAGCCATCCTGTCCTTACCTTTATTTCAGTACTGTAGTAATATTAGCCATCCAGTCCTTACCTTTATTTCAGTACTGTAGTAATATTAGCCATCCTGTCCTTACCTTATTTTCAGTACTGTAGTAATATTAGGCATCCTGTCCCTTAGTTCAGTACTGTAGCAATATTAGCCACCCTGTCCTTACCTTTATTTCAGTACTGTAGTAATATTAGCCATCCAGTCCTTACCTTTATTTCGGTACTGTAGTAATATTAGTCATCCTGTCCCTTAGTTCAGTACTGTAGCAATATTAGCCATCCTGTCCCTTAGTTCAGTACTGTAGCAATATTAGCCATCCTGTCCTTACCTTTATTTCAGTACTGTAGTAATATTAGCCATCCAGTCCTTACCTTTAGTTCAGTACTGTAGTAATATTAGCCATCCTGTCCTTACCTTTATTTCAGTACTGTAGTAATATTAGTCATCCTGTCCTTACCTTTATTTCAGTACTGTAGTAATATTAGTCATCCTGTCCCTTAGTTCAGTACTGTAGCAATATTAGCCATCCTGTCCCTTAGTTCAGTACTGTAGCAATATTAGTCATCCTGTCCTTTAGTTCAGTACTGTAGTAATATTAGTCATCCTGTCCCTTAGTTCAGTGCTGTAGTAATATCAGTCATCCTGTCCTTTAGTTCAGTACTGTAGTAATATTAGCATCCTGTCCTTTAGTTCAGTAATATACTGTAGTAGCCATCCTGTCTGTAATATTAGCCATCCTGTCCTTTAGTTCCTGTCCTTTAGTTCAGTACTGTAGTAATATTAGTCATCCTGTCCTTTAGTTCAGTACTGTAGTAATATTAGTCATCCTGTCCTTTAGTTCAGTACTGTGGTAATATTAGTCATCCTGTCCCTTAGTTCAGTACTGTAGCAATATTAGCCATCCTGTCCCTTAGTTCAGTACTGTAGCAATATTAGTCATCCTGTCCTTTAGTTCAGTACTGTAGTAATATTAGCCATCCTGTCCCTTAGTTCAGTGCTGTAGTAATATTAGTCATCCTGTCCTTACCTTTATTTCAGTACTGTAGTAATATTAGCCATCCTGTCCTTACCTTTAATACTAGCCATCCTGTCCTTACCTTTATTTCAGTACTGTAGTAATATTAGCCATCCTGTCCTTTAGTTCAGTACTGTAGTAATATTAGTCATCCTGTCCTTATCCAGTAATATTAGCCATCCAGTCCTTACCTTTAGTTCAGTACTGTAGTAATATTAGCCATCCTGTCCTTACCTTTATTTCAGTACTGTAGTAATATTAGTCATCCTGTCCTTACCTTTATTTCAGTACTGTAGCAATATTAGCATCCTGTACTGTACTGTAAATATTAGCCATCCAGTCCTTACCTTTAATTCAGTACTGTAGTAATATTAGTCATCCTGTCCTTACCTTTATTTCAGTACTGTAGTAATATTAGTCATCCTGTCCTTACCTTTATTTCAGTACTGTAGTAATATTAGCCATCCTGTCCTTTAGTTCAGTACTGTAGTAATATTAGCCATCCTGTCCTTACCTTTAGTTCAGTACTGTAGTAATATTAGTCATCCTGTCCTTACCTTTAGTTCAGTACTGTAGTAATATTAGTCATCCTGTCCTTACCTTTATTTCAGTACTGTAGTAATATTAGTCATCCTGTCCTTACCTTTATTTCAGTACTGTAGTAATATTAGTCATCCTGTCCTTACCTTTATTTCAGTACTGTAGTAATATTAGTCATCCTGTCCTTACCTTTAGTTCAGTACTGTAGTAATATTAGCCATCCTGTCCTTACCTTTATTTCAGTACTGTAGTAATATTAGTCACCTTGTATTATCAGTACTGTAGTAATATTAGTCATCCTGTCCCTTAGTTCAGTGCTGTAGTAATATTAGTCATCCTGTCCTTACCTTTATATCAGTACTGTAGCAATATTAGCCATCCTGTCCTTACCTTTAGTTCAGTACTGTAGTAATATTAGTCATCCTGTCCCTTAGTTCAGTACTGTAGTAATACTAGCCATCCTGTCCTTACCTTTATTTCAGTACTGTAGTAATATTAGCCATCCTGTCCTTTAGTTCAGTACTGTAGTAATATTAGCCATCCAGTCCTTACCTTTATTTCAGTACTGTAGTAATATTAGTCATCCTGTCCTTACCTTTATTTCAGTACTGTAGTAATATTAGTCATCCTGTCCTTTAGTTCAGTACTGTAGTAATATTAGCCATCCAGTCCTTACCTTTATTTCAGTACTGTAGTAATATTAGTCATCCTGTCCTTACCTTTATTTCAGTACTGTAGTAATATTAGTCATCCTGTCCTTTAGTTCAGTACTGTAGTAATATTAGTCATCCTGTCCTTACCTTTATTTCAGTACTGTAGTAATATTAGCCATCCTGTCCTTACCTTTAGTTCAGTACTGTAGTAATATTAGTCATCCTGTCCTTACCTTTATTTCAGTACTGTAGTAATATTAGTCATCCTGTCCTTTAGTTCAGTACTGTAGTAATATTAGCCATCCAGTCCTTACCTTTATTTCAGTACTGTAGTAATATTAGTCATCCTGTCCTTACCTTTATTTCAGTACTGTAGTAATATTAGTCATCCTGTCCTTAGTTCAGTACTGTAGTAATATTAGCCATCCTGTCCTTACCTTTATTTCAGTACTGTAGTAATATTAGTCATCCTGTCCTTACCTTTAGTTCAGTACTGTAGTAATACTAGCCATCTAGTCCTTACCTTTGACTTGATGTAACCCTGAGCCTCTAACAGTATTCTTGCAGCATTGTTGATGTGCTTGAAACGATCAGGACCCAGAAGTATGCCTCCATACCACCTTGAAACCACCACCAGCACATTCTCAGTATCCAAGATCTGTAGCAGTGAAAAAATACCAACACTATTGCAGAATGTTTACACTTAGCTTTGTTAATATTCTGTAAATATAATGTAAGCTAGAAAAAAAGTGTCCATTAGATAAGAGCTAATATCACTTTACTATCACAATGTCACTGAAATTTACTACGAAGAAAACTCTTCCATATAAGTTCTAGGCATCCCCACAAATATAGCAATGAAAAAATTAGATTGGTTATATAATTTTATTGTAGACATTTACAGTTAAAAACTGGACTAAACAGATCAGTTGTCAGACACATACAGACAGTATGTTCTGGAGCATCAGACGAAAGTGTCTGCAACATGATCCATTTAGGGGATAAAATTGCCAAAGCTTCAAACAAGGATAATTCAGAATTGTTTTCAGGTAAACAGGACAATAATTACCTGTAACAGGTGAAGCATGCGTGAGCCAGCATTGGTTTCACCATCGTCCTCACAACCCTGATAAACAGTACCGCCCTCACAGATTCTGTAGGCGTAAATGTTGTGTGTAGCATTGGCAATCTTCTTGTTTTGGTATAGCGTATCCAGTACCTGTTTTACCTACAGAATATCAAACAGAACACAAAGTTACATATATACACCTACAAACTTCTGTACATATATACACTTACAAACTTCTGTTACATATATACACCTACAAACTTCTGTTACATATATACACCTACAAACTTCTGTTACATATATACACCTACAAACTTCTGTTACATATATACACCTACAAACTTCTGTTACATATATACACCTAAAAACTTCTGTTACATATATACACCTACAAACTTCTGTTACATATATACACCTACAAACTTCTGTTTTCGTGGGGTTTTTTGTCCCTGTATATATTTTATTTTTATAAGATTTTAACAAAGACATACACATCTATCAAATCACACAAAAATTCATTCAGACAAACCCTGATGTAGAGAACAGGTATGTGTACACTTCCGTGATGATAAACCCACATGTAATGTATGTGTATACTTTCAAACTGACATAACCACAGATCAATCAAGCTTAGTTTGGATAAATGTATCTGTGTATGCCACATATTATGAACATATTCTTGTATCAAAAAACTTCCTCTTATCCCCTTATGACCAATAAATAAATTTTTGTACCTGTTTTTTATGAACCACTGGGGCTAGATGAGCTTGAAATGTACTTTTTCTGTCCAAGATTGGCTCGCCACTATTGATGGGTGGACATTCCATCGCTGTAAAAGATCAACTCTGACAGAGTTTTACTTTGTAAAACAAAGTAATATGATATAGTATATACACCTGTATCACATTCCATCTTTTTGTGCCAGTTCATACATTTATGTTGAAGTTTGAGGGAAAACCCCCAGTCCTGACGCCCATACACTTCCTATGCGTTAGCCTCAGGACCATAGGTTACTGACGACAAGTACTGGTATACATTCCAGATGATTGATCACATTCTAAGACTATTTAATCTAAAGTGTTTAATCCAAATAACAATTGATAACATTTTATCTGAATAGCACTGGGTATCAATAGAGTTATTTCCCTTTGAATAAAACCAAATACCAACACTCATGCTACCTTTAAACTTTATTTCAGTCTATACATGTATTAACCCCTCTTGTTGTGGCCCCTATTGAAGTGTACAAGACAACCTCGTTCTGAAGAGAGGAACTGCTAGGTCCTCATATGTAAGACTGAAATATACCTTCCCCATCGTCTGGTTGTTCCATTGATGATATTACCAGGTCAGACAGGTCAAATTCACTGTCATTATCATCCTCATCGCTGACAGCTGATGCCGACGACTTTGAAGTGTGTGGAGAAGAATCTGAAATTCCAACTCCAACATGTTAAAGCTTGTATAAAGTGATCTTAGAATCAGGAACCTGTATAAAGCAACATTCAGGTAAGAATACTGTTGTTAGGTATTCCTGTGTAAAATGAACGTGTTTAAAATGGAAATGAATTATTTGGATTCCTTACTTGTAAGATGTCCCAAATCTGAGTAAAAAAACAAGCTTCCATTTACCGCTGGTAACAAGAGTAATATTGACTGTAAATTTACTGTCTATTCTGTCAGTGTAATGCCCTATATACATCCTAATACCTGCATGGCCTCTTGATTCTGTGGTAAATTTTACTTGCCTAAACGGGCCATGCACTACTGTCTATCACAGTTGGCAGTACACCAGTTTAGCTTGTGCTTCTCCTGGATAAAATGTCCTGATTGAATACTGACTTGTGCTTCCTGCTTCCCCTAAATTAACTTCCAAAATCAACTTCTGTCTACTTTCAACTCCATCACCATCAAAATTTACCTACCTGATTGACTATCGTCTAGTTGAGCCTGCACTACTTCCCGGATTCGTTCAATCCAAAGATAGATGATGCTTTCTCCAAGGTTTTCACTGTGTATTTAAATGGAGAACAAAATCAACTGGTTATGACATATGACCTCAGCCTGAGTTAGCATAATTACTTCTTTTTCAGTTCTGTCTCATTGAATAAAAAAAAAAGATGAGAGCAAATTAAATTGTTTTATTGACATTTTCATTTATTTATATATTATTTATATTCATTCGAAAAAATATTCCTTTGCTATGGTCCTTCACAAATAACCAAATTTCTCCCATTGGGTCCTGCACCTAAGGCTGCAGAATTTGTCAAATTTCTCCCACTGGGTCCTGCACCTAAGGCTGCAGAATTTGTCAAATTTCTCCCATTGGGTCCTGCACCTAAGGCTGCAGAATTTGCCAAATTTCTCCAATTGGGTCCTGCACCTAAGGCTGCAGAATTTGCAACATTTCTCCCACTGGGTCCTGCACCTAAGGCTGCAGAATTTGTTTCTCCCATTGGGTCCTGCAATTTTGTCTTTCTCCATTGGGTCCTGCACCTAAGGCTGCAGAATTTGTCAAATTTCTCCCATTGGGTCCTGCACCTAAGGCTGCAGAATTTGTCAAATTTCTCCCATTGGGTCCTGCACCTAAGGCTGCAGAATTTGCCAAATTTCTCCAATTGGGTCCTGCACCTAAGGCTGCAGAATTTGCAACATTTCTCCCACTGGGTCCTGCACCTAAGGCTGCAGAATTTGCCAAATTTCTCCAATTGGGTCCTGCACCTAAGGCTGCAGAATTTGCAACATTTCTCCCACTGGGTCCTGCACCTAAGGCTGCAGAATTTGCAAAAATTTCTCCCATTGGGTCCTGCACCTAAGACTGTAGAATTTGTCAAATTTCTCCCATTGGGTCCTGCACCTAAGGCTGCAGAATTTGTCAAATTTCTCCCATTGGGTCCTGCACCTAAGGCTGCAGAATTTGTCAAATTTCTCCCATTGGGTCCTGCACCTAAGGCTGCAGAATTTGCCAAATTTCTCCAATTGGGTCCTGCACCTAAGGCTGCAGAATTTGTCAAATTTCTCCCATTGGGTCCTGCACCTAAGGCTGCAGAATTTGCCAAATTTCTCCCATTGGGTCCTGCACCTAAGGCTGCAGAATTTGCCAAATTTCCAAATTTCTCCAATTGGGTCCTGCACCTAAGGCTGCAGAATTTGCAACATTTCTCCCACTGGGTCCTGCACCTAAGGCTGCAGAATTTGCAAAAATTTCTCCCATTGGGTCCTGCACCTAAGACTGTAGAATTTGCAACATTTCTCCCATTGGGTCCTGCACCTAAGGCTGCAGAATTTGCCAAATTTCTCCTATTGGGTCCTGCACCTAAGGCTGTAGAATTTGCAATATTTCTCCCATTGGGTCCTGCACCTAAGGCTGCAGAATTTGCCAAATTTCTCCCATTGGGTCCTGCACCTAAGGCTGTAGAATTTGCAACATTTCTCCCACTGGGTCCTGCACCTTAGGCTGCAGAATTTGCCAAATTTCTCCCATTGGGTCCTGCACCTAAGGCTGCAGAATTTGCCAAATTTCTACCATTGGGTCCTGCACCTAAGGCTGCAGAATTTGCAACATTTCTTCAATTGGGTCCTGCACCTAAGGCTGTAGAATTTGCAACATTTCTCCCATTGGGTCCTGCACCTAAGGCTGTAGAATTTGTCAAATTTCTCCCATTGGGTCCTGCACCTAAGACTGTAGAATTTGCCAAATTTCTCCCATTGGGTCCTGCACCTAAGGCTGTAGAATTTGCAACATTTCTCCCATTGGGTCCTGCACCTAAGGCTGCAGAATTTTGCCAGATTTGTTTTGTTTGACTTGTTATGATTGTTGAACATTTGTGTAAGTTACTTGTCATGCTTGTGTGAGTCACTCATCTGGGTTACGTGAGCCACCTGTCATGCTTGTGAGAGTCACTGATCTTGCTTGTGCGACTCACTCATCATGTTTGTGTGAGTCGCTCATCATGTTTTTGCGAGTTGTGTGAGTCGCTCATCATACTTGTGTGATTCACTTGTCATACTTGTGTGAGTCACTCATCATACTTGTGTAAGTCACTTGTCTTGTCATGATTGTTGAACATTTGTGTAAGTTACATGTCATGCTTGCATGAGTCTCCTGTCATGCTTGTGTAAATTACTTGTGATGCTTGTATGTCACTTGTGATGCTTGTGTCAGTCACTTTCCATGTTTAAGTCACTTATCGTATTTCTTATTGCCATGTCTATTATTTGTGAGTTACTTGATATATATCTGACAATGATCATGAGTTACCTGTTATATTTGTGCGACTCACTTGTCGTGCTCGTGAGCCATGTCATCTCACATTTTATTTTTTCTTCACTTACCAGTAAATATCTGCTAAAGAGTTCTCTAATATCTGTTTTTCCTGTCGGCGAAGCCAAGGAGCCCTTGTAAAAGACATAAATTGAGTATTGATAGTTTCTTCCCACTAACCCATGTTCTATGTGGTTGTACAAAGACACACAAGTGAAGAGCACCTGTTTATGTAAAGTTAAATAAGATACGGTAGAGCCAAACAATAACTTTAACTGTATCATACAGTTAGTTTGTCCTTGCAATACTTATCAGTGATGCTAAAGGCCTGAACTTTTAAGCCTTGGAAGCAACTGAGGAAAATCCAAAGTGATTTAAAGAAATGTTTAAATCTAGAGAATCACACACTTTGTCTGATTTTAGCTTGTTCTTTTGAACAATTTATAATACTGTCAGAATAATACTTCATTGCCTGTTGTAAGTCTAGATATTCTTTGGTGGTATTCTATTACTACAATATTTTAATCTAGGAGGTTGTAGTAATGGACACTACTTGACAAACTTAATCAAATGATCTGCTGCAACTTGGAAGAAAACGATGGGTGAAAAATAACCATTATCTTTCTTGAAAATGTAACAAAAACAAATCTCCTTCTGAGTGGCAAGATTTTTAAATGTCCAACCCTCAATGGAGTCTTGGATTTGACATTCAAGAATCTCAGCCTCTGGTTCGTGATTCTCTGTCATAACCTCCTGAGAAGATAATATTTATAACTATGTTTCAGTTTCCATGTTTAATTCATGAAATGTTAAACGTGGTATGAAAAAACCTGCTACCTATCTGCAGTAACAGTGTTACCAATCTAGTGTAACAGTAATAAAAAACAAGGAGTATAATTATATTTTCCTACTTTTGATCGATCTCGGCTGACTTTGAGTATCCTCTAAAAGCTGATTTAGATTTACTTCCCTTGTCTAAACAATTATTTTTCATTTTGATTATTTTTAATCTGACTCATTGAAATTAATAAAGATTATTTGTTGAGTGTAAAAATTTTAAGTTTAATGTGGAACCTTTGATACGTGTAATATTCTGCTATTTTTATTAGAGATACTGGTAATTAACCATATAGTTTAAGTTAATACTGTATCACTGTAATGATAGGTACTTACGTAAACTGATACAGGGGAGGCGACTCTGTTGGATAGCCAGGAGGCATTGTGATCTGCAATGACAATGAAACTTTTATCAGCAATCTTACTATATATACACATAAATAAAAGAATTAATGATATATACAACATATTTTGGTAAAATAAACTTTGTTTATAATCTTTAACACATAGACTCTTATACTATTCTCTCTTGTTTTTTCAAACGTCTAACTAAATATGTGTTGGCCATAATCTAGTAGATTTACACACCAACACTAATCAGTCAGTGTATCATTCTATCATGTTATATTGATATAGCATGTCTAAATGTATAGTGATATATGTGTATATGAATAAATGACTTCTACATAATGCGTTGTATCATACCTTCGGCTTTAATATAGTGTGACTTCCAACTGCTTTGATCAGCAAAATATGAAAATTCTTTGAAATATCATCTTTAAGCCAAATTCTGTGAACATATTTAGCTTTCACAAATTTCAATGAAATAAACATTTAAATTTTTCATCAAAGTTGATTACATTCAAATATAAGAAATATTTTATGTTTGTTATATTTTTTTTAAATTTTTTGTGTGTGTGTTTATTTAATTTTTTTTGCTGTGGTATCAAACAGGTTGTTTCAAGATTATGGTTTTTAGGCCTGAAAACAAAATGTTTCCATCATTTTTTAGTCTTGCAGCTTGAAAATGGATAAAAGAGACCACAATGTTGTATAATGTATATGGTAATAACAATGTAAAATGTATCAGGATGAACTGTTTTTTTCGTAGGTTTTGAGGAATAACTTCAAGTGAGCTTGGGTAATTTTACGTAGGTCACTTGGCCAGTTGTTCTATTCACCCAAGTTCAATTGCAGTTATCATTAGCTGTGGGGGTAAGCATGATGGTAACCTACTTCAACAATAATGTTCCTGTGTGATTTTGGGTTGACATCTCTGATTTGTATACTGTAGATGTGTGCTTGCTCACTGACCACACACCAGTCTTCTCCATAAATGGCAGCCAACGCCTCCACTTCTTCTTCCTGTAAAATACATGATATCTAATATTTCATGTATAGATGAGAAGAAGCTGACAAGCACACCATGGGCTACATTTAAACTTCATATACAGAATTTCTATTTTCCAGTTTATCATCTTCCATCTGCACTCTATTTAGACACTCGTGACACAACATAATAAATACAAGTTAAGGAGTCAAGAATTATGTACCAATCAAAAGATACACTGGACGCTACAAAATTAGTTCTATCAGTCTTATAGTTCTATAACAGATAAGACCATAGCTCTAAAGGATAAATAAGAAGTACTGTTATATATTGTTGTCATATATCACATGTACAGTAAGATATTCAAGTCTAACTTTGACTCAAATGTTGTATCATATAGTTTTCATTTCACAGCTGTAATAAAGTTTGAGGAACCAATCAGATAGTATCTGGGTTGGACTGATTATAAAGAATCTATAACCAACATCTCAATGTTTTGGAAGGAGTATGTATTATATTTTACAGTACCGTTGGCCTTAGTATTTTAGATCTATCATTACTGGACCTTCTAACAATATCTACAACGTTTGGCTGATCAGGCCTTGTATTAGGTAAGCATCTATAAGTTATCTTAAGTTATCTATAGCAAAGCATCACATTGTGGGAAGCATTTACCAAGGTTACATACTATATATATAATTTTTATAACATTATTTACACTGTATACATGCAGAATATGTCTATATTTTTATTTAGTGGCATATAATGCTTAAAGCTGACAAGACAAGACACACTTTCTGACCACACCTGACGTCATATTTCATTATTATGGAAGTGGACATCTCTATATACACACAGAACACATGTCTGATCCTGGGGTCAACAGGGAGGAGGAACGTTGGTCTTGATGACGCATTAATTCACATCCACATTGCAGCATCTGCTCGTTCAGCGTGGAGTATTGGAAATCACGCGAAAGAGCACAACATATATATCTATACACTGGTATCAGCACAATATTCAATGATTTAATACAATAAGTAATGGACCTCGACTGTAAGCCTCTATATCCATATCCATAAATTATATATATATATAATAATAATTTGTTTATTGTCTTTGTTTATGTACATTACATTTTTAACATTATGTAAGTATGTACATGTGTATTTATTTATCTTGACTTTTCGCATCCAGCTGGTTCGCACCAAGTCATTTCGCTCCAGCACTGTTCGCATCGCGGCTTTTAGCACTAAAAGCCAAGGATGGTTGGCTTTTGGTGCGAAAATATATATATGCAATATATATATGCACGAATAATAAACATAGAAGGTGCGTAGTCTTCAGTATACGTACTGGCGGTTAAGGTACAGAGAGTAGCATGTACATTTGTATAGTTATAACACGTGTAACCAATTTCACAAATAAATAATACTCATAATATTAACCTGTCTTGTGGGATTATCATCCGACATTTCTTCCTTGTTAAATCATAAACTAACTGATAAACTTAAACAGACAGCTAACTTTTGTAGCACATTGCAAGAAGGGAGCAGCCATTTTGTACAAACCACGTCACGTGATGACCTAAAAATAACGTGATAGTTTAAGGAGGGATTTTAAGCATGATTGACTAGTTTTGTGTTAAAAAAAATCTTCGTTTGTATTTTCTTGCACGTTGACTGTAGGTCGATATTAAAACGTGGGTAGGATCAGTCGGACTACATGAGTACGAGGTCAAATTGACTAAAATTTCTGTTCCTACAGTGAAAATTCCATGTCAATATTCACATTTATTATGCTGTTATTGATATACTTTTTTATTGCTCAGTAAAAATGTACATACAGTATCAATTACAGCATATTAAATATGAATATTGACATGAAATTTTCATTTCGGAGACATAAATGTTCGGTCTAGAGGCCAAATATTCACATAAAATATATAGTGGCTCTTGAATATACCGAAATGTAATAACATGGGCGCTTTTATCTAAACAGTTGAAACTGTTGGACCGGTAGAATGTGAAAATAAACAAAGTTCAGCATAAAAGTAGGGCCGGTGCACTCACATATTCCTGATAGCATTGTGCTATTAAGTATGAGTGAAATGTATCTAAATTTTAGTTAATTTATTTATTCTTGACAAGAAATTTAAAAAAAAACTGCGTTTTTCACTTCACACATATCAAGTACAAGTGCGTTTAATGGCTAATAATGGAATCATTCTAGACCACGTGAATCGTCTCAACCGGGTTACGCGAACACTGTCTTAGTTGATGCCAATAATAGCATGGGCGTGTAAATTTATTTCTCTGGGCATATTGAATCGCAACACAGGTTATTCCCTAACAACTTATTGTATATCAGTAGATCAGACATGTGTCATCATTAATACCTCTTCTTTTTTTTTTTTTATAGAATAATGATTATATATACGTTTTACTTAGCACGATAGAATACAACTATTTGATAATCTGATTTAAACACGCAAACACAGACTTCCCCGCGTTAGATACAACTAGACAGGGAACGAAAATCATTACCATAACCCTACCTAAGATAGGATAGGGCATCCTACCTGTGTCCATTACATATATAAATTATCAAGTTATTTTTATTTTCGAAAACGTCTATTCGAAACATGAATTCGTTTAATTGATTATTTTTTTCTATTTCGAAATAGTTTTTTTTATCGAAATATTGTTTAGTTTTATAAGCTCTCCTCATCCGAACGACAAGACGAGCTATAGGGTTACCGCGGCGTCTGCCGCCGTTTCCTTATAGCTATATATCGCTTTTGTACTAGTCATGAAAGACTGAGCGGATTTTACCCAAAGTTGGTCTGAAGCATCCTTGGGGCGAAATAAAACTTGTTTTTATAAATGGTGGGTCTCGGCCCTCTGGGGCGGAAGAACCGTGGACTAAAAGGGGAAATAGAGCAAATTCTTTAAAAATTTACTCCTTATATATGAATGATTGGATTTTGCTCAAATGTGGCCTAAAGCATGTAAAAAGGCGCAAACAGTTTGGTGTTTATTGTATAAACCTTACCGGGATCCTAGTCATTCTGACGACGAACACACAGCTAACCAATTGTTATATGTCAGTGATTAATACGCTTTATCGCTCTCTGAAATAACACGTAAAAGCGTATGATAGTGTCATTGCAATACTGAGCAACAAGTGATAGGGTTTGCGAAGTGCTAATTTCGTGGCTTTGTGATGTAACGGCATTTGGACAGAAGTCATAGCCCTCCTCACATGGACAATCGGTCAACTTTAGGAATGGTAATTCTAAACGAGGCCCTATACAAGTTCACGTCATTGCAAGATATTGTCTAAAGATCGCTTGTAATGGCAGTCTTATCTCTAAGTCTTAATCGTTTATCTAGTGTTAGGTCACAAGTAGGAAAATTGTGTCAAAATGTTACGAATATTTGTTGTCCTGGCATGTTGGTCTGTGATTCTAATGAAAGGTAAGAATTCATCAGAAAGGACTTTTCTAAAAAGCTTGAGACAAAGCTTGGATTTCTGTCAGTTTGGAACCAGGCGAATGTTACACTACGAACATGAATATTTTGAATTGTGTCTTGTTTTAAGGACGAAATGTCAGCTTTGAATCTTATATAGTCTCCGAATGCCTTAAATTGTGTCAATTTACTAAATTCATCTGTATGATGTTTAATCATATTCCAGTCGGTTACTCTTCTTGCAGTTTTTAGTGTCGATAGTTATCCCTGCTCAATATTCACATGTACCAATTAACATCAGCACCGAGAAGCTGTGATCTTCTAGTAATTATCATACATCTTACAGAGAATTAAGCATGAAGGAATGTACTTCCATTAAATGACGCATTTCGCCAGAAAAAATATTGTCCACATAATTGAGTTAATTAATTCAATGGTACATTTAGTATAATCAAATAAAAAAGAATCGCATATCGGTTAGTTTGTGTTTTTAAGACATATTTTCGTTTTAGCTCACACAGTTCCGGCTGACAGAGATTATACAGGTCAAGGTCAGTAACATTTGTAGTTCTTTCATTTTCCTCTCTCTAACACTGGCACTGTTCAAATAGGATTCAACCTAATGTCAACTTTCGTGTTTTATCTTATTATTATTTCGGGGGTGGGGGGATGGGGATGGGCGATATATTCACGTGTATTTGTTCGGTCGGGGATGGGTAGGGGGTAAAGGGCCTGTCGTTGTCAACTCTTCCTTTTATACTTTGCATATCAAAAATTGATATATGAGGTTATTTTTCGATTTTGACGTAGTGACGTTCTGCTCTTAAGCTGTTTGATTTCATGTTCACCGAATGTTTTGTATTACCAAATCAATTTCACTTTCAACTCTGACCCGATGCACGATCAGATAAATGTACTGAATGCACTTAACATAGGTTTTTATAGAGGACGTAATTGACATTTTTAATTAATCCGAATTATTTAACAGAAAGGCTTACGTTAAAGATTATTGTTACAATGAAACATGCTTCAATAAGTCTTTCATGCAATTAGATTGGACCAACACGTTATATGGTACATGTATAATTAACGCGCCTCAAAGTTGTGACGACCTGGATAAAAAAAACTTTTAATTGAATACTTAATAAATAATATCCGCCGCTGATATGTCGATTTCTAAAACAATGTTAACGAGTTAGCATTTTACATATGCCACTTCGACAGTCAAATAAGAGATAAATAGCCAAAAAGTACATAATATATACTAAACAAAAAAAGAAAGGTAACACTACTTTATTCTGTGATTAATTTATTAACCCCTTCATAAATCCTTACCAATCATGTACGAATAAAGTAATTGATCAATTCTGATAAAACTGCAGTCATGGTTCATTATAAAACTTTGCGTTCAGTTGATTTTATTCAAGGACGTTGGTGTAACACCATTAGTAACGGGTATGGCCACCGTTTGCAAAGTAAACAGCATTGCAGCGTCGTCGCATGGAACTCGTAAACCGGCGGATAATTCGAGGAGAGATGTTGTTCCATTCGATTTTGACGTAGTGACGTTCTGCTCTTAAGCCGTTTGATTTCATGTTCACCGAATGTTTTGTATTACCAAATCAATTTCTAGGCTAAACTCGCCATGAAATCGCTGGAAGATGAAACGCGTGATAGTTCATCTTACTTTACAACACAGTAGTATGATGTGATAGAACTGATGTCAGTATGACGTGATAGTACCGGATGTCAGTATGACGTGATAGTACTGATGTCAGTATGATGTGATAGAACTGATGTCAGTATGACGTGATAGTACCGGATGTCAGTATGACGTGATAGAACTGATGTCAGTATGACGTGATAGTACCGGATGTCAGTATGACGTGATAGAACTGATGTCAGTATGACGTGATAGTACTGATGTCAGTATGACGTGATAGTACCGGATGTCAGTATGATGTGATAGAACTGATGTCAGTATGACGTGATAGTACCGGATGTCAGAATGACGTGATAGTACTGATGTCAGTATGACGTGATAGTACTGATGTCAGTATGATGTGATAGTACCGGATGTCAGTATGACGTGATAGTACTGATGTCAGTATGATGTGATAGAACTGATGTCAGTATGACGTGATAGTACTGATGTCAGTATGATGTGATAGAACTGATGTCAGTATGACGTGATAGTACCGGATGTCAGTATGACGTGATAGTACTGATGTCAGTATGACGTGATAGTACCGGATGTCAGTATGACGTGATAGAACTGATGTCAGTATGACGTGATAGTACTGATGTCAGTATGACGTGATAGTACCGGATGTCAGTATGACGTGATAGAACCGGATGTAAGTATGATGTGATAGTACTGATGTCAGTATGACGTGATAGTACCGGATGTCAGTATGACGTGATAGTACCGGATGTCAGTATGATGTGATAGAATTGATGTCAGGTCCAAGTGATAGGACTGATGTCAGTATGATGTAATAGACTGATGATAGTATGACGTGAAGTACTGATGTCAGTATGACGTGATAGTACTGATGTCAGTATGAAGTAATAGACTGATGATAGTATGACGTGTAGTACCGGATGTCATGCTATTTGTGCTATAGATGAGGTAAGTTTACTTGAATGTGCTGATAACTCCCTTCTTTCACCCATTTGTCATATTATCTAAGTAATCACAGAGAAAGTAAACTCCAGCTTACAAACGTAAATGCATCTATTAAATTTTATTTCATTCATTTATTTACTTAATTTGTTTTTTTAACGAAATAAAGTCACGCCAACAATATAAAATATTGAGATGACCAGCAGACTAAGAGAGAATTAACCACTCATCTCTTGTATGTAAGAAAAGGGTATCGCAACCCTCATGGAAAGGTTATTATGTTACACATATGAAAAAGCCCCGTGTTTGCAAATTCCATCATCTTTCACCGAGGGATCAAATTCCCAAGGAAATGGACAATATTTCATGCTTTTAGTATATGGTCTAATTCTAGGCCATTGTGAGTACCGGGGACGGAACTACAGCCAAGGCGAGAAGTGGTCGGAGGGATGTGAAGTGAATTGCTCATGTGAAGATGCCTTCACGGGCTTCTTTGTATGTTCTAAAAGGTAAGCACAAGTAACATCGATAATGATTTTATTAATCTAATGATACGATAGGCTAAAGGGAAGATCGATAATTTTTATTTGTGATCTTCACTTTCAACTTTGACCCGATGCACGATCAGATAAATGTACTGAATGCACTTAACATAGGTTTTTATAGAGGACGTAATTGACATTTTTAATTAATCCGAATTATTTAACAGAAAGGCTTACGTTAAAGATTATTGTTACAATGAAACATGCTTCAATAAGTCTTTCATGCAATTAGATTGGACCAACACGTTATATGGTACATGTATAATTAACGCGCCTCAAAGTTGTGACGATCTGGATAAAAAAAAACTTTTAATTGAATACTTAATAAATAATATCCGCCGCTGATATGTCGATTTCTAAAACAATATTAACGAGTTAGCATTTTACATATGCCACTTCGACAGTCAAATAAGAGATAAATAGCCAAAAAGTACATAATATATACTAAACAAAAAAAGAAAGGTAACACTACTTTATTCTGTGATTAATAATTAACCCCTTCATAAATCCTTACCAATCATGTACGAATAAAGTAATTGATCAATTCTGATAAAACTGCAGTCATGGTTCATTATAAAACTTTGCGTTCAGTTGATTTTATTCAAGGACGTTGGGGTAACACCATTAGTAACGGGTATGGCCACCGTTTGCAAAGTAAACAGCATTGCAGCGTCGTCGCATGGAACTCGTAAACCGGCGGATAATTCGAGGAGAGATGTTGTTCCATTCAGCGATCAAGGCTTGGGCCAGCTCCTGCAAGTTTGACGGCTGATTTTGACGTTCTCTCACGCGTCGCCCGAGAACGTCCCAGACATGCTCAATCGGTGACAAATCAGGTGATTTAGATGGCCAATCTAACACCTGTACGTTATTCTGCTGCAAGAAAGTTCTGCTGACGCGACTGGTGTGCGCTGGTGCGTTATCCTGTTGAAAAATGGCGCCAACGCTATGGCGTCTTAAGAATGGCAGAACCACTGGTCTTAAAATTTCGTCCCGATATCGAATGCCGGTTAAATTGCCATTTAACACAACAAGCCTTGTACAAGTCCCCCCACAAATACCACCCCAAACCATTACACTTCCGCCGCCAAAGCGGTCCCGTTCTGCGACGCAGCAGTTCGCAAAACGCTCCCCTCGTTGCCTCCACACTCTGCGCCTTCCGTCACCGTGTTGCAGGCAAAACCTGGACTCATCTGAAAACAGAACATTGTTCCATTGTCGTAAGGCCCAACGACGGTGAACACGGGTCCAGTTACGCCGATTATTACGGTGACGTCGCAACAAATTGGGTCCAGTGTAGGGACGCCGCGCTTTCAATTGGTAGGCCCTCAGCCTGTTGCGGACTGTTAGGGGAGACACACGACGACCAAACAATGTCCTTGTAGTCTCTACTGCGGTTACGAATCGATTGCGCAAGTGTATCAATCGTATACGACGGTCATCTCTGGCGGTCGTTTTACGGGGTCGGCCGCTTCGGGGACGATCGGATGTTGACCCAGCATGGTTTAAACGACTTACCAACTGGCAAATTGTCTTAACACTGCAACCAAAATGCCGTGCAACTCGACGGCGAGACTCCCCAGCCTGGATCTTGCCTGCAGCCTTTTCTCTCTGTACTTGTGACAGCCGGGGCAAAATGATAAAGCTGATAGATAGCAAGATTCGGTGATTTCTAAGTCCTAAGGATCTAAGGAACAGTTGTCAGTTTGAATGTTTATCAAATTCAAGCGAAGATACAAGTTAGTCGCAGAAAACCTCGTGCAGCTCTTTCGCTAATACAGACTTTCACGCTTGAATGATTTTGGTAACCCCCCTTGGATTTTGTAATGTAAAACATTACCATTTTCTAATATTGCATAAACGTCATTTTGTTTTCACTCATTTACATGTATTCGCCAAGGAAACATGTTAACCTTTCTTTTTTTTGTTGAGTATATATCTAACTAAAAAATACAAATCTGTTGTTATCCTTCAGGCCTGAGTGCACAGAGACACGGTCAACCGCACCACCTGGATGTCATTTAGAAGCTGATCCAAACGACGATTGTTGTCAAGTTGCTGTGTGTAACAATTTTATCGGCCGCTAACTGCTGAATTGTTCATCATCTAAAGTATATAAATTTGTATAAATTCATCTGGAGACAGACCTTGATTAGTTATGTTTAGCCTTTAGGTGATATGAACCGTTCCCTTTTTCTGGTGGAAGCATGTTGACCATGCGTCACAAAATAGACTCAAACAGGTTGTCTTAAAATGGAAATATGTATGAATTTTGTAAAATCAAGTATAGTTTCTAAACGATTGAATTTCGACATCATAGACGAACTGAAATAATACATCATACCAAATCTGGTGGTGTACATAAATACATGAACGCATGCCGAAGGGTCGCTTACACCGAAACAAACGGTGCTGAAGGTATATAGCGAATTTAGCAACAGAAACATGGATTAATATTGATTATAAGTGATAGGTGTTGGTGCTCTATGTGCAAGTCCAGCCAAAAATGTCATTAGAGCAGATGTGGCCGCTCGCCTCGAATGTCGTGTTATCTGCTCAATAACTTCTAAACCTTCAAACGTCAGTAAAATGTCTGCCACGAAAGGAAACAACGAACATTTTATTGTGGAAGCGCGATATTCATACGAATATTGCATTCTACATATCTAGGTATTAACAGATTTATTTAGGTTTCTGTACTCTCTGTTGGCCCCCGAAGCACCGTTCTGCGGCAATAATTGCTTATCATATCAAACACGTTGACCCTTCTAACAACTAACAACCAATAAAAACCTAGAAATGGACTTTGAGGGAGATCCCTTCAGTATTTCAAAAGAAATAGAGATGTCCGACTTTCATTGGCAAAATCAATTAGAGCGACGTCTGTCAAGACATTTTATTCATCTGATCAATCAGAATCGAAAAAGCAAAACTGTGCACCAAAAGGAACCTGCAAATGGAAGACCCATCCAGTCCTTCTCCAGAAATAGCAGTAACAATAATTATTTTAGTTCAACAGAAAAAATTATTATTTCAATAGCCCATCATCATCAACAAAGTCCAAGGTGGCCTAAAAGAGTGTTTTGGAATAAGTCTAATATGTACCTGTTAAAAACGAAGTTTCTTGAATGTTGAACTCTTTATGTTCTCTAAGCTCAAATCTTTTTCACTTGGTGATTTCTGTAATATAACTGCATACATTTAATTAAATACATCTGAAAGAAGCCTTTGCCAATTGAGCATTCTCCCAATAGCTAAAACAGCAGGACTCCTTCAAAAGAAAGAAAACTGAAAAGGGCAGAGAAAGAAATGTGAAAAATTTATCATGAGAGAAACACAATTTGAGTTTTAATAATAATTTATTTTTGTAAATATAATGCATATACAAGTAAACAAAAGTCATCTTGCATACTGTTATAACCTGGCACACAGAAACTTTCACTCAAACCACATTATCACTTACATACATAAAAAAAACCACTTCTTGCTGTATACCTTGAAACGAAACAATTTGAACAGGATACCATGACACTTGTCAACAGGTAATTTAAGGAAACATTTTTTCAGAGCATTTGGATATTTAAATTTGTTCTACAACACTCAATATTATCTTGTAATTAATCTAAAGCCACCCCATACAATTAAAAAACCAGCAGGGAAAGTTTGCACTGTCTAGTTGATAAGAGACCTATCAGGCAAGTTAGTATCAAAAATGACCAAATGTTTATGTATAGTAAAACAGCATTTACATGACCAAATAAAATTGTACTAATCCAGAGTGATAACCAATATAAAAAGTTCAATACCTCCAGCAAAAGTTGTTCAGTTATTGGGTGTCAAACAGTATCTGCTTCATAAATTCATTTTTAAGGCAAAGATATTTAAAATACCATAATGAAATAACACAGTCTCCTTTCTCTGTACATTGTCGATGATTGTATATATGTATGGTACATATAAGGTCATGGGTCAATGACTGAACTTGAAACAGTAAATCCAACCAATAAAACATTGACCTATCTATCAAACAACCAATCAAAAAATTTGACACATATGATCAATCAACCAACTGGATCAACTGACAATTCAAAATTAAAATCATACAACTGATTTGACCAATAACTAAAACGCATCCATCTTACAATCTCACTATATGTCAACCTTCTTCAACATAAATATCATTTTTATTGATGTGCTGTCGTGTGGAAAAACCTGAACAAGAGGAGGGACACAGTTCAGAACTTACTTTCAAGGTAACAAATTACAAAATGAAATGGTAGAATGAGATGTTCACAATAAAGATTAACAAACTTTTCTTCAATTTCTTGTCTTTGCTGTTGTTACAATGTCCTCCTCTTGTTGTAGTAATCACATCCAACCAGACAGTCAAGATTTAAACTAATATTTAGTAAACATGCAAAATAAAGAAATATAAAAACAGTTGATATGTTACAAGGGACGGAATTGTACATGTTCAGTAAACACGTACAGTGATTGCGACATAGTTCTGGGGAGTCCTGGAATGAAAGATTCAATGTGATAACAATTGAATACAAGATGAAAGGCAGTGGAGACTTGTAGTCACACAATGGAAGTATATAACACCAGGCTAAATTTCCAGATTTATGTTGTGGGATAACTGTACACGTGTCACTGAGACTGTGAGACATAAGGAATCAATGAGAATTATTAATGTTTAACCAAACAACACCACACTATTTTCAGTATATACCTCACAGGATCAGGTATCAACATCTCCCAAGAAAGTACAATATATCTTTTATCAATACACTAATACACCAGTAGATTCTGTGTAACTGTTCATTTATATCAAAAAGATCTGTTCATCCAAGGAGGATCACAAGTTTTACAACAAGAGCTAATGCCTACATATCCAACCAAGTCTGATTTCTGTTTTTTTTTTTTAAAGTTTACGATATGCATACCGAATGGTAATTGTATTTATAATTTAAAAACAAGAGGTAGTGTACTTTATATTAAATGTACAGGTGACACCTAGAGGAACTATGATAGACTGGCGTTCCCCATTGTTTCAGTTGTTTTTCAATATTTCAAGACTTTTTCATCGAACCAAACCTTTTTCTTTAATAGCAATGACATTGAGCAGATTTTCGTTTTTTATCATGAAACCAACGTAAAAAAAGAGGGATTTATGGACATCAGAATTTAAAGGTAGCATACTTCCTCAGAATCAAAGTATCTTTAACATTTAAATCCGAGTAAATGAAATCTAATTCATGCCTTTTTGAATTATCTGGATAACATCAGATGTTAGGTATTTTATCAATTATCTGGATAACATCAGATGTTAGGTATTTTATCAATTATCTGGATAACATCAGATGTTAGGTATTTTATCAATTATCTGGATAACATCAGATGTTAGGTATTTTATCAATTATGTTACTACAGGAAACCTGACATATCCATTTTTCTGGGTCACAGGAATTGAATCCTCTGTAGCACAGCAATAAACAAATAATGAGTGTCTTTACCTGTTAAAACTTTACAAGGTGCAAGATATACAACACAACACTGATCCAATATGGACTTTTCCATGGAACGATGAGCTTCATGGTTTACAAAAAACAACAGCAACTTTTCAAAATGAGCATGTCTGTCTGAACTCCATGTTTACAACGATTCAACACTGTGCACGTGACTTTTGGCAGAAAGATATGTAGGATACTCCACCATTGGACAGATCCACACATTCCAGGCAGTACTCATTCACTCGTGACAAGCATGATCACATTCCAGTAAGCACTATTTCACTAGCTACAGACATATCATTTCTGCTCCGGTCCATCTCCAAATGAATGTCCCGTTAGAGAAAACGTGCAGTCATCTAGTGAGATTCCCCCATCATCTGTGCCATCATCACCGCCTCCTTGCATGGATGTTACCATGATCCCTGCACTCAGATCCACTGTTCGTCCTTCCTTGTCCTGAGACAAACAAATACAGTTAAACCAACATACTAAAACAGAAAGTTAAAAACCTTTGTGTGGAAATCAGTCTTTTACAGTTGTTTTGATATTGCAAGTTGAGGTTCAAAGCAGAGGTGATAACAGATACTGAGTACTACCTAAGAAAATGTATTGTCTGCAATTTCATGGAAACCCTGTCACTCTATCATTTTTCCATTAACAACAACAGCATCTACTACATACAAGCTTCAATACTTACTGCTTTGAAATCTAGAAACATTTCCTTAAAAGCCATGAAGTCACTAAATGTAAGAAGCATCTCAAATATCTCGCCTTCCAATTCATTTTTTCTTTCCCTGTTAAGTAAAACACAAATTTTATTCATGAAATTGTACATATGGTATTTAAGTCTGAATACTGAATATAACTTAATTTTGATTGCAGATCAAGAAGCAGACAAAGCCAAAAATCCTCCCCATGCCCTCCTTATATTCCTGTAGTTGACATCCAAGTATTTAAAAAGTGCTTGTCTTTTCTTTTTTATTTATTATCACTGGTTACAAAATATTCTAGAATCTGAATTACAAATCACTGCCACCTGTAATGTTTCTTTCGTTAACAGAAATCTCTGATCCACTGTAATGGTAGAATTCATTGCTTGGCGTCAGAATTCATTTCTTTAACAAGAAGTGTTAGCCAAAGGTCCACTAATTAGCTACAACCTAAAACTCTCACAGATCATATGGAGCTGATCAAGGAGGCTCTCAATAACAAGGGGACCAAACATCTGAGGCAAAACAAATTTTGTGAGTCAGTGAAATAGTCTGACATTGATATATAGACATCCTGGTTCCAGAATATCCCTAGTACTGTTAATAAAGTAGGGGTTAATCATACATTTAGTTTTTCTTGTCACTATACCAGTGTCCACACATAATGTTAAGAAAAATTTTATGTTGTAAGCATATCAGGAAGACCTTTCTAAGAATTTGTACTCACATAATTTGATGTGTAAATTCACCCATGGAAAAACCTGGCATGCGTTTTGTGAGCTCGTCATCTAAATGTTTTTCTATTAATTGAACCTGTCAAAAATGAACAAAAGATGTGATCAGATTGACATGTATTTTTGGTCTTGAGACCATGAAAATGAACTGAACATAATATCAAGTTCTCTTTTTTTTCTTGTTTTTAGATTGAGTTATACCGAGATGATAAGAAGTTTTCATTTTCTTAAACTGTATCTGCTCTACTATATGATGGCTGACTGTAGCACTAAGAGACATAATGTTTATTAATATGTGCCAAGAACTTTGAAAAACCAAATCCGAAAAATTATTGAAGAACCAACAATTGAATGATCATCAATTACAACCATTACACAAAGCTGAAAGCCGAGAAGTATAATAAAAATGACATTTCACTCCAGTTATCAAAAAGACACTTTTCTCCAGTTCATGTATTTTAGAAGAAACCACTTTTAAAAGTACAACATATATAAAAGTAAATATAAATACATAAGAAATAAAAATTTTAATTTATACATTATATTTATCATAATACCTTCTTGTCAACTTACATATTCTCTGTGGATGTCTGTGTATATAAATTTGTTTTCTTCTGTGTCATCAAACTCTTGGTAATATTTTTCTAAAAATCCATTCTGTATGGTCTGAAAATCATCATCTGTGAAAAAAGTAAAGGTAACAGTTTTACAGAAACTTAACCCTGAAGCACCTTAAATTAAGGTACATACTGTACATGTACAGCTACTTATCTTTTTGTAAGGCAGTTAGGTCATTAATATCATTGCATAAATCTGGTAGACGAAATCACATACTTAAATATTGAACAAAAGCTTGACACAAAAATGTAGTACCAGGGCAATATCAATGGAAAATGAGATGATCAAAAGGGATTCGCTTTACAGTTGTATGACCTACCCATAATAATATCTTCAACATGTCCAATTGTCTCGTCAAACTTTGTGTCTACAGAATTAGAACTGAAAAACAAAAATAAAATCAATATACAAGCAAAACAAGCATGGACATTCAAACCAAATTTTAAACATTCAGATAATTCTGCATACATAATTTAATTTGTAGTCAACCTGTAAGGAAGATGCATAATGTTTTAGAAACTAGCTTATAAATACATGAATATACAACTTTTCACTCCAAAAATATCTTATATATGTATCCATTAATTTACAAACGAAAACTTTTAAAAACCTGATTTTCAATGAACTTAGTACAGAAATATGCATTAAGGAAGAAATACCTAGAAACTGCAAGATCCTCATCTTCATGGAAAGAGAAGTCCATTGGTTCTATACCATCTGAAATTATCAATTAACTCTCAGTAAGCTAGAGAAAAACAAGTTGTGTGTACTAGTTTATACTTACCTGTTCTTCATCAATCAACTCTATTTTAGTTCATATACCTATTCACTGGCTTTGACACAATTTTCAATAGTCTTTTTGATGTAAATGTAAATAAACTTGACATGTTTTAAGGAATTTGTAATAATTTGGGAATGGAAAAATATGCACTTTATATTTAAGTATACATATATTTATATTGCTGGTTCTCTCAGTAGTGTAGAAAAAATATCAATCATAACTAGATATTTCAATGACATAAATCCCCCCACCACCAGCTACTAAGGAGAAGGTTGAAAATGATTTGTTTTATTGACTTTGTTTAGTGGTGTTTAACACAATTCATGGCCTCTGGAATTGGGCAAGGCCCTTTAATATTCATCTTTTTAATTAGAATTCTTCAAGATAAATGGCCATAACTTAACTTTGAAGAAAAAAATCACAACCAAATCAGAACTTGATCTGCATATTCTTACAACTACATATCCAATTACAGTTCTGTTAAAGAGTTAATGAATGGAACCAAATGTATAACCTAACCTAAAGATAACTGTTACACTAGATCTACACTAGAGAAGCTTAAATGCTTCTAACCATGAAATGGCAAGCCCCAATCTATGATTTCAGATTAGAGAGGGGTGTACATTTTGGTTACCTTAGTACCTAGTAACTAAATGCAATGTTATTTATACCCAATATCCCATGTTTTCTTTGTTTTGTTTATATTTTTTATATCATCACCATTATTTTATATTCCCATTGGCTTCCAGTTAGACAAATAATCATGGGCTGCATTATAAATAGGACCCAGGGCTCTCGATCTGCCAGATTTGGGGCCGAATTCCCAATGCAAAATAGTATCTTTTTTTCCCAATTTAGAACCCAAGTTTTCCCAATTCAAAGGAAAACAACGTTATTTTTCCCCAATACTAAGGGCCCCGGGCCCCTGTCCCAAAATGGGGTGTGAGAGCCCTGGGACCTCAAACCAATCCTCAAAAAGTTACACTAAACTATAAGGTATAATAATCTTCTACTACAGTGAATATGTTTCATACAACTAGTTTGATACCCCATCCCTTGGGACCTGTTCTTACATACTCAATAGCAATTTTACAAGTCAATGAGAGAGACAATGAAAACTAAAGAATATTAATGGTAAATCAAGATATTGAACAAAGTAATTCTTTAGATAGTATTCATAAGTAATGAAAATTTCAATGAAGTTTCACAATGCTAATTAACTTTTCAACAAATTGATTCTAATAAAATATGTCCTCAGTCTGTATATGATTTGAAGAGCTGTAGTCATATACATGTGTAATAATGGAACTTCAGCTGATCAACACGGCAAATAATGGTCACTTGGCAATTTTAGAGGAGGTACTGCCAACTAATTATAACTAACAGGTGATCTGATTTACAAAAGAAAGACTTTTTAACATTTCTTCTAGTGATATTTATAATATCAAATACTTACATCTCTTTCATTTGAATTTATAATCTTTATTGTAACGCTACATGTATTGTCAGACCTCCATGAAAAAAGCGATTAAATGGACTTATCGTCCAATATTATATCAATTTAAAACTTTTATACTGTAATTTAAATATATACTTACAACATACGCCGACACTCATGTTTAAGTAATTGTTTTCCCACAAAAATATGGAAACGATTCCTTGACAAGTTGTTTCTCAAAGACGGTTTGTTTTCACGACTGTTTGACCAAACTTGAACTCTTTCCAGTTAAAGCTAAGCTCGTGCCAGAACAAGTTCATTCAGGAAATCGCACCTAATTAGTAGAGTTACAAGCGAGCATTGCAGGCGTGAAAAGACTTTTGAGAACACCCCAGCATATACACTGGGGAACCATTATTTACTCTTAGCTTGGGGTCTCTAATGAATATTAGCCATACAGCTGATGAGTTTGTACCAATCACCATTCATCAGAAAATAACACTTGCAAATTGTGAGTTGAATGATGGCCTGCTTGGTATAAGAAGTTCTGTAGCGAATACAATGCGAATCTTCATGTGGTGCCACATGATTTTCTCAAAACAATGTTGCATTTCTATAATAAGAGGTAACCACCGAGCTTAACTTGAATGATAGATTAATCAATTATATGTATTCACATTCCGATTCCTGAAATTCGTATGTAACAGTCGAAATAAATGTGAAAACGCAAGAAGAAACGGTTATAATCGTAAAAAACAACTTACCCGCCTGGTCATCGTCAAAATTGGATGCCATGTTGGAATTCGGCGGAAGTAAAAACACCGGTGACAAGTAGATTGGTATTTATGATAGATTTTACTTAAGTCCGTTTACAATGACAGAAGGTGTAAAATTGAATAATTAGAACATGTGATATCTTAAATAAAAATCGTCCCACAATATTACGAAAACCATGCAATGTTACGGATTTTTGGATTTATATTTAACAATTTCAAAACTTAAACTAATGCGTCGGTGGTGTAACGGTCAGCATGGTTGCCTTCCAAGCAGTCGATCCGGGTTCGACTCCCGGCCGACGCACATTGTTTTTGTTCATGTAAAAAAATGATTAGCGTTATAAAACTTATTTAATACTGAAATTGATTTGTTATCTGATCTCCTTATTTTCGTACATTTTCATAATGCAAGATATATACGTGCTTCTACATTGCACTTTTCATATGATAGCCAGACCACACAGATTTGTCCTCATCAGTGATGTATGTTGCAATTTCGCAACTGCCTGACATGAAGAATCTATCTTACGCAGAAACGCTGCAAACACTCAAATCACCAATATAAAGAGGCGACATGCTGAGCTATTTACATTGATAATTGGTAACATGCCCTGAGCTCAAGTTCTGGAGAGACATATCCGATAGGAACACAGACAGAGGAAGCACCAATATTCTGTATCCACAAAGGGCCAATTAAAACTTGTGTAGGCATTCATTTTACGCATTAAGAATTTATGGAACAGAAATCAATTTAAAAATCGATTAGATAAGTACATAAATGGCAAAGAATTATGATCGAGCCAGGCCCAACCAGCGATCACCAGAAGCAAAGTCAGCCTAAGGTTTTAAGTGTGATATAGAAGAGGATTAGGATCAGTCTCTCGAGTCCGGTCAGACTATAGTTAGCAAAATGCAATAATTCTAATGAATTCTTATGAACTAAAATGAAACTTAAACAAAATACTCAAAACTGTTCTTTAAATACGAACTAAAGTAAAATTTACCCCAGGGATAAATGTCACATAACCACTATTTCAGCCACTAGATAGGGACCCGACCTTGGACTGTGCCTGCCAGACAGGACTCATTGTGATCTCCCAGAGTTACTGCCCTTTGCCTCACTTCGTCAGATGGTATAGCGATGAGCTTGACAGTCGATAGGGTCAGTATAAGAACATAACAAGTGTGTTATACAAGTGATGCGCCTAGGGAGGAGATACAAGGAGGATTGACATGACCAAGTTTGACGTTTGACAGGTGTTGATAACACACAGAAAGGAGTTGTGGGTTGGGGATATTTAGCAAGTACATGTGTATGTCCATCGTGTATAGAATATTTAACTTGTCTTCTCTAGGAAGATTCCTCCTTTGGAAAGAATATCCATATCCTGTATTACAGAGTATCAGTATTGGCTGGTAGGTGCGACACATATCAATGGGAGTTCATGTCGAACACAACACGACTACAGCAGTATAGACACTAACAGGCGATTATATGAGTAACACCAATACACTTTTTGTTAATGGTTTGGTATTAATGTCCAACTAGCAGTATTAGACACTTAGGAGACACAGTGTTAGTTTCTACTATGATTATCTAATATGTTACACTAGACCACAGTTATCCAGAGAGTTGATCCTTTCGTGGAGAAGCATTAAACACATCCTCCGTGTAAGCTTCTAGAAAAACAAGGTCCTTAGAGTGATGGCTGAGAACAATCAGCCAGCAATCAATGCCACATCGTACACACAAGTAGGTACGGCGGTTGGTATAGTCCCAAAAGTTGCCCCGTAGCTTGGCCTAGTTATTGAGTCCAGGTGATTCCTCCTTGCAGCCCCCCTCCACCCATTTCCCTTAGAGTTGTCCATCCTACTTTGCCTTCGTTATCCCTCCCCTGTAGAGTTATCCATGTCTTTTACTTGACACATGTGGCTAACAGTTTGATATCGAGGAGATTATGGTTAACCGCAGCTTTTGCATGAAGGAAGACAGCCCATTGGGTTTATAGGTACTTCTTTCATTCTGACTGTAGTTACCTGCTGAGTAAAGCCAAGTTGTAAGGGATATTGTAATGGACCAAATGAGAAATTCAATGACTTTTCCTAAAGCCATAGGCATAGTGATGCTCCTATAGTTCTTTAAATCCTCCATGGAACCTTTCGTTTTGAAGATCGATCTTGAGATCATCTTGGAGAGCACCATTTGTCAGAATCTTGTTGCATAGTCTCGTGGTGGACGAGCTGACGATTTTGAGAACACATCGCATTTGTTCAGAGGTTATAAATCAAATAACTTGTTGGTATTAAGGTTAGTTATAGCTTCGTCGATTTCCAATGTAGTGACTTTGGGTCAGTGTTAGACCTTATACATATGTTTTTGATGGTGTCCACGGCGAACTGGACAGAATTTCTGTCCCTATTGTTAAGAAGGTGGTTGGAAAGCGAGAGAAGTGTTCTGTCCATCCTTCTATCCTGATACGAATCATATATATTTTCTCCGATATCAATCATGTCGTCTTGGCGCGATTCCATGATTTGGTCGAGTTTCTGTGGTTGGTAATTTCGATATGTCTTGCTGTCCTAAGTACCTTTTTGTAACCAGCTCTATGTTGGGAACCAGCTTGCTATTTTTCATCTTTCTTCCAGGCATCTAGTGCAGATTTGTTTTCCTTTGTTGCGTTGGCTATGACGTCGCTTCACACGTGCCTCTTTTCACCACTAATTAAGTGGAGTATGTATATGTTGTAAGTAACTTGTAAGTATATCGACAGAATACTGCTCTTTGAAGAAATATTCATCCATGTAAATATAACATGATAGCTAGTCTTGTCCAACCTATCTCATTTTATTTTCGGGGCTTGTTGACAGTCAGTAGCTGATCTATATTAGGGTCAAGCTAAATTGTATTCTAGCTGAGACTAGGACGTAATCATAAGAGATATCCGGGTGCACTTCACCCAGTGTTATGGTGACATACATCTGAAAGACGTCTGTATAATTTCTATGTATGAACATACAGTAAATGACCGACGTGTCCTTTCCATTATTCCATTAGGGCGTTCTAATTTATGGGTTTTATAGTTGATAGAGAAGTCGTATTTTACAATGAGTCTTTATAAATTCTTTGGACATGTTTTCTATAAGAACATTTGATTTCTCCATTCTTCACACCATCATACCCCTTCTAAACTGAAAGAACGCCTTCGTTGTCTTGATTTGAGATCTTTCTTTTTCCAGGAAAAGTGAGCGAACGGCGATACAAGTATATGGTTGTGAAATACATTGAAGCGTATTTCAAAGAAATAAAACCTAATAAACAAACAAAAACAAAACGTCCAAATCCACGAAGACATATATGGAGGACGAAATCATAAAAATGATCGAGTTTCTGGTTAACAACAATTTAGTCGAGTGGTGGTAAGATCTTCCAACAGACTATTGGCATACTTGTGGAAACTAACTGAGCAATTCTGTTTTCGTGTATTTACCATTCCTGGATAGCGACATCCCTAGTTCCCACACTTATGGTATTTACATGTCGCATTTGATTCGATATTTAAAGGCTTGGTCCCATCATCACGATTTTCGTGTAAGAAATCATCAACTGACTGACAAACTCGTAACACAGGTTTTCAAAAGATGCCGTTCAATGAAAATTATGTGTGTCATAGTGATCTAATTGAGAAATATTCTGTTTTTTTTTTTGCGACATGAAGCTGGACGTAGTTGATGTTCGTTAGTTCCCTCTGTAGTTCTGTTATAATTGACAAAACTATGTGTGATCTATCTGTACATGTTTACTGTTCTGTAATAACTGAGTCAGTGGGGTCTGCAGCGTCCATTATAATTATAATTAAAAATTACGATTTATCGATTTTCTCGTGTTCACATGCGGTGATTTCCGATAACCTAAACAAAATAGAAAGATGACTTTTACATATGATGTAAATTTAGATACTGTAAAACAGAACACACTAGGCTGTAGACAGTAAGCTGTAGGCAATTGGCAGTCAGCCTGTACATTTTCAGTAACGGTCCTGTTCGCACGGCAATTATGAATTATATAGATATTTTATCGGTTCATTATTTCACAGGAATGAGGTATTATAGTTCTCTCGTTTAAGTCAACTGAAAACGATCCATTTTCTATCAACCTTGGAAACATGACAATCCTCCTCACTACATCGCACATACAGCTGATGATTATCATGGGACTATTTTCATACATATTCTAATCATTAAGTTGTTTATATGGAAGTAATTGAAACGACTACATCACAGAAATAAGTCGACCAACCATAACTTTTCCCTTGGGGATGGGGGAAGCCGTTAACACACAATAACCAATATAGAAATTGTAACGTAGGACGAGCGGCGAGAAGCTATCAGGAAAATGAAACACAATACCATTATAAAGATTAACAATTTATTTACAACATGAACGTAAACAAAGCACACTCACACATTCCCTCAGATTCACACAAAAGATTACACTTCAGTATTACACAAAGTCTCTGTTGATCACCCCTCAACGGTCTTTCACACCAGGAATGAAAAGTTCAAGAAAACCCCCAAATACTGGATTCAATGGAGACAGAGGATTCCTATCCAGACAACTGACGAACTACTAGTACTCTGGCGCTGTGCGTGCCACACAAAATCTCAAGCAGAGTAGAGCTCACAGTTATAGATGCCATATCTGTACCGCTATGCTCCTCGGAACGTGTACCCCAATGCCAAACCTGTAGTTCCCGTGATTGGCTGACCTTACTGTCTGCTAAGGCCCTGGTGCCGACTCTCACTGATAAAACCGTCGTGGCCTTGATGAGGTAGCTGGTGTCGTTGTGACCGGTGGGAAAAGCTTAAAAGAATAGTAACGAAGATTGACTCGCATACAACACTTGCACATTATTATGACACAATCAACTACTATTATAAATGAAATTATCCCCAGAAATACTCATAAATTACACAGTACATGATACATTTCGAAGAGTTATAAAGGTAATAACATAATGAACGAC